TCTCTCTCACAGTTACTCAGGGTTACTCACTTTTACTCTCTGTTTTCTCTCTCGCACTTTTACGCGCACTCCTTCTATTTCTCCCGATCTCTCTCTCACTCTCACTCTCTCTCTCTCTCTTCCTCTTTGTCATTGTCTTACATACTCTCTCTCACTTACTCACTCTATATATATCTCTCTCTTTCTCTTTTACCCATTCTCTTTTCGTAACTCTCTCCCTCTCTCCCCAACTCTTACCCACCCTCTCTCACGCTCTCTTACACTCTCTCACTCCACCTCTATTAGTCTTTCTCTTTCTCTCCCTCTCTCTGTTCTCTCTCTATCTCTCTCTTCCTCCCCCTCACCCTCACCCTCTATTTCTCTCTCGCTCTTTCTCTTGCTTCCTTCCTATTAGCCCCCTCTCTCTCTCTCTTCCTTCCTCTTACCCCTCTCTCTCTCTTCCTTCCTCTTACCCCTCTCTCTCTCTCTCACTCTCTCTCGCAATCTCTCCTACCCAATCTCATTCTCTCTCGCTCTCTCTCCCTCTCTCTCTATCTTATCCGCTCTCTCTTGTCACCTCTCGTAGCCTTTCTATCTCTCTTCCTCCCTCTTACCCTCTCCCTCTCACCCTCTCTCTTACCCTCTCACCCTCTCTCTATCTCTCTCTCTCTTATCTATTCTCACCCTCTCTCCCTATCTCTCTCTCTCTCTTACCCATTCTCCCCCTCTCTCTCTATCTTATCAACGGTCTCTTTCCACCTCTCACAAGCTTTCTCTCTCTCTCCCCCTCTCTCTCTCTTTATCTCTCTCTTTGTCCCTCTCACTCTCACCCTCTTCCTTCATCTAACCCTCTCTCTCTCTCTCTCTCCTCCTCCCTCTCTCCCCTTTATACTTTCTTACCCTCTCCGCTCAGCATTGCCTCTGCCAGTTTTCGGTATACCCCTCTAGATCTCTATTTGATTTACTGACTTTCCCTCTTACGAAACTTTTCTCACTTTTACCCGGCTGCAAGTTACGCATTTGTTTTAAATAAGTTTTTCATCGTATGCTGCAATTTGGTTTCAGTTGCAACTTCTTATTACGCATGGGCGTGGCAGACCACAGATGCCCCCTCCCTCCCCAGTTCCACGCATCAGTTACGTCGACCCTTCTTCATTGTGGGAGCTCGCGTTCTGTGCAAAACCTAATTAAAAGTGCTTTATTATGCAATTAATGTCGAGATAATATCGCATTCGCATTGTGCTGCATTTTGCTGCAGCAGGCACCAAGCAGCAACACGTAATACTGTACGAAGGGGAAAGGGGCAAGGGGAGGGGGGAGGAGGAGTATGGATGGTATGATCCCAATGCCAAAGAAGAAGAGCTGGTCGTGTCGTCTTTCGAGTTTTCGATTAAAATCAAAATCAAATTTCGTGTCCATGAAATATGAGAAATATTCGAAGGTAAAGCAAAGAAAGACACACAAAAACCAATTAATGTTTATTACGCAACAGAAGTGAAAACAATCTGACTTTTTACTGATTCACATTTGATGCGAGCGTGGCGTTGCCACGTGCATATACGTATGTACGTACATGTGTGCATGTCGTATCGTGTTTCGCGGTCGTCGTGTTATGCATGTCGTGTCGTGTATGCGACACGTGCCCATCGCTAAACATCGCAACGCCTCGCATTGCATTTGGTTTCGCTGTGTGTCAAAGTCAAAACTTAAGTTTACTTTCGCAGTCTCCCTCTCTCTCTCTCTCTCGCTCCCACTCTCTGCCTCATTGTTGACAATTATTTTGCATAAATTTGAGTGTGCCCAAAAAAAAAAAAAAAAATACTAAGAAAAAGAATGTTGTAATATTGTCATTTTATATTCGGCCATTGCCCGGTCAGTCATCATCCAATTTCTGGTGGGTGCTGGCGGATTCTTTGCACTTGGCTCTTGTCTTTGCTTGGCCCTGATTTATGTGAATTTTGTGCTTTGGCCCAAAAATGCGATCGGCCCCGCGGCCCCGTTGTTGCTTTTGCTTCTGCTTCTTCCTCGACTGCTGCATCTAGCTCACACACACACACACACACACACAGTTATTTGTGAGTGTGCTGGTATTGGTGTGGGCATTGCTGTTTATACGATAAAACGCAAAGCATGCTAATTTATTGCTGTTGATTTTAATAACTTTTGCCAGTTTTGCTATGCAACAACGCCCAGATAACTATGCTAAACTTTATTGAGTCCATGTCTGTGTGTGTGTCTGTCTGTGTGTGTGTGCATGTGAGCAGCTGTACAGTTATTTTATATGTATTTGTATATTTACTGGATTATCTTGGTTAGCCGTTGTAGGCGTTGCCACATTGCGGCCGGCCACAGGGTGCACCAGGTGTGGCACATATTCAATTACAGGATCACATCAACGAATGAATGCATCTTTTTATTATGCAACTGGCCCAAATTAAGCTCTGGCTAATGTAACGGCTGGCAGGATGTGCACATATTTGATCAGAAATGTGGGCGTGGCCTGAGAGTTAGAGCCTCTGTCAGGGCAGCATTTTATGGGTGGGGCTTGACTCTTGTCCACTTTGAATGGCATATTCATAATTACAATTAGCTTGTATTCATGGCATTCATTTGGCGCTCTTCGTCGCAATTGCAGTCCGTAATTGGACACACAACAGCAGCGACTGCAGTTCCCTGTTCGCCCTGTGCTCGCGCCGGCGTTGCCCAATTGCTCGACTGTCCAACTGGCAGCCAATAATAATGCGAGTAATTTGCACAAATTCCCGTTCACTTAAAACTTTGACGCTGATGTCCAAAATGGCAAATTGCAACAGATTTTGAGTGCAGCTTGCTGTTTTGGCAATTTCTACAAAATTTCTCATCAATCGATGAATAAATATTTTTTTTGTATGTATTTTTGTGTGTTTAAAACTTTACGCGCAAAGTTAGCCAATTGTTTGGCGGAGTGAAGTGGATTGCAGAGGGGAACGAGAGGCAGCCAGAGTTGCCAGAAATTCAATTGAAATTGCATTGAAATAATTTACCATTTCCCATTATTGTGTACATTAAACAAGCATCAACACAAAAGGAATGTAAATGCGTTGCCATGCGTGTGTGTGTGTGTGTGTGTGTATTTGATATTTTATTATTTGCTTCGCTTTATTCGCACAATTCGAATTTGCGCAATTTATTTGCTTTGACTCTTCAACTTTCCGACAGCAGCTGGAATTATACAAATTTGTTTCAATTGCTTTGTTATTGTTATTGTTGTTCTTGTTGTTGTTGTTGTTTTTGTTGCAGGCCTCAATTGAAAATTCGTAAATCGAGGACAACGGCCAAATAAGGCGCCCGAAACTTAGCCAGGCTAAATCGAAATGATTTCTGCGATTTTGTTGCCAAAATTTACACAGTTTAATCGCTTCGAGCACTTGAATATTAATTGGAATCTTAAACAGAGCGAAAGGTAACTTTTCATTTGACAGTGAGTCACCCTGTGCCTGCGCTGAGGATCGCCCACATAAATATGCTATAAATTATGCTCAGCATTCCGTCTGGCGAATTGTTTGGTATTTTCATTCAAATTTTCAAATATACAAATATCAAATTATCTAACTAAAATATCTTCTGTCTTGCGTTAAAATAGGAGAATAGGTTTTTTTTTGTTAGAGTCAAATTTTGTGATTGGGCGAATTAATTTTTTATTTTTTGAATTGAAAACCAGCTTGGCTGGTTTGTGTCTAAATAGGCGTGTTGCTTAACAGTTCGTTGAGTTAGCCGCTGTTAAGCCTGTTCGTTAAATTTGCAAAAGTGAGTTTCGTTAAGTGTGGAACTGCAATCCAAATTACAATCCACACTTGGCCAACTTAGCCAAGTTGACAACCAGCGGCAAATTTATAGCAAATGAATGCTGTCCCAAAGCCTGGTCGCAAACCACTCAAAATAGGTCTAATTAATGCTTGCTTAGCGCAGACACGCAACCAAAGCTTTACAGCTTAAGAGAGCCGCAAAAGAGCGCCACACTTGCAAAGCTCTTCAATAATGCGCATACGCTGCGTAAACTGCGACTCGTAGCCTGCTTTTGGGCGCGTTCGCTCGCTCAGTTGGCCGCGCGATGTCGCCCAGCATGGACAACGCCATGGACGATGCGTTACGCACACAATTGGCCAATTGCCGTTGCTCAGCCTCTGCCAGCAGCTGCTGTTCGCGTTGCCATTGTTATTGTTGCTGCTCTTGTTATTGCTGTTGTTATTGTTGTTGTTATTGTTGTGTTTCTTGTTATTAACGCCAGCAGCATCGCGGCCATTGTTATTGTTAATACGCATCGAACTTTGCCCAAATTTGCGGCGAAACATTTAACATTTACTGTTACATTTTGCTTGTGGCGCCCTGTGATATTGTCAAGCGGAATTTAAAGAAACATATTCGAAAAATAAAAAATAAAATAAATAAAAACTAAAACTTAAATAAAATAAAATAATATATATACATGTAAAACAAGTGCGCAGTAAAGTGAAAAATTAGGCTAATTAAGCTTGAAGTGAGTGGGGGAAAAAAAAAATGGCCAAATATTGCAATATATATTTAACATTTGTTAAATAAATAAATTTTGATTTTGTTTTTTTGTATCGAAATACATTTTAGTGCGTGCAGCTGGAAGCAAAGCGAAAGTAAAACCAGCTACTTGCATTTTCCGCAATGTGCGTGTGTGTGCGTGTGTGTGTGTGTACGTGTGTGTGCGTGTCTCTTCTTCCGCCAACATGCTCCAATTTTGTGTTATCTGCTGCCTCTCACTTTTGATAGCTTTGACTTTTGCTGGATTCTTTTTTCCCACCAACTTTCGCTTTTAAATAGCTAGCATGTGTGTGTGTGTGTGTGTGTGTGTGTGTGTGTGTGTGAATACTATCAAATGTTTGGGCTTTGAGCTACGACTGTTTGACGTGACCGAAACTCATTTGGCTGCCAATTGGACCAACCGTTTCACTGTCCAGCCAAAAGCAGGTCACTTGCCCTTCGCACAATCTAACCCCCCCCCCCCCCCCTTCCCCCCTGGCCATCACCCTGTTCATTGTCATAAATCAGCCAGATAAGTCTTATAAGTAAAAAACATATTGGAAACCAATTCATTATTTCTATCTACGTATTTGCTAATTTCTCCAGCTTTGTTTCAGAGTGGCCAGCTTGATTTTAGAACAAAATACTATATACTAAGTGGACCGTATTACTAGAGCTTTACAACACTAGATGTTGTGGCTGCAGACTTTTGAATGTTATGTTCAATATATTTAATAATTTTTATTTTTTTTTTTTTCTGTGCATATTTGTCACACTGTGCACAGTGGAATGACCTCGCAGTAGGTTAATGAAAAGTTGTTGTTGCTGCTGCTGCTGCAAAAGTTCTGCAGTTACTTGGGATGACAAAATGGCTACCCTCTCACTCTCTCTCTCTCTCTCGCTCTCTCTGCATCTCGCTCACTCGTGCTCTACTTGTTTGCGTGTAGAGCTCATTAAACGCTTATTTAATTATAATGCATTTATGTTGCTGCATAATTCAAATAAAATGCCGCCGCCTGCAATTTTCGTCAACGAAATACAATTTTTAGTATTATTTTTGGCAGTTAAGTGCGAAACGGGGCCATTTGGCGCCCCTCGCTGCCCGCTCCCTCAACCCCAACCAGCACTGAGGAGGAGGCTGTGAGCGGGTTGCGGCTGCAGGCCAGGAAGTGGCCGCATTAGGCTAATGGGCTCTCAGCCAAGAACTGGAAGCAGAGCAAGAAACATGATTATGACAAGATGATGTCAGCTGTGAATGTGACCAGCTCGGATGGGATTAACTTTGCTCTTATTCATATGTGTGGACACAACAGTTAGAGCCAGCGTGCCGGTTCACATTGCCACGCCCTCTAACAGACTTTGATCTGTTATAAGGCTGCAAATAATTCCAATATCCCATATAGATGTAGGTCAAAATAACCCACCCTCATAACTGGATCAAATCTGATCCGATTTGCACTAGGCTTGGCTCTTTGTTCGATTTGGCATCTAAGATCTGGCAAGCAAATTTCCTATATAGGTCTTTCCTATGGCAGCTATACGGAGGAGTCAGAGGAGTTGATAGAGGAAGAGGCAGAGGTGGAGATGGAGGCGAAGCAGGCAAAGGAGGAGGTAGAAGAGAAGATGAAGGAGAAGTTGACAGAGGAGTTGACAGAGAAGGAGACGCAGGACGACTAGGACTAAGAGTCTTGATAACATCAAGCACATTTTTGGCCATTTCCAATGTGAGGCAATAGTTTTGATACATTGTCAACGTCATGTGTTTGCGCCCGCCGACAGCTGTTTGGTCTTTGAAGTGGAAATGCTGCAGCTTTGGTTACAAATTCAATCAAAAAACTGTCAACTTTTAGTTGACAAACGGTCGGTGGGGTTAGGTGGGGCAGGTTGTACATTGAGGCTGCATAGAAATGAAAATAGAAATACAAAACAGAAATAGAAATAGAGACAGACACCTGCCGCACACAATCATAGGACATGATACGAGCTGGGATGAGTTGATAGCGCGTCGAGGAGCCGTCTTCTGGCTGGGCTGATGTAAGGCGATGCTAGATGAAAGTGTTGACGCTGTCGACCGTCAACCGTCAACCGTCAACCGTCACTCGTTTCCCATTGTTGCCACCTCTCTGGCTGGTCTCTGTGTCTTGGACTTTCCCTCTCATCGTTTTGGTTTCATTTAAAGTTTGGGTACGAAAGGCCGCTGAAGTAACTGTGCCAAGTGGTCGCCGATTTGGAGCTGAGCGCGTGCTCAAGGGTTTGTCCCAACGAAGCGGTGTGAATACCGATATACAATAGAAAGGTTTGCCCTGACAGTTGCCCCGATGAAAGGCTGTGAAGGGAAGCAGCACCAGAAGGAATGCCTTTCACAAAGAAGCTAACACGTGACAGGAGTAGGTGATGCCCAGAGAGAGGAAGGGTAGTGTGAAGGGTTGTCCAGGGCGAAGGAGATGGGCTTGTGGAAGTACTCCTCCTCATGCCTCGAAGACAAACAATGTTTCGATGGGGAAACTCTGCCTGTCGAGCAGGCGGAGTGGTTACAGCGAATGGAACTAGGTCAGGGAATGGTCCAAATGAGAATACGTCCTATAGAGAAGAGGAAGTGTACATGGTTTTCCTAGGAGTGACAGCAGCAAAAGTGGATTAGCCTTATGGAAGACCATTACGATGGATAGGATGTGAGGCCATTAACTAGGGGTCAATCACAAGGAAGGAGTAATAGATACATTGCGGAAAGCATGGTGGAATAGCCAATGTCTTAGAGCTTCCCAGAATGGAGCAACGGATGGATGCCTCCTTAGAGGCAGGGTTTCCTCTAAGCAAGCAGCAGGGAAGTCGAATGTCCTATTAAAGGGAGGAATAGCCAATGTCTCCCTTCCCAGCTTCCCAGAGAAACGAAGCGACAAAGGATGTCTCCTTAGAGGCAGGTCGGTAGGGTTTTCCTCTATGCAAGTAGCAGGGAGGTCGGATGTGCCGATGGAACCACAAGGGCTGAGCGATAAATGCTCCTTGTAGCACTCACTTGAAGCCTGGCTAATTTCGAGGATATTCCTTGCCCGTTCCAGCTGACAGCCAAGGGGAAATGCATGCCGCCGCGAGCTGCTGCTAAGCTACTCGACTGACTAGTTAACTGGCTGGAGCTATGGACAGCGCACCCATGTCGCTGGCATTTAGCAGCCTGGGGCTGCTGCTGCTGCTGCTAGTGATGGTGATGTGCGTGCTGTTGGCCTGCCGTTGCTTGGGTCCGCGTGCCGCCAGCTGGATGCGTATGCGCTCCAGCAAGGAGGAGAAGATTGGCCTGTCCAAGCACAAGCTGTTCCATCCCAACGGCTACATGGCCAGTGTGAGTAGCGCAGCTCCAGCTGCAGCCGTAGCCCATACTCAATCGTTTTTTCCGCCCGCAGATACAATCCGGCTCCGAGTTTCTGCTGAGCACCAGCGGCAGCTTCAAGCGCTTCGATACCATTGACAAAGACGACCACAATCGTTCCCAGCAGCAGCTTCTGCAGCTGCAGCAACTGCAGCAGCAGCAGCAGCAGCAGCAGCAACAGTTGCTGCTGGGCAATGGAGGCGATAATATGACCACGACGACGACTCCTTTGTGGAATCTGCCGCAGGCGGATGTCAGCATTCCGCCGCAGCCGCTGCGCCCGGCGCCGGCGCCCAACAGCGCCGGACCCAGCAGCAAGACGGTCACCTTCTCCTTCAGCCAGATCAATGAGTTGGACTCGCCCACAAGCCAGGAGCCGCGATCCTGCCTGCGCCCGGCAACTGTTGCGGCTGCTCTGCCGCAGCCGCTGGAGGCGCCGCCGCCGCCACGACTAACCACATCCGCATCGGTGACGCTCTCGGCGACGGCCATACCGCGTCCTATTGCCAAGCGGCAGGTCTCGCTGCAGCAGGGCATCAATCGCAGCACAGAGCCCGCAACGCCCCCGTTACAATCCCAGTCCCAGCCGGAGCGTCGTCCGCCAGCTCTAAAGCGTCGCAATTCGAGCACGAATCCCTTTCTGTGCGAATCCATGGAGCAACTGCCGCCGGCGACGCCGCCGCCACCAGTGGAGCAACTGCCGCCGGCAGCGGCGCAGCACAATGGCAATCCCTTTGTGCACGGCCAGAGCCTGTCCAGCCGTCTGCTGCGGCTGCACAATGCCAACAATCCGTTCACGGGGCTGACGCAGCGCGTCAAAGGGCCGCACATGCTGCAGAAGACCATCTCGGAGGATTATCTGTTCCGCAAACTGGGCGCCAACGGACAGCTGCCCAATGGACATGGACATGGCGCCGCGAACGGCAACGGCAACGGCAACTCCACCTGGTGCTTTGGACGCTCGCTGCTGCGCCAGGATTCGAGCATCAGCCTGGGCCTGGGCAGGCGTAACAGCTCCCAAATGTCGCTAGACGGCTCCATTGAGGGCATCCATTTGGAGCACGGCATCTCTTGCGATTCGGTCAACTCGGATGCCTCCTCGCTGTGCCTCGACCAGCTCGATCAGCCGTACACGCAAATCACAGGCTATCTCTGCGTCGGCCTGCAGTATGACAAGTGAGTGCCCATTCATTCAAATGAAAATCCATTTGATGCATGCGACACTCATCTTTCAGGCACAACAGCAACAGCGGCGAGAACGAGGAGGAGGAGCAGCTGGAGCTGACGGTCAGCGTGCTGGAGGCCAAGGGACTCCTCTGTCCGCTCAGCATGGGGCTCGATTCGCTGGACACATTCGTGCGCATCTACCTGGTGCCCGATCATGCGGGCGGCATGCAGACCAAGGTGAGTAAAAGCAAATCTAGCAATGGAGCTTTAAGAAAGCTTTAAGTCTTAAGAGAGCTTTTAGCTCGAAGGAGTTCAGGCAAGCTTCAGATTTGACCATTTGAGAATGAACGAAATAGTAGAAAAAACGAAGACAAGGATAATAAAAGTTCGAGCTTTAATAAAGCTTTAAGTCGTAGGAGAGCTTTTAGCTCGAAGGAGTTCAGGTAAGCTTCAGATTTGACCATTTGAGAATGAACAAAACAGTAAAGAAAACGAATACAAGGATAATAAAAGTTTGAGCTTTAAGAAGGCTTTAAGTCTTAAGAGAGCTTATAGCTGGAAGGAGTTCAGATAAGCTTCAGATTTGACCATTTGAGAATGAACAAAACAGTAAAGAAAAGGAATGCAAGGATAATAATAGTTTGAGCTTTAAGAAAGCTTTAAGTCCTAAGAGAGCTTTAAGCTCGAAGGAGTTCAAGTAGGCTTTAGACTTCGTTTGATTATGGGTTGAAGCTTTGAAGCACTTCTCGCCAACTTTCTGCAGCAATTTGTAGACTCAAAGCTCAGCTTAAAGCTCGCTTAAAGCTTTTGCTGAAGAAGCAATCTCTACGTAGGTCCCACTTAGAGTAAATTTCATATGGATTCACATTCTCGTGCCCTCCGACAGGTGGTTAAGTCAACGCTGACGCCAGCCTACAATGAGAGCTTCAACTTTCGACTGAAGCGACAGGCGGGCAGGCGCTCGTTGTGGTTCCATCTGTACCACAATGGGCCCGCGCACACGCTGATCGGCGAGGCGGAGATGGAGATTGGCGAGTTGGCGCGTCCGATAACCACGTGGATACCATTGTCCGATTCGCGCAAATGCAACGCACGCTGGGGTGAGCTGATGTTCTCGTTGAGCTATCTGCCCACAGCGGAGCGCCTGACCATTGTCGTGGTGAAGGCGCGCAATCTCAAACTGGACCTGGACCTGGAAGCGGAGCAGCAGCAGCAGCGGCAATCGCCCCCAGCTGCCGCAGTGCAGCACGTGTTTGTCAAGGTAAGCAAGCAGTGCTTGGTATTTATGTCAGACCATGAGCTCCACGTGGCTTTGTTCGTTTAGGTCTATCTGCTGAACAACGACAAGAAGGTGCTGAAGAAGCGCACCTCGCTGAAGCGCAAGGATCGCTGCCCCATTTTCAACGAATCGATGATCTTCAGCGTGCCGCCCCAGGGCCTGACCACGGTCCAGCTGCGCTTGACCGTCTTCGGTGTCACCGACAAGGGTATCGTGCCGCTGGGTCATGTCATCGCCGGCAGCTGTGCGGTGGGCAAGGGTCTGCGCCACTGGCACCAGATGCTCTCCTCGCTGCGCAAGCCGGTCGCCATGTGGCATGTGCTGCGACGCGCCGCCAACCAGCCCGTCTTCATTGGCGGCGCCGAGGCCGTTGTTGCCGCCATGCAGAGCACTCTGCAGCGGGCGAGCGCCAAGCGCAACAGCATCGTCTAGAGGGTTGAGAAGATCGAGCTAAGGCGGCAGCGAAGGTGGCAGTGGCAGTTGGAGCGGCAACTGGAGAGGAAGCAGCAAATGGAGAGGAAGCTGAAGCTGGAAGTGGAACGAGAGCTGGAGCGGGAACTGGACAAGGAACTGATGAATGAAGTGGATCGAGAATTTGAGTGACAACAAGAACTGGAACAGATAGTGGAACCAGAGCTGAAGCTTGAGCTTGAACAGAAGCAAGGTGGAGCGAGAACTGAAGCCAGAGCTGGAGCAACAATTGGAGCTATTGCTGAAGCCAGAACTTGGGTGGCTGTTGAAGTGGCAACTGGAGCGGGAGCTGGCAAAGGAATTGGAGCAAAAACTACAGTTGGAGCTGGAGTGGCAACTGGAGCAAGAGCTGGAGCAAGAACGGGAGCCATTGGCGTGGCGACAACTGGACAAGGTACTAGAGCAAGAACTGGAGCTTGAACAGGAGCGAGAGCTGGAGCGAGAACTTTAGTCGGAACTGGAGCGGGAACTGGCCAAGAAAGTGGAACGAAAACTTAAATGGGAGCTGGAGTAGGAGCTCGAGTGGTTGCAGTCATTGCTACATTCTCCCTCGCTCCAGTTCTCAGCCTCAACCCACAACACATAACCCACATCCAACTGGCATGTGCCCTTGTCCCACCTTCAAGATGGCAGCCTGTGCATTGCATTTACTAAATTTCTTACTTTTCTACAAAATTCCTATAACAAATGCGCAATAGGGCATTTAGGTTTAGGCATTATCTAGTACATAGGCGTAATACCAGATAACAGAAAAATCTACGAAACTATTCCAGAAAACCTTAAACTAAACTTAACAGAAACCCCGCACCAAAGGACAAATCGAGCCTATTAACTAGCTATATATATATATACACACACACACATATATATATATATAAATATATATACCAGATATATACAAATCTATATAGCAGTATTTGGTATATACTGAATAAATACCATATGTAGTCGTATGCATGCACAATATTTATGTACTTATTAAATACTGCACGCACTCATTGTTATCAAGCATTTACCACTTATCGATAATTATCGAGCTGCTTAATATCGATCAGCGCATAAACTAGATCTAGATCTTCGGCAAGTCGATTATTAAATACCCTTGCCATACTGCAACAAAATTCAATTCAATTTGGATTCCTCAACTTCAATCAAGCCGACTTTGTACTTTTGATTCATAAAAAGATCGAGAAATTATTGCGATAGCTTATTTGGATATTTAATGATAGTTCCATATATTAATGATTGACTGTCAGACTGCCAGACTGATTGATCGATTGATCTTACGTGACGTGATTTTCGATAACAAATATCGAATATGTCTACTCATATATAACTGACTGACGGTCTGATTGACTGACTGACTGACTGACAGATTGACTGACTGACTGCCTGATTGGCTGGCTGATTGATTGACTGACTGAATGACTGATTGATTGGCTGATTGACTGTTTGACTGACTGACTGACTGATTGACTTGCTGATTCACTGACTGACTACCTGACTGACTGATTGAGTGACTGCCTGACTTTTTGACTGACTGATTGACTGACTGCCTGACTGATTGACTGATTGACTGACTGACTGACTGACTGACTGATTGACTGACTGACATACTGACTCGCTGACTGACTCCCCTACTAACTGATTGACTACGATGAATATTTTGTGACAAGATTTTCGACAACTTCCAATTGAATGCACTCTTATTTTTAGGGTGCCCGTGCAAAGCCGGTTAATACCTCCCAGTTGTCCTCGCAAGGGTAACACAATTGTCAAAAACAAATTTAAAACAAAAATAAATAATTAAATAAAACAAAAGAAATAAGTTAAAATGAAAACAGCAACAGTTGTTCAAATAAGTTGACGACTAACTGAAAGAAACACATAATTTATGTCTGAGAAAAAAAAGCTGGCTACTTTTTAAGAAATTAACTTATAAATTGTATGCATAAATATCGAAATATATATATAAATATAAATATATTATATTCTATGAATAGATAAAACGTTTTCTGGCAATCAAGATTGTTGAAATACTTAAATACAAAATGGAAAAATAATTCAAATAATAGAAAAAGAATTGCATATGAAAAAAAAAAAACCCGATTCGAGCAATGTGATATGTAATAATTCAGATTTAGCTAATTAAACGAGATATATGTGAACGTATATGTGTATTCGTATTCGTAATTGTATTTGTATTCGTAATTGTATTTGTAAATGCATTCGTAAATGTATTCGTATTCGTATTTGAATTTGTATTCGTATTTGAATTTGTATTCATTTGACAGTATTTACGAATGGTATTATACTAGATATATATCTATATATATATATAAACATATTCGATAGATCGACAGACTTAGCACAGTTTGGAGTTTACAAATGGGTTTTCGATATGAATTACCAAAGAAACCATAAACATAATGCACATTAATCCGATCGATTCGATCGTTATTGTGTTCCAGTAAGAAATTTCTTTGCTAACTTCGGCAGGCCGAAGTTGAAATACCCTACCATTGTGGAATGTGCGCGAAGCAGGCAAAAACTTGAACTACTCTATGAAAAAGATAATATATATATATATTGTTTTGCCAGAAATCAGCTGGAGATTTTGGCTCTAGAATATGACAGTCAGGGTATATATAGAGTCCATATAGAGATTATCTACAAAATGGCGAAACAAACAAAAAACTTTTGCAAACAAGAACTTTCATTTACTAAAATCCAAGATACTTCCGATCGAGAGACAAACACACGAACTTCGTTTCTGTTCCAGAATCTATTTTTTCGTTTTCTCAAATTCGACTAGAACGAAAACCGAAAGCCACACAAATTAAAGCAAAAGACAATAACTTTGCAAGCATTTAAGAACAAAGATTCCAAAAAACCAATTATTAAACATAAAATAATAGCTTGAAACACCTTTTGTTTACCAGGTTAATTACCTGACGCGCACCTGTATGCATATTTCTTCGATCTATAGCTAGACATATTCCAAAAAAAAAAACTGAGAAATCTGAGAACTTTATAAATGACCAATCAATCCAAAACCTGGCACACAACCTTTAGCAGCTTTAATATTCCAACTAACAAGTAAATATAAAACGAAGAAAGATTTAAATTAATTATAAAAACTAAGAAATAAATGTAATTGCTTATAAAATTAATTATTGAAACATCAGTTTTGTACTTTAACTAAGAGTCTCAAGCATAAAATAGCTACAAATTGTTAAAAACTTAGTTCAATAATTCTCGTGTTGAATATTTGTATTAACATGCATGCATTTGCTATACACACACACACACACACACACACACACATTACACATACTATATATACCTTATATATACATATACATATACATATATCTATATATATATCTATATTGGATAGATGTAAACGATCTATATGCGAATGCTACAAATTGTTATACAAATAAAAATCGAATTGAAATAAAACAAAAGTACATTCAAATAGATTAACAACTACGCTCTACAGAGTTAACACGACCGTAGAATACCCTGTAATTGCATATGACTTGATTTTAAGGTGAAGACTTGGCAGCAACTGGATTCTGACTTGGCATGTTCTTTCCATGAAAATCAGAGATATACTCAATCCAGAAAAGAGTTTCACGCTGGGCATATATATAGAGTATTAGAGTATTATAGAAAAAAAGAGCATTATATAAGTGTATTATAGATCTTGCAGGTTCCAGAAGATAAGATATCGATTCACTATAAGTCAAAGCAAAATCGATTTCAACCTAACCCAACTTTAAATTCAATCAGTATAACAAAATAATTTAATAGAGTATTATTGATCCTTAAAGTCCCATCAAATGCTATACAGATTATTTGCAGTTTTGCTAAAGAAGAAGCATAAATATTTTACTATAAATCAGAGAAAAGCCACAATTTCAACCTAACCCAACTTTAATCAGCATTTTAGAGTATTATAGATACTTAAAATCCCATAAAAAATATGATATCAATTAATTGGGGGTTTTTCTAAAGAAGAAGCATCAATATTTCACAAAGTGTTTTCAATATAACCTCACTTGAAATTCATTCACAATGGAATCGAATGCAGGGGGAGTTAACCTAAAATCTTCTTCTACAGATTTATGCTTATCTAACGAATTAAAGAATAATGATACCCGTTCGTGTGCCTTTGGGCACAGGGTATCTAAAGTGAATAAGTGAAATCTCGAAGAAAACAAAGCAATTAAAATTGATACTCTTGTGGACACACACACACACACACACACACACACACGCAGAGCAGACGACAGCTGGACAGATATAGAGATACATTTGTATCTTTGTGCGGTTTTCAATTGAATTTCCAATTTCAATTTCAATTTGTCTGATGCCAGCCAGCTGTGCTGCCATTGGATCAGCTATTTTTAGACGCTGCGATTAGCAGCCAATGGGCAGCCAGGCTGGCAGACGCATCAGGGATTCATCTGCGGCCGGGCCAGACCACTTGACGTCGTCGACTCGCGCCGCTGCCAGGCTGTCTGGTCGCGTGAGTGTGTCTCAAGTAGCAAAGACCACGCAACGGCAGCTCAACAGCGATCGGCGTTCGACACCCACAATCGGATCGGGCGTCCTTGCCTTAAATGTGTGCAACAAGCGCAGCATCCTTTCAGTTGATAGCTGCCCGTGCTGCTGCGAACGTCGCTTTGAACATTAAAGTATCGAATTGGAAAACAACGTGATGCACTCGCTGCCCGTTAACATGGCCAGTAGCTCCAAGGAGCGGCGATTGCTGCGCACGCCCAAATGTGCGCGCTGTCGCAATCATGGCGTCATCTCGTGCGTCAAGGGCCACAAGAAGCTGTGCCGCTGGCGCGAATGCTGTTGCCCCAACTGCCAGCTGGTCGTCGATCGGCAGCGCGTCATGGCCGCCCAGGTGGCACTGCGACGCCAACAAACCATGGAGGCGCTGGAGGCGCATGCCGCCGAGCCGCAGACAATACCAAGCGATGAGGAGCCGACGCCGACGCCACCGCTGACCCAGTCGCTGCCGAACATAGCTGTTGGCTCCACACTGACCACGCCCACCAAATACAGCGCCATGGCCGCCAACACGCTGCGCACACGCCAGGCCCTGATCGCCCAGAAGCGCATCTACAAGCAGCGGCTGCGCAATCTGCAACAGTCCACATTGCACATTACCGCGGCGATGGAAGGTAAGTCCAATACCTGACACAAATAGCTGGAAAAAAAGGCTAAATAGAGGCAGACTAAGTAGTCGAAATAGAAGGTAGATCAAAGTGCACCTCTAAATGACCCTTAATTATTATATAAAAATAATCTTATAAAGGGCAACAGTTCAAACGTCCTGAAGGTGCATCAAGTCGAATAAGCAAAATTGTCCATGCAAAATAATCAATTTTCCAGCTAATAGCTATTCAAATACTGGATTTAGCTAGAAAATGGCTAAATTAGCAGCAACGCTGCAAGACGAGCGCCCGCCATGCGGTGCCAGACTGTCTGGCAAGGCTTGTAACCTGAGCAAGGCATGCAAAAGAGAGAGAGAGAGATAGCGAGAGAGAGAGAGAGAGGGAGCGCGCGACAGGAAATGCACGATTCCTTACAAAAACAACAATAACAACAATGGAAAGAAATTTGTTAAAAAGTCACCCAACGTAATTGAACGCCTGTCGCATGCACGCATATTGAAGACCAATTTTCATAGTGTAAATCGATATGTGAAAACGGAAAAACCTCTTGAGCCAAATGTGGCAAAAGTCAACGGGGCAACGAAAACAAGCAACAAGCAACGTTGCAAGGGTGCACATCTATACATATTTATGTATTTCACTTTTTCCATCTGGTTTCCAACTAAACGAAAATATGCACGCAGACAATTTTGGTGCCGGACTGTCTGGTTATGGTCTTTGGCTCTAGGATCTTCGTTTGGGCGGCTCAAATTACGCCTCAATTTCCACATGCTACACTCGAAAAAAAAAAAATGTATCACTCGAAATATTATTGGATGGGGCATCAATCGCGGACTTGAGAACTGATTGAAGGAAAATAAAACTAGGGTAAAGAATTTCATTGTCAGGCTAAGATATTCTGATCGCGTACAACATGCTCGGTTATTTCTCTGAGTGTACCAACACACACACACACATTGTGTGCGTGTGCTGAACGAATTGAGACAATTTGAAAGCAATTTGTACAATAGATTTGACGCCAACGTCAAGATCAAAGAGCTCGCTAGCACACACACACACACACACACACACACACACACAGCCTCTGCCCCGCCCTAACAACTTATTGCGTGTAATTTCAATTCTAATGCCCTGCATCCACTTGCAGAGTACAAGCAGCGCTTTCCCACGTTCAATTCACCGTTGCTGGAACGCATGCGCAAGCGACGCGCGTTCGCTGACCCGGAACTGAACTATGCAATGGATACAACGCTACTTGGCAGCTCCGCCTGTGGCGGGCAAGCGGCTCCTTTGGCAACGCCGCCAACAGCAATCGGCAACGCCTTTTATGATCTATTGGGCAATGCCGCCGCCGCGGCAGCAGCAGCAGCAGCAGCAGCTGCGCAACAGGAGCAGCATCGGCACGCATATCAATCAATGCCGCGCATTACGCAGACGCCCACGCCGACGCCCAGCGTCAAGAAGCCCAAGCTGAGTTTTTCAATTGAGTCGATAATTGGCATCAGCACGTAGCCGAGCACGATCGAAAGACAGTCGCATTCTGTATATAGACAATATGTTGAACTAACCTTTTTTTTTTATTAGTATTATGATTCTTAGGAAATAAAACACTTTTCACTTGATTTCAAATGTATCTTGCTTTTTCGCTGAGCTGATTTATCGATAACTCAGTTGCTGCACCTGATGCGCGCTAAAATTGCATCGCAAATATGGCAACCATATAAAAATACATGTTGCCAAATAGTTAAGAAAACCGTCGTTTTTGTATATACCAAATTTTTTCAAACTACCTTTTTTTTATTAGCATTATGGTTCATAGGCAATAAAACACGTTTCAACTGATTTCAAGTGTGTGTATATAATTAATTGACTGATTTAAATGTTGCGCGCGCAAATCATATTTATAGAAAATAATCGATAACTCAGTGGCCGCACGTGATCGTCGCTGCAATTGTATCGCTAATATGGCAACTTTATATAAATATATGTTGCCAAATTGTTAATAAAACATTGCTAAGCTTGCCGAATAGTTAACTAGCGATATCATGCATTATTGAAAAAAAAAATTAATAATTTTCATCATTTCAATATGCATAAATGAAGACAAGCGCTGCCACCTGTCAAAATGTAAGCGTGATTTGGTATTTTTGTGTGACGCAGTCACTGTTTGGCGCCTATTGCCCATCTTTCGCATGGCACAACAGACAACTCTCACCCGCTGCTGACTCAGAAATGACAACAATATTTTACGCAGAACCCGAACTGGTGCTGGGCCATGGCCGCAAGGTGTTGTTTCTCAATCCCAATGACCTGCAAATCTTTAAGGACATTGAATTGCCGGCAGACCTGACCACATGTGGTCTCAAAATCGCCGCTGGCGAAACAAACGAGGAGCAGCAGCAGCCGGTCGGCTCGGAGAAGGCAGCAGCAGCTGGTACAAATTTGGAGGTGTCCATAGTAAACGTGAGCTATTCGCCGGATCGACAACTGATTGCGCTGACCACGGCTGGCCAAAAGGCGCTGCTGCTCTACAAAAGCCGGCCCGAGCATGCCAAGCTGTTGTCCGTGCGCGCCCTGGCGCGTGCCTCCAGTTCACTGGCATTTGCGCCGGACTCGAGCTCTGTGCTGGTCACGGACAAAACCGGCGATTGCTATCGCTACGATTGCGTGGAGCTTGAGGCGCCGCCACAATTGCTGCTGGGTCACCTGAGCATCGTTTACGATATACTGTGGACGCCGGATCAAAAGTATATCATCACCTGCGATCGTGATGATAAAATACGGGTTACCAACTATCCAGCCACCTATGACATACACAGCTATTGCCTCGGCCACAAGGAGTTCGTCTCTGGCCTGGCGCTCCTCACTGGCACCGAGCACCTCGTTTCCGCCTCCGGTGACAAGACGCTGCGTGTCTGGAACTATCTGAGCGGCAAACAGCTGCTGCAACATGAACTGCCCGCGCCGGCTGTGCGGCTGCAGTTGCGCCAACTGCTGCCGGCCAAGCGTTTTCAAGTGGCTGTGCTCTTCTACGATCACGTGGAAGCTCTTGGCCTGTACGAGCTGGCGCTGGATGAGCAAAGCAACGATGCCTGGACAATTGCACGGCAACAGCTGGTGCGTGCCGAGGCGGGCAGCTGGAACATAAGCTGCTTTGCGCTCACCGCCGACAGCATCTACGTGGCCGGCGCCCTGGACGAGCGCTTAACGCTGCGCGTCTACAACAGCAGCGATGGCGAGCAGGCCAAAACGGTGCCCACCGGCTGGCTGGATATGGTCACTGAGCGCTTTGCCGACCAGACGTGCGTGCCGGAGGATCTGTCTGTGTGGTTCAAGAAGCGCTACGACAACGTCAGCGACTACATGGAACGCAAGAAGCGCCGCATCGAGGATCATCAGCAGCAGCAGCAGCAGCAAAAATCCTGACAACTTCCATGCACGCAATTCACACTTAGCCTAGCCACTTTCTATTGTAATCAATTTTACGAAAATTAAATAAATATATATATATATTAACCAGTTGCAAGTATTTGAAATATCCAGCCTGGAGTTGCGTCTCGTGCTCTAAATCACGCAGAGGCTCGCCTTAATCCCATGTATTCGTGTTCAGCTGGGCTAAAAGTCATCAATTTCAATCAAATTCCTATTTTTCTGACAATTGAACCCACAACGCCAAGTGAAATGGGACTATTCGCCGTAGATGGCCGACTATAAAATTGCTTTCAATAAAAATATGAATAAACAATGATTCCCGTGTTAGATTCTCCCGATTGTGCGTGTTTCCGAGATCCTTGCTAGATATATCTGACAAATCCCTGTTACAGACTCGCTGCCATCTCAATCTCTCAAAACACAAAGGGGTTTTAGGCTCGCGCTCCACTTGCAGTTGATAGGATTTACATTCGAATATTACTGCGATTCCAATCCACATTAACGTTAGGTTACATAATGTTATTCATATTTATTTTTATATTTAAGTAGTTTGCAGAGAAAATCTTTTAAACCGGCTTGTAGTCCAATTTGCTTTCAAGCTTCTTGTTGTCCGAGACCTTGCGCACGGCTTTCATGAAATCCTCCTGAATAACATATTCACGTTCGGCTCTGCAAGCAAATTTTTTTTTGGTATTCTATTAGATGTGGCACGTGGCATTAAAAGTATAGCTGGAGCCTTACCTGATGGCAAAGAGGCCCGCCTCCGTGCAGACATTACGCAAATCGGCGCCATTAAAGTTATCCGACAACTTGACAATGGCCTCGTAGTCCATTTCGCCGTGTTTGGCTATCTTGAGCGCATGAATCTTGAGTATCTCCAAGCTAGAATGAGCACATTATATATATTAAAATTAAATTGAAGGTTTTCGTTTGGTTTTACTGACCGCGCCTGTTCGTTGGGCAATGGAATTTCGATTTTACGATCCAAGCGACCGGGACGCAAAAGTGCAGGATCTAGCGTATCCGGGCGATTGGTGGCCATGATCATTTTCACCTGACCCAGCGAATCGAAGCCGTCCATTTGATTCAGCAGCTCCATTAGGGTGCGCTGAATTTCACGATCCGCAGACGTGCCCTCGGAGAAACGACGACCGCCAATGGCATCGATTTCATCCATGAATATAATGCAGGGCTGATGATCGCGGGCATAGTTAAACATTTCACGTATCAAGCGTGCACTCTCGCCAATATACTTGTCCACAATGGCCGAGGAGACGACCTTCAGAAAATTGGCGTCCAGCTGTGAGGCAACCGCGCGTGCCAGCAGCGTTTTGCCCGTGCCGGGCGGTCCATAGAGCAGACAACCCTTGGGCGGTGTAATGCCGACGCGCAGAAACAGTTCCGGATTGAGCAGCGGCAGCTCGATCACTTCGCGCAGCTCACGGATTTGCTCGGTGAGGCCACCAATGGCCGAATAGGTAACATCGCCCGGATCCTCGTGCGACATATTGTACACAAGCGGATCGACTTCGCGTGGCAAATAGCGCATTATTGTCAGCGTCGTCATATCCAGGGCGACCCGCGTGCCGGACTTTAACTTGGCCTTGTCCAGCTGGCGACGACAGCCAACCACATAGCGCGGTCCATTGGTCGCTTTCACAATGACTAAAGAGAAGCATACGCAAGCATATATAGATATAGTTATAGATATAGCCTTGTCCCCGTCTTTGTATAAATCCGTAATTCTGTTGCAAGAAACTTTTTGCTTTTCCGGATGTCCTCTACGACTTCTGGCATGCTCCACGCACACGGGTCGGATCTATATCATATCCTATATCCTCAATACGAAGATTCGTTCAAGGTCTGGGTATTTGTTAGGGAAAGTGTTCCATTTATTTAATCCTGCTGCGATTCTAGAGTTCTTCTCACATTTCTGCAAACCCGAACATAGCCGGAGTGTTGATATTTATGCTCACTATCGAAGTAAACCCACACTAGCACTATTTCACAACTTATTTATTTAATGTACGGCAGCCAGTTCGAGTTATTTCTTAGTTTAAGTACTTACATTTATCCTCGGTCAATTGTTTGAGCACCTCACCCACAATTTGGCCGACGCTCTGCAGCGCTTTCAGATCATTCTCTGATTTGTCATACAGTTTGGTCAGCTCCTTCAGTTCTTCGCGTTCTATAATTTAATTATATTCAAATGTTAAAACCTGATAATTATCGAAATTATAAATGTTCCACTCACTTTCTTTGAGGCGGCCGTCAACTTCTTTGTGCTCCAGCAATTTCTTTCGGTAGTCGGAGAGCGCCTTTTCGCGTATACTCTCCGTGGATGGAGCTGCAGTCACGGTCATTTTAGATGATTATTTGCAATGCTTTTAACAATTAATAAACATTTGCTAAATTAAACGAAGCTCTGTCTAATGATATTGCAGTTTTACAAAACAGTGTGACCGACTTTGGTGAGCACAACAATACCGTAGGCAAATGCCGGGACTAGTATTTTTCATATACTGAATATGCTTGAACAAAGCCCTGGCGGCAGTATACTGTTCACAGACAATGCAAAATAATTCAAACAAAGAACGAATTAAAAACGTATAGAGATAAAACAACAAAAAAAAAACCTATAGAGATAAAAACAAGGGCAAACGAAACGTTTTTATTTAGTTAAATAGAACCAGTTATAAGCATATTAACATATTCTGCACATACCGTTGCAGTTATAGTACAATTTGAGTACGTGACGTCACAAGCCAAAAATTACTGTTACGCACAATCTATAATCGTCCATTGTCCTGCAGTGCCATAATGCCGTTGACCGCACAATTTGTGCGCAATTTGCAGCGTTTCCGGCTTGTGACCTTTGACGTAACGGACACGCTGCTACGGCTAAAAGAGCCAACCAAACAATATGCCGAAACGGCCGAGGCATGCGGCATAAGCGGCATTAATAGGGCACAGCTGGAACGCTGCTTTCGCCAGCAATTCAAATTGATGAGCAGAACGCACACGAATTTTGGTCGCTGTACGCCGCACATGAACTGGCAATCCTGGTGGCATCAGGTGGTCATCAATACGTTCACCTGCGCCGACGCCAGCCTATCCAAGGCCCAGCTGCAAACCGTTGCCGAGCAACTGCTGCTGATCTTCCGCACCAGCGCCTGCTGGACGCACATCGAGGGCGCCACGGCATTTGTGCAGCGCGTCCGCGAGGCCGGCAAATGTGTGGGCATCATATCGAATTTTGATCCCTCGTTGCATCAGGTGCTCAGCGCCATGGGCTTCAATGACAAATTTGATTTTATATTGAACTCGTACGATGCCGGCGCCATGAAACCGGATCCGGCCATATTTCAACTGGCGCTGCAGGGCCGAAACATAGCGCCCGCCCAAGCGCTGCACATTGGCAATCAGCTGGACATGGATTACACGGGCGCACGCAACAGCGGCTGGAGCAGTCTGCTGGTCCAGCAGAAACAGCCGGATCCGGCTGCGGCCGGGCACACGTACGCCAGCCTGGCCGAGATGCTGCAGGCGCTCGAAACGCGGCAAATCGCCTGGTGAAGACGCCGCACAAAGCACACAATTAATTAGGCTTTGACTTTTTTATTTATTTATAATTTCATGCGTAAAAATGAACCATAAACTATTCGACAAACTTTACGTTAGACGAGATTTCACTGTATATAATATTAATAATTAATTAATTGATAATAATCTAGGTTCTTAAATGAACGAATCAATTTTGAATACAATTCAAAAAGTACTTGAATTCTCCAAACAATTAAAAACAAAATATTTATAAAAAAAACAAAAGAAAGTTTGTAAATATGAAAATGTTTTAGTTTTAGCTTTAAGAGTATATTATTATTATATTATTATATTTTTGGTAGAGTGTATACGATTATTGCTTAAATATCGAAAATTGTTTTAGTTTCGAGAATACCCTAACCTTGGGCATTCCTCCATTGAGCAGGGATTTGGGCAAAAGTTATCCTTAGCTCAACTTTGTGTAAAAACTAAATGCTATTTAAAGCTAATGCCAAAGGCTTAGAAACAAAACATCAACTGAATTAAGACTAATTATTAATGACTAATTAATTATATGTACATATAGTTAAAAAAAAAACATTAATTATAATTAAAAAAAAAATAAAATAAAGAAACAATTTAAAAGGTAATTTGTGACCCGAAATGTTTTGCTTTTGGGAATGCATATTTGAGCTCTACGTGGATTTGGAGGCCTTGGCCGGCATCTGGGCCTTGGCCGCCTTCAGCTGCTCGAGATTAAACTGTTTGCGTATCTCGGCGGACACCTGACGTATAACACTCTCCGTGTTGGCCATCAGATCACGTTCCAGCACATCGATGTCAATGTCCTTGCTCTCGAGCCGCATCTGCATGTCCGAGTAGAAGTCACAGAAGAGCACCGGCTCATCGGAGCCATTCGGTGTGCGCGTACTGCAATATTGACCCCGTCGATGCAGATCCTCATTGTTGGCCCGGGAGTCAAGGAAACGGCGCGCGCCCAACGGCAATTGCTGCTGTATGAGCCGCTCGTGATTCTGGAATATGCGCTGTTTGAGCTTCTTGAACTCCTTCAGCTCGTTCTTCATGTACTTCACATAGCTGTACATTTTGGATGTCTTCTTGGTCAGATTCTCCAGGCAGCTTATAAAGTTGCGCACCTGCTGTGTGCGCGGCAAGGTGCTGGGATCCAAGCGTTCGGCCTCATCGAAATGCTGCTGCGATCGATTGAAGTCATGCTTCATGGCCAGCGCCGAGGCGAGCACCACATGATTTTCGGCCACCTGCGGTGCATGCTCGACGGCAGCACTGAGTATCAGATCCGCATCGGCCAGGCGACCCATGCGAAAGAGTATGGTGCCCAGGCTGAGCAGCGGTATATCCTTGTGCTCGGGCGGCGCCAGCATGGTGGCGAGACGAGCGCAGGGCAGCGCCTGCAGCGCATTGCCGCGCATGCGCCAATAGTAGGAGCTGAGCGTATGGAATTTCCATGAGTCCGGCTGACGCTGCAGTCCCTCCAGCGCAAAGCGTCGCGTTAGCTCGACGGTTGCGGTACCGATATTCGTATCGTGCTCACGATCCACATATGCCGACTCGAGCACCTCCGGCTGAAAGCTATCCAAATGATCGTACGTGGCGGGTCCGACGCTTAGCTCATGGTAATTGCTGCAGATGGGCTCCAGGTTGCGATCGGTTTTCGTACGTATCGATGCCAGCGGCAAACCCTGCTGGAAATCCCGGTGTTCCGGTAAATTGATGCGCTTGAGCTGATCGGGTGTGATCTTCAGATATGACATGCGCTTCTCCAGCAGATAATAGTCCATGGCGCATTTGGCCTGCTCGGCCAGGTCCTCGCCGAAGCGCATCGAGAAACGCAAATGCTCGACAATTTGCTCCCGCTTGCGCAGCAGCTCCAAATAGCTGCGCTCCACATACTCATTGTAACGTATCTGCTCCAAGAAGGCAATCAGATTGTGCGGCTCCCGCATAAAGAACGGCGAATCCAATTTCTGTACAATGCGCTCATCCTTTAGCACCCAGTGATTGCTGGCAATCAGCACGTGGATGCAGCAGGCGGCAACTAGATACTGACAGAGTCGCATTATGCATTGGCTGTGCCCAGCGCAAGTCGCGAGCGGCGACTTAATCCACGTAATTGCTAATGGCTGCCACACGGGTTGCCAGCGAAAACATCTAAGCAGCGTTTTGTTATTTTTTTTTTTTGGATAGGTAAATAAACACCGACAACAGTTTGTTTTGCACTTTTGCCCATTTTTAGTGTATTTCACTTTAACAGTATTCGCCGCAACAATGCCGGACTGTAAATTTAACAGTAGCATCTTTAGGTATTTGCGAAAGCCAACATTGCCACCTCGTCAAAATCTAGCCTTTTTTAAGTTCAGCGGGCATACTGACTTTATGTTGTACATATTTGAAGTTGATATTCATAATTTCGTTAACATACCTTAGATGTATGACAATAATAACGTGTCACAGCAATATGTGAGTTTCAAAAATGTCTATATACAGCCGTTACGCTTTCTATTTGGTCTAATCGTGCTCATATTTGCATCATTAGAAATGTTAAGATTCACTCACCTACAATTCCTTAGCTGAAATAAATTAATTAGGATAGATACAGGTAAATTAGATATATATGGTATAAATAGTTTTAAGCCCAAATTTAGCTTTTATTAACCAACTCACTTCTAGAACTTGCATCTTTTTTTATCAAAAGTTGGCAACGCTGACGAAAGCACTTAGATTGCGGTTTCGTGCCGCCAAATTGATAAAAGCTTATTTTCATTAACTCATTTTTGGTTTATTTCGCTTATTTCTGCATGCATAAAAGTTAGTTTTTGTGATTATTTATTTATGAATCAAATGCCCCGGCAAAGATAAACTTGTCTTCAGGTAGTTCTTTGAAGAGGATTTTTAAGTTTGGTATTTTTAAACGAAACATCGGGTATTTTTGCTTTGGTTGCTAGCGGTCACACGGCTTGCTACATAAAATGCGAAAAAACGGAATCGCGGAGAGCTGTAACGCGGAATAGTACATTAAAAATAATCGTTAATCGCGTGCGTGTTTTTTTTTCTTCAACCGCTACACAGCACTTTATTGTTAAATATATTTTCTTCGTCGTTAATTACAACGCGTCTTAAATAGGATAAATATGGGAAAATGAGACGTCGCGTTCATGCAAAGTAGTTGAAAAAGAAGGCACACACACATATAACATACATACGCACGCACGTCGTTGCGAAGGAATATATGTATCTACACATGCATGTGAATGTATGAGTGTGCGCTGGTGTGTGCGGCCGTGTGTGTGTGTGTGTGCGTGCGTTAGCTACTGAGAGTCTCGACTCCAAGAGAGAGAGAGAGAGAGATCGAATAAGAGGAGGGGTGGGGACAGAGCGGCGGCGTTTGAGCGTTGAAAAAAAAACGTAAAAATGAACTGGCACAGCCGACGACGACTACTACAAAACAAACGCCAAAGTACGTACTATGTTCTACTACGGCTACAACTGTGATATTTGGATATAAAGCCGCCCCGCACCGAAAAAAATAAAACAAGCTCCCTACGTGTATACGTACGCTTGTGTCTCTGCCGCTGGACGACGGAAAGAAAGAAAAAGAAAAAACTAGAGCTATCGAAGCAACAGACAAAGCGGCATCATCCAGAATCGAAAGAAGCAGACAGACACAGCAGCAGCAGCACCACCACCACCACCACCTCAGTGAATATTATTAAAGGTACGTACATACGTACATGTGTATATGTGTAATAGGCGCCGCCATTTTCCGTGTGATCCATGTAACAAGCTGAAAGAAAAAAAAAAAAAACCTGGACCTAGAGTTGGCAATGTGCGCATTAAAATCAATCTGAGCATTGTCTACAGCTTACAATTGGGTCCATATACGTCATAGAGGTACCCATTTAGGTCACAATAAACAATTGCCAAAATGTTTTGCAATTGCTGTTAATTCGCCGAGTTGAAACTTGCAATGTTTGTTGCTCCAAAATACTTGACAACCCTACAGCCTTTTTCTTTGTTGACATTTTCGCTTGTGTGTGTGTGTGCGCTTGTATCTGTGACTGTGTGAGTTGTGCCTGAAGTGTAGTGCTGCCACAAATCTACAATTTTTATCCGGCCCAATATGAACTAGTGCTACAAAGCCATTCAATTTACAATTTAACTAGCGCTTTAAACGAAAACACAAAATAAACGATTAGCCAATTTACCGACATTTACTTTTCCAAAAGTGGCAACCTTGCGCAGGTCACTCTCATTTATTTTGAGTCTGCAATGCGCATGAGTGCATAGTTTCTCTCGCTCTCGCACCCAAGCGAATGCATGTGTGCTGCTGTCTCGTGAACAGCTGAGAGCTGCAGCAGCTTTTGGGCACCAATAAAATACACACACATGCACACACACATTATATATATGCATAGATATATATATATATATATATATATATATAACTCACACACACATATTTGCAGTCATTGCAGCAGTGACAATACAACAAAGCCGCTAGGCGTTGTAAATTTTTTTTGCCTATTGGCTCTGTGAGTTTGACTGTGTGAGTTGTGCGTGTTGTGCAAAATTAACCCATTAGTGTGTAGCATTTATTTTTTTTATTTTTTGTCTTGAAACCCAACGAAATAATATTAATGCTTTTATTACACATGTGCTTCCATGTTAATTGATTTTTGTTTTGCACGTGTATAAGTGCCGTGAGAGAGAGAGAGAGAGAGAGCGGTCAGCAGTGTGGGAGAGAGAGCAGAGCAAATGAACGCGTGCCGTCTGTCGACCTCGCATCTTTTCCTCTTTCATATCCACCCACAGCCGCATCGCAGGGCGAAGCCATAAAATAATTTTCAAATCAAGTCGAATGTGCAAATTGCTTTTATGACTTATAAAACTGATTGCACACAGCATTTACTACTGTACGTATGTATGTATATGCTCGGCAGAGATTTTCTGTGTTCCTTTGTGCATCGTTAGCCGTCTTGCTGGGTTCTCGCTCTGGCTCACAAATTGTGTACGCTTATCATTTATCAGCGGCGTCAGCAGAAACAACTTTTGCTTTTGAGAGCTTTTCTGTAAATTCGAGTGTGCGTCTTTGTGTGCGTGTGTGTTTGTGTGTGCGTGCATGTGTGTGTGTGCGTGCATGTGTGTGTGTGTGCATGCATGCTTTTGTATGCGAATATTCTGTGCCTGGAGTCAATGTTGCCATCTCGTTTGTTTCTATATAAAATTACGTACCGCTACAATATGTTATAATTTGGTTTTTTGTTTTCTTGCAAACTAAAATGGCACAAGACAATTGAAACATGTTTATAATCATATTTTGTGCATGACCATGACATGAATTAGGCTAAATATGTAATGTGGCATTCATGTAAAATTACAACAAAGGGTCAATTGCTGTTCTGATGAGAAGTAGCAGTCATTTGCACTCTTTCTATCTTTTTCACTCACTCTCACTTCGTTTCGAAAGCAAGTTGCCATATCTTAAAAATCATTGAAATGAATGCTGGCTAGTACGCTGAGCATGAAAAGCGAACAAAAAAAAATACCGAATTCACGAAAAAGTGACTTATTTTTAGACTGTGCTATTCATGTGTCAGGTTTTTGTTTATGCGTAGTAAAAGCCGGCAAATAATTAGTGAGCTGGCCACACTGTTGCTTGAAATTCAAAATAAATTACAAAAACTCAAGCCGAAATTGTTTTCAATAATTGTCTTTTTGTGTTTTCCCTGTTTACAGACTGCACATATATACAGAATGGTCGTCGGCTCGAATCATACGCGGCGCAGTGAAACTGCCGGCAGATACACAAACAGCAGCAGCAGCAGCAACAACAACAACACGAATAGCAGCGGCAGCAACAACAACAACAACAACAATTCCACCAGCTCAACGTCTTCAATTGCAAACGCATCCTCAGCGGCGGCGGCGACGTTGTCGTTGTCGTCGTCGTCGTCGTCAATGTCACACAACAACAATAACAATAATAATAACAACAAAAGCCAAAACACAACTCTCAACAACAACAACAACAGCAGCAGCAACAGCAACAGCAACTCACATCAGCAGCAGCAGCAACAGCATCATCATCATCATCATCACAATCATCATCATTACCAGACGCAGCAGCAGCAGAGCACAACGCATCATAGTTCCGCATCAGCACTGGCAACAACAACAACCACATCTTCATCATCAGCATCATCATCAACAACAGCATCGACAACAACAACAACAACAACAACATCGCATGGCGGCAGCAGCGGGACAGTGCATGTGGCTGTTGGCAGCCTTAACGGTTGCAACGGCAGCGCCGTCAGTCGCCTATCCCAATCGACGGGCATGTCGCCCCGTGAGCTGTCCGAAAACGATGACCTGGCCACATCGCTAATACTGGATCCGCATTTGGGCTTTCAGACGCACAAAATGAATATACGGTTTAGGCCGCTCAAAGTGGATACACAGCAGCTGAAGGCGATTGTCGATGAGTTTATACATACCCAAAATTATGACATTGCCATACAGCGCATCTACGATGGGCCCTGGATACCGCGTCATCTTAAGAATAAAAACAAAATTGCCACCAAGCGGTTGCACGATCATGTAAGTAGACACAGCAACAATAATATTTCGCAAATTGTCCTGAGATGTTGATATTTGATGATCGATATCGATAACGATAACGATTAAAACTGTTTGCCCAATTATATGTTATCGTTCGTTCTGCGAATTATTCGAGCTACAATGCTATACGTATTAGGCTTCAGATTTGCTCGATTGCATTGGCCAACAATCGATAATTATCGATGCTGGATAAACGGAGCTGTAGCGAAAAGATAAACGTGTGTATTAAACGAGAACTTGCATTCCAAATTTCGCAGTCTTAAGAGATTATGTGCGCCAAAATCAAAGCATTCAGAATTACAAGTTTATCATATCGAATATATCGATAACATTATCGATAGATTCATTCTGTTAGGCAGAAGTGCTCGAAATTGTTTTAAATTTGATATTTTTCTCAACCATATCTGATCAGTTCTCGTGTATATATATATATATATCGGCGATTGTGATCGATCAATAACAATAATGACAATAATTAATCGATCGGGATCTGTGAGATGCTCTCTCTCTCTCTATCTCCATCTCTCACTATGTACATCTCTCTCACACACACTGACCGTGCGGAACAGAACACTAATATGAAAAAAAACAACTCTTTATTCCAATTGAAAATTAGATTGTGCGCTATTTGCGTGTGTTCGACAAGGACAGCGGCTTTGCGATCGAGGCATGCTATCGCTATTCACTGGAGGAGCAGCGCGGCGCAAAGATTAGCTCGACGAAACGCTGGTCAAAGAACGATAAAATCGAATGTCTGGTCGGCTGCATTGCGGAGCTAACGGAGGCCGAGGAGGCGGCATTGCTGCATTCGGGCAAAAATGATTTCTCCGTGATGTACAGCTGCCGCAAGAACTGTGCCCAGCTCTGGCTGGGACCGGCCGCCTACATCAATCACGATTGCCGGGCCAATTGCAAGTTTTTGGCCACGGGCCGTGACACCGCCTGCGTTAAGGTGCTGCGCGACATTGAGGTGGGCGAGGAGATCACCTGTTTCTATGGCGAGGATTTCTTTGGCGATAGCAATCGTTATTGCGAGTGCGAGACATGCGAGCGACGCGGCACTGGCGCCTTTGCCGGCAAACATTCGGCCAATCAGCTGAACGAGGCGATGCTCGGCCTAACGAACGGCCTGGGCCTGGGCCTAGGTCTGGGCGCTGCCGGCGGTGCCAATGGCGGCGGCTATCGTTTGCGCGAAACGGACAATCGCATCAATCGCATCAAGAGTCGCGCCAACAGCACCAACAGCACCTCCAACAGCAACAGCAACGACAGCAGCAGCAACAACACGGCTCAGCCCCACAACAACAACAGCAGCGGAAGCAACAACAACAACAACAACAACAACAGCAGCAGCATTGCTGCTGTGGCACAAACTGTTGCAGCGGTACGGCCCAAGAGCAGCAGCCTGGAGCTAAATGCAGTGGCCCTAATGGACAAGAAGCTGCCCAATGTGGTTGTCTCGCCGCTGACCATGAAGGAGCTGCGCCAGAAGGGCATGACCAAGTACGATGCCGAAATGATAATGGCCAATGCGGCATATCATCAGCAACAGCAGCAGCAGCATCATCACCATCATCATCATCATCATCATCAGCATCAGCATCAGGGGCATCTTCATCATCATACGCATACGCAGCAATATCACACACACCTGCCACACACAGCAGCAGCAGCAGCAGCTGCCGGCGGCGGCAGCAGCAGCAGCAGCAATAATGCAGAGGCCGCCAGCCAGGCAACGGCTATGCAGAAGCCGCAGCAGGCAGCCGCCGAGCTGAGCAATGGACGCGGCATCAGCACGCTGCGCAAGTCGATGCGCGTGAACAGCACCAGCAGCAGCATATCGACAGCCTCCACGGACGAGCCGCCGCTGGCCAGCTATGCAGCAACGGGCGCAGCAGCAACAACAACAACAGTTGCAGCCATAGCCAAGGCGCCGGTTGTGCTGGTGCCGCGCTATAAGCCAGCTGCTGTTGCCGCCGTGCTGCAGCAGCAGCAACAACAGCAGCAGCAGCGCCAGCAACAGCGCCAGCTGCGGCGCAGCGAACGCCAGACGCAGCGGCAAAAGGTCTGCATGGACACGACACAGCTGCTGGGCAAATATTTAACGGACAGCGAGAGCAGCGACACGGACTTGCAGCAGCAACATCAACAGCAGCCGGCAGCTGATGTGCCAGCAACAGCAGCAGCAACGGGCTCGTCCACGCTGGAGAAGCGCGTGACACGCAACAGCGCCGGACGCGCTGCCGCCGCGGCGGCTGCAGCAGCAGCAGCAGCAACAACAACAACAACAATAAACAACAACAACAACACAGCAACAATAACTGCCCACAACAACAACAACAACAACAGCAGCAGCAGCAGCAACAACATAAAAACAACGATTACAAATTGTAATAATTTAAATATTAGTAATAGCTGTAGAAATAATGTTAGCGCTAGATTTAGTGAACGCAAGCTGAAGCCGAGCGAGCCGGCGCCAGCGGCAACGACGACGACGGCTTCGTTAGCAAACCTGGCGGTGCCCTCGTCGTCAAACTGCTCGCCAGGCGAACAGCAGCAGCAACTGCAACAGCAGCAGCAGCATCAGAAACAACAGCAGCAGCAACAACAACAGCAGCAGGCAACGGCAGCAGCAGCAGCAACAGCAACACGCAGTCGCAGCAGCAGTCCCGCCTATAAAAAGAACCTCATCGCCAGCTTTGAGCAAGCCAACAAGCGTCAGGCAACAGCAGCAACAGTTGCTGAGGATATGCCCGCCGCAGAGCCGGGCAAGCAGAAGCGTAGCCGACGCGCCGCCGCGCTGGCCGCCGCACAGCATATACACTGCGAGGCAGTTGCCGGCGTGCTACAGCGCAAGCGACATCAGACGACGGCAGCAGCAACAACAACAACAACAGCAGCAGCAACGGCAACAACATCAGCAGCAGCAACAACAAGCGGTAGCAGCGCTGTGGAGCCGCTTTTGAAAACGCCCGAGCGACGGCTGAAGCTGACGCTGCGCATGAAGCGCTCGCCCATATTGGATGAAGTCTTTGAGCTGGGCACCAGCCTCGGCGAGGATCGACAGCATGCCCAGCAAAATGGACACGCCGCCAATCGAGCCAGCCAAGCGCACAGCAGCAGCAGCAGCAGCGGCGGAGGCAGCGGAGGAGCAGGCGGACGTAACAGCAGCAACAATGTCGGCGCCGGCGGCAACAGCAGCAACAGCAACAACAATGCCCTGCACAATGCCAGCAGCAGCAGCAGCGGCGGCATTGAATATGAAATCTTACGCATGGAGGGCATATCAGAGCATGGCAATGATGATGATGAGGAGGACGAGGAGGAGGAGGAGGAGGATGACGACGACGACGACGATGACGAGGAAGCCGAAGAGGAGGAGGAGGAACAGGAGCTAAATGAAGAAGAGGGTCTTGAGCTTGAACAAGAGCAGCTCCAGCAGCTTAAGCAGCAGCAGCTCAAGCAGCAGCAGCAGCAGCAGCATCATCATCCGGAGGCGTCTGGCAGCGATGCCTCCGACTGGCGCTACACAGAAAAAACGCGACGCAGTCGCCGCAGCGCCCAAAGCGCCGCCAGCACGCCGCCGCCGCCTCAAGTTGCCAGCAGCAGCAGCAGCAGCAACATTTACGGCACGCCACAAAAGAAGCGACTGCGCCTGATCTTTGGCAACGAGTCGCACACAATAGACATTCCACCAGCAAGCACAACAGCAACTGTTGCAGCTGCAGCAGCAACTGTTGGTAGCGGCATCGATGAGCTCAACAGCAGCGGCGGCGGCGACGGCGGCGGGGATGAATCCTTTAATGCTTCCTATGCCAGCAGCAGCAGCAGCAGCGGCGCCAACGGCAGCGGCAGCGGCACCAGCATGACCGTCAACACCTCCTCGCTGAACAGCACGCCCACATCCAGCGCCTCCTTGGAGCTTGAGGCGGCAACAACAACAACATCTGCTGCTGCTGCTGCTGCTGCAACGTCAAGAGCTGCAACAGGAACGGGAACGGGAACGCGACTGCCCGCAGCTGATTCACCCACATCGACAACATCCAGCGTCGGCTCCTTTCAATCGGCCTGCACCTCAACAACCAATTTCTTTACGCGCTCCAAGTCGCCCAGCAGCAGCAACAGCTACCAGCTGAACGGCAGTCGCAGCAACAGCAGCAACTACATGCCCTACTATCAGCAGCAGCAGCAGCAACAACAACAACAGCAGCAACAACAACAGCAGCAGCAATTGAGCAAATTTGGCAGCAGCAACAAACGCGCTGCATCGGAGCAGGCGCAGGCCGTGGTCAGCAGCAGCAGCAGCAGCAACAACAACAACAACAGCAACAGCAACAACAGCAGCAACAGCAACAACAACAGCAACAGCTCGACCATGGGCAGCAGCAACAACAGCGCAACTGTTGCCGCGAGCAGCGTTTCCAGCAGTCACACCTTTCTGCCTCAGGCTCTGACCATGCCCAAGCACACGTTCGGCACCTGTGCGCTGCTGGCGCCCACAAGCTTTGCCAACCTGCAGCAGCAGCAGCAACAGCAGCAGACGTCTAAGCTGGCAGCGGAGCAACAACAGCAGCTGCCCACGTCCTCGTCGCCGCAGCATCATCATCATCATCATCAGCAGCAGCAGCAGCAGCAACAACAACAACAACATAGCAACAAATAACCAACGACTGATCTCTATGCGGATTGACTGCGCTGCTGCCATTGCCAACAACAACTGCAACAACTGCGACAGCAACAACAACAATTTGATAACATTTATTTAATAATTTCGCCGCAGCCGCCTGCCCTTGCCTGCTGCTAACCCTAAAAGTTGCAATCCCTTAAGTAGCGTTAGGTCGTCTCTCTCTCTGTGTGTGTGTGTGTGTTTGTGTGCGCGCGTACGCTTCGGCTGTCTGGCAACTCTGTCTGCATAATTGTTGGAAGGGAGGGGGGGGTAGTTGAGTCCGTTATTATAAGAGCATCAGAGCTTTGCGTATGTGTAAATGCATGTGTCAGGTAGTCAGTGCCCAAGAAGAAGAAGAAAAAAACAAAAGCAAAAAACAAAAAACAAAAATCATGATCAGCCAAACAATAACAATAATAATAACAACAACAACAACAAAAACAACAACAACAAATGTCTGTTTTAGCAAATCTTTGATTATACATTTCTTTTTTGCTTTTTTTCCATTTCTCTCTCCCTCTTTTTCTCTTTCTCTCTCTCTCTCTCTCTCTCTCTCTCTTGCCATTGCAGATGGATATTTAAAGCATAAAAGTAGCAAAAAAGCGTGTGTTAAACAAATTGTTGCAGTTGGTGGTGGTGGTGGTAATGTTAATGATAATGAGCAACATAATAAGATTAATATAAATAATAATAATAATACCGATTACAATAATTCTAATGCTAACAGCAGCAGCAGCAGCAACAACATAGTTAAAAAATTAAGAATAGAATTAAAACGCATACAAATCATGTACAGTTGAAATGTTACGAAACGAAATGCTAAAAACGTTGAACGGTTAACGAAAGCGGCGCGTCAGCAGCGACAACAGTTAACAAGCAGCGCCAGCGCAGCAGCAGCAGCAACAACAACAACAACAGCAACATGAACAGTTACAACAGCAAGGAGCACATTGCCATTGATCGGAGCAGAGCGGCGCATACGAGGAGCGCAACAAATAGATAATGTTGCTGGCCTGCTCGCTCTCGCGCTATTTCTTCCAGTTGTGAACGATGAGGCGAAGTAAAAATGAAAGAAATGAAACATATAAATTCAAAACGTATAACAAAAAATATATTCTAAATGCACATAAACAGACAAACACACACCCACACACACACACACACACACACATACACACGGACACACAGACACAACCACAAACGCAATTAGCAGCGGTTTTAGAAGCCTTACGACTAAAGTTAAATTTATGAACAATATTAAAATAATAAATATAACAAATTATATATGATATGTGTATATGAAACGAGAGAAGAAAAACCAACAACAACAACAACAAATATATAAGCCAACAGGAGCAGCAAGATAACAACAACAAAATAGCAGCAAACAAATAACAAAAACAATAGCAACAAAGCAACATATATATATATACATACACATATATATATGTATGTATATGTATGTATGTATGTATATTTGCAAGCATAGCAAACCAAATTCATTTCACACAAACAAATAAAATGTATATAAAAACGGGAAATTAAAACAAACAACAAAATTTAATACATATAAAACCTATTTAAATTATAACTAAAAAGAAAAACATATATTTAAAACACAATACTTAAAATGAAAAATAAATAAAAATAAAAGAAAAAAAAAACGGGGCTGCAAGAAATGAAACAAAAAAATTGTTTGACGATTTGTGTAAATTAAAAACAAACAAAAAACAACAACAAAAAGAAACAACATGATTTTTTGCACATTTTTGTATTTGTATTTCATTTGTTTTGTTGATGTGTGTTTCATCAAAATTTCCAAAAAAAAAAAAAAAAACAAAATGCACATACATATACTTATGTATTTCAACAAATATGCAACAACAACAACAACAACATTAACAAAAACAACATTTTGTTAACTAGCAAAAGAAATTCATTGCAACAACATTGTTAGTTTTAGTTTATTAATAATTTAATTTTACGCATAAACACACACACATATATACACACTCACACACACACAAGCATACAAACATGTATTTGCCCCCCCCCCCTCATTTTTTTTTTTTTTTGTTTTTACGCCTAAGTTTGATTTTAAAGTTTAGCACATTAATTAGTTTTATACAAGCGATTATAATATATATTTACAAATACAACAATTATATTAAATATATCTACATACATATATATATATATATGTATATATACATATAAATACATACACATATTCTTCAGCTAAATGCGCGGCGTGCTGCGCTGTCTAACGGTCCGGGCCTCTGCCTCAAAGTTAGCGGTTCACATTGCTTGATGGGGAGAGGGAAGGGGGTGTGGTATTGAAATATGCACGGTTTTGCACGCCGCGTCATTGAGCTAGTTTTAGTTTTGATTTTATTTATATACATAACTATTTTTTTTTTGATATACAAAAATACCGATTCATATGTAATTGTGATGTGCATTCTTTTACATTGCACGGCAGCAGCAGCAATAATAACAATAATAATAATAATAATAATACTAATAATAAACAAAACTAATTAGGTTTGAATTGCACGTATTTTGGATCGACTCCCGCCGTCTCAGCAACCCCAAAGAACACACAGAGCAGAAAGTTCGCTCATGCGCTTATCTCGCTAGAGTTTAGGGTTGGATTTCGATGTGACCATTTTGCGGTTCGGGCTATGACCGATTGCGCGACACCCTGTTTAGCGTGTAGTAACCGTTTTATAAGTGTCGCAGAGTGCTATTCATTGTTGTTAATTATCTAGTTAAATCAGCTGCTCAAAAAAAAAAAAAAAAAAACAAACAAACAAAACTCAGTTATTTTTTGTTAATTGACAAGACTGCACCAATATGACCCTTTTCGACACCGGTACAGGGTATCGTCTCGCGCTGAGAGAGCGCAGGCGGTTAAATTTTCTTCGCGCGCAAGACGTTAATTTAAATTTAATTATAAAAACTGTGCTGCACCCTTCAATGAAAATACCAAAAAAAAAAAAAAACGGAAAGAGCGAAAACTCTTTTGTGTAAAACACGCGATTTTATTTATGACGAGCCTCGAACTTAACATAAACTCGTGTATTTTAACCTAATCACATAATATAGATTAATGTGCTTGTGTACGGTACGCATAGGTGTATGTCCATCGAGTGTCAGGATACAGATACTATCCGGCAATATGAACGTTCCAGTAAGCCGATTCTGATTAATGTACTGGCGACAGCATTGTCTGCCTGTCTGTCTGTGCTGTGCTGTGCTGTGTGGTGTGTGTGCTGTGTGTGGTGTGGACGTTTCGGTTGGTTGTGTTGCCGGTATTAGTGTCCGTACTTTTGGAAGTCCCATTCGCGGTTGTCCAGCGGGCAAACCTGACGCGTCTTTAGCCAACGTGAAATGCAATGGAAATGAAAGGCATGATTGCAAACGCCCCAGGCGACGGTGCACTCCTCGCTGGTGGCGGATGCCTGATTTGCCTGGCACTCGATGCATAAGTCCATTATATGATTCCGGCAGATAGCGCAGTTGTCCACAACGATATCTGCACGAAAGATTTTGATCAGTTAGGTTAGTTTTTGGTATTGTCTGTCCACTTACCCCACGCCCAGAGTGCCACAGCATTCCACTGTAGCCGGAGGAGGATGAGATAGTAGAGAAAGAAAATTATTAACACGCCGACATGACTTGCGAATTCGCCATTTTGTTTTTTTTTTTTTTTTAATTGTTACGATATACTATATTTTAAATTACCTTTTTAACCTCGAAACGTTTCTTTTCGCCTTTGCTGCTGCTGGAGGGAACCTCGAACTCTTCTTCGTCGACTTCCATTTGATGCGTTTTGTATTAGTTTGTTCGTTTACTTAATAAGATATGACATTGATTTCCTAAAATAAAGTTTCGGTATGACGTATATCGATGTTTTTATAATCGTTTACTTTTGTTTCCATGGCATTCTCTCGGCCTAGTCGGTTAATTCTAGCGGATGGCACTTTACGAACTTCAAATACGATATATATCGATGAATTTTTCAAGGCATCCGCCTTAAAACATCGCTAGGCGATGTCATGGCTGCCACACTGAAAAACCATATTCCAAAAGTTAAAATATTAATTTAAGTTTAAAAAAAAAAAAAAAAAATTTTTTTTTAACAATTAACGAACAACTGGGGAATAAATATTAAAAAATAAATACCTATTATGAATTTGTTTGTGATTGACTGTCGGTACATTTAATTAGCCGGCATATACTTTTGTGTAACGCCCTTTTATTTTTAAAAATATATTTGTGTAATTTGTAATACATATATCTAGTCAATATATTTAATAAAAAAGAAATGTATATATATCAAAACATAAATAGAAACAAGTCATCGCTAGCAAACGTTCGACAAGGTTCGACAAATTGTTTGTTTTTGAATTTGTACAAAATTCGATATTATTTCTTCTATTTCATGAGACGACAGTATTTTCGTGGTATTTGAGACAAATTGTTGGTATTTTGTCGCTCTTGAATTGCAGCAACACTGTTTACACACCACAGAATTTCGTACGTTCGCACGTGTTTTGTTTTCTTTTCTATTGGAATTTGACATTAGCTCGAAAGAATTTCACAACAAAAAGCGTTGTGCGACAAACCCATGGAGCACGTCAACTATACCAGCATCAGCCAGCTGGGCGCTGACGGCAACAGCAGTGCAAATGCCGCGATGATACTTTGCTGCGAATGTGGCGTCGCCATACAACCAAATCCTGCCAATATGTGTGTGACATGTTTGCGGAATCATGTGGACATTACGGAGAATATACCAAAGCAGGCGGTGCTGCATTTTTGTCGCAACTGCGAACGGTATCTGCAGCCGCCCAACGAATGGGTGCAGGCATCCCTTGAGTCTCGTGAACTGCTCGCCGTTTGTCTGAAGAAGCTCAAAGGACTCAAAGAAGTGAAACTGGTAGATGCGGGCTTCATCTGGACGGAACAGCACTCGAAACGCATCAAGGTTAAGCTGACCGTGCACGGCGAAATCTCCGGCGGCACTGTGCTCCAACAGGTCTTCATTGTTGAGTTCACCGTACAGAATCAAATGTGCACCGATTGCCATCGCACCGAGGCAAAGGACTTCTGGCGCTGTCTGGTCCAGGTGCGTCAGCGTGCCGAAAACAAGAAGACCTTCTACTATCTGGAACAGCTGATACTCAAATACAAGGCGCACGAGAATACGCTGGGCATCAAGCCGGAGCATGGCGGTCTTGATTTTTACTATGTCAGCGAGAATCATGCCCGTCGCATGGTCGATTTTCTGCAAACCATGGTCCCGGCCAAGGTGACAACATCGAAGCGCCTCATCTCGCACGATATACACAGCAACAACTACAATTACAAGTACTCTTGGTCTGTCGAAATAGCGCCCGTATCGAAGGACAGCGCCGTCTGCATCTCGAAGAAGCTGCGCCAGCAGCTGGGCAACATTTCGCCCGTTTGTCTGGTGAATCGCGTCTCAAGCAACATACATCTGATCGATCCATTGACGGGACAAATTGCCGAACTAACAACACAGGTATATTTTCGGGCACCCTTCGAGGCCATCTGCAATCCCAAGCAGCTGGTCGAGTATGTGGTCATGGACATTGATGTCATACACGAAAAGGATCGCAAATGCTATCCCGGCCAGGGTATGTTGTCCAATAAGCATGCCCTCTGCGATGTCTGGGTGGTGCGCACCTCCGAGCTGGGCATCAACGATAATCCCATACACACACGCTCCCATTTGGGGCATCTGCTCAAGGTGGGCGACTCGGTGATGGGCTACAATACCGGCGAGGCGAACATCAATGATCCCGAATTTGATAAATTGCCATCGCATCTGATACCGGACGTAATACTGGTGCGCAAACATTACGATCGACAGACGCGTCTCAGCCAGCGCCTGTGGAAGATCAAGCATCTGGCCGATGAGAAGACCGATGAGCGCAGCAAATACGATTATCATGAGTTTCTCGATGATATCGAGGAGAATCCCGATATACGCGGACACATCAACATTTATCGTGATAGCAAAAAGCCGCTGCCCATCGAGGTGCAGCCGAGCGCCGGCGATGTGCCCCAGATAACGCTCGCCGAGATGCTCGAGGATATGACGCTAGACTGTGCCGACGATGAGATGGGCGACCTCAGCGAGCAGCCGGACGCCAACGAGCTGCCGGAGCCGCAGCTATAGAAAGTTTAGCTTTTTCTTTATTTTTATTACATTTTATTTATGTATTTACATGTACATAATTTCTATATATATATGTGTGTATATATTTGCGGAATAAAACCAACATTACATTTTCAATGGATATCTTTGGCGCCTTGGCTCCCAACTGAAGCTCCCTCCATCATCCCGATAAACTCTACAAAAACGAACCCGTTCGCGTTCACAAGAAATAGTTTGGCATCGTTTGGTTTTCCCAATTAAAAAACAACATCGAGATTTACTTTTCAAATTGCAACGAACGCGCATAATCAACTGTCGCACATATATAAATTTGATTTGAATAATTATTAGATTTGATTCACATTTAGATCGTTTTGCTATATATATCTCATGGTGCATATCGTATGCATGTTACAACAGATCCGATTTTGATTAGAATTCGTATTTCGCTTAACACATTTAGATTCGAATTGATTTTTGCTGTTCAGAACAGCCACAATATTATATATATATATATATATATATGTACGTGTGATAGGAACAATCGTGAGAAATAATAGGCTGAGATCGGTCTAATATATGGGTTTAACCTCTTGCTTATACAGATCAGGAACAATTGATAGAAGCGATAGCTGTCCTTCATGGAGATGTACATAAATTCGATTTGCATATAGATTATAGATATAGAGATTAGATTGGTAATCGTAATCGTACTTAATTTAATACAATTGAACTAAAAACAAACAAAAAACAACAACAACAACAACAACAACAAGAAATATTACAGCTGAGTTGTGGTTATTGATGCTACAACAGTTTTGGCTTGAATGCAGCTCGGACTCGGTTTTGTACGCCCCGAATTTTAATACGATAAACTCTTCTGCGTGGTGCGTTTAGGACAGGCCCAGCTTGGGCTTCTCCTTGAAAAAGTAGACATCATCGCAGTCGCAGCGCTGTGAGGCCTCCATCTCGAGCAGCACACGCTTGATCACCGGCAGGATGTGCTTGCGCGTGGCCTGTATATTGTGCTGTCGCAAATAGCAGCCGCCCATGAAGTGCGTATCGATCGTGTGCGGCTGCAGATTGAGCGGCGGCGTCTGGCAATCGAGCAGCGCCTTGCGCACACGCTCCACCAGCTGTGTCTGGCCGGTCAGCGAGATTAGCGCCACGTCGCGCACCACCTGACCGTGGCCGGGCGGCACAAACATGCCCAGTATGACGGCCAGATTGCTGCCCATCGCAAATTCGCGTATTGCCTGTTCCGCATCGTTTAGCTCTATGAAATCGCGCACCAGCATCGGCAGCCCGGCCATGGGCACCGTATGGTGTTCGGTCTGCAGCTTTTTCATATCCTTGCGCAGCACCTCGGCCAGGGTTAGCCGGCTAATGTCGGCACGTGCGGCCACCAGCTCATCGAAGAGGCTGCGACGACGTCGCTTATTCTCGGCATCATCGAATTGCCCGCCTGCCGGTTCAAGCATCATTAGCTCCAGCTGCTCGACCATGGCCAGATCGCGTGCACAAAAACGTTTGGCAGCCGGCGCAAAATTAATCGTATCCAGCAATATGGTGGCATGCAGCAGCTGGGTGACTCGGCTCGAGCGCGGCTGCTTCTCGGCCAAATAGCGTTCGCCGATGAGCGTTGCACAGGAGCCCAGCTCGGGCTCAATGTGGCGCACGCACTGCTCCGGCAGCAGCTGCATGGCCGGATTTGATTCCAGCGGTCGATGATCGAGTATTTCGACAACATGCCTGGCCAAATTGCTGACATGATGATCCACGAGAATGACATTGATATCGCCGGTCAATTGCTGGGGCAGATCGTCGCGAAAGAGCAGCATTTGCTCAGTGATTTCACACCTGTTGAGCATGTGACCCACCTCCGTTTTGAGCGGATAATCGAGACGCGGTATATTGAGCACCGGCACATAATCGTGTCCCTGCTCTCGCTGGGCATAGATGAAGGCCAGCGTTAAGGCCGAAACTGCCGAGTCCAGATCGCACGACTCATTGCCCAATACCAGATGCAGTTTCCGTGCTGTGCTGTCCGCCTCCAAATGCCGAGCTGAACTCGAACCGGAGCCGGAGCCCGAGCTCGGGCTGCCGCTGGTGCTGGCCGCTTTCTCGGGTAGATACTGTAATTGTTAAGTGAAGGCGTTAAGTGAGCTGGATAGCATATTGTTGCTGTTTTACTTACGCGGCTGAGCGTCGAACGCGCCTGCATTAGAAAACGCAAAAAACACATTGGCCAAGCAAAGCGGAGCGCACTCAATTAAATGGAATTAATAATAAACGGCTGGAATGTGAAAGCTACAGTTGTCACCCATCAATCGAATACACTCGATAGGCACAAGCCACAAATATCGATTAAGCTCAGCTGATGTGCGCATTTCATTAAATGTCCACAAACAGTTAACTATTTTGCAATTAGGCTGCGCACGTTCAAACAGTCCAACCGTTATTCGATAATTGTAACAGTTGAGTATCTGAAGAATCGATACCCAAAAGTATCGCCGTGAACAAGTACGCAATGTCTGGCTTAAGTACTAATTCGTTAGCCTGTCCACTAGAATTTCTCAATGCTCGACGTTTTTGAAAAGATATGTTGTTCTTTTGCCATGCAAAAAAATAAGTTAATTATTATAAAAACACTTGATCGAAGCTGCCATCGAGTACGATATGCGTGTCTATCGATGATTTTAACGCTGCTAATCGATAGCAATTCCTAGCCATCCCTACTTTTCAATTAAACGGCATTTTTGTGCGCGTCACATTAGATATCAAGTTGTTTTCTATTTCGACCATTTCTGACAATCTCAGAGCCAATCACACAAGTATCCCAACCAAAATGGACACGCCGCGTCGCAAACTGCGCAACCTGCACATGGAGAATGTGCAAAACAATAGCACACCCATACGAATACCACCATCACCGATGCTGAAAACACTTGGACACGGCACCGGTGTCAGTGTCTATCGCCTGGATAGGTCACCAAAGCTGGGACGTATACGTTCACCGTGGGCCGTTAAGCGCATCACACAGCGTACCAGGGCCAAAAAGGATCCGGTCTACAATGACCGCATCATACACGAAGCAGCCATTTTGCGGTGGGTCCTTCACTGTATGCCATTTTTCGGTGGCCTGATTGCATATGCATATGTATTTTCCAACTGATGGTGTATACCAACGTATGCACGCACACACGCATACGCACACGCGGTGTATACACACGTGGGCGAGCCGGTGGCTGACAGTATGTGTGCGTGCGTGTGTGTGTGTGTGTGTGCGAATGCATGCGTGTGCATATGCGTGAGGCTGCTGCGTCGCACATGTGTGCGTGCATTTGGTGTACACAATTGTGGTCGTTACCCAGTTGGAAATTTGCCGATGTAAGAAATCCTGCTTAGGCAGCTCGATGACATCTTTGTTATTAGACAACACACATGTCGATCGTGTCCTGTAGAGGAGTCTCTTATGTCGCGGCAATCTCTGTTTGTTTTGTGCTTGCATAGTACAAGACGAGCTGGATGACATGTCACTGAGATCGGGTTGTACGTTAATAATATGACATAAATGAGCATTGACTGATTAAACTGCCTTCGATGACATTTGTTTTTTGTATACAATTGTTATAGACACAATCGCTGACATGTCACCGAGATCGTCATGCAGGTTTTTTTTTTCAATGTCATTGAGCACCAAATTTCCAGCAGGGCTGTTAAGAGCTCAACAAGAGCTCAATATATAAACCTACATATATATATCATGTGTCGTCTGTTCCACAGCAAGCTGAATCATCCGAACATTGTTGGCTTTCGGGGCGTTATCAAATCATCGGAGGGCGTGGATGCATTGGCATTGGAAATGTGCAGTACGTCGTTGGGCTCCATATTGGAGGAGCGTCACGATGAGGATCTTGGACCGTTGCCCGCCAAACACACATTCAAAATGATAATGGACATTGCCCATGCTCTCGACTTTTTGCATACCGAGGCGCGTCTGCTGCACGGCGATCTCAAGTCCTTCAATGTTCTGGTGAAGGGCGAGTTCGAAATATGCAAACTCTGCGATTTTGGCGTATCGCTGCCGCTCGATGAGAATGGCGAGATAAACTTTCACAAAAATCCGCATCTACAATATGTGGGTAAGTTGGCATGAAGCTCTTAAAGCGCGTCAAGTTGAACTTAATGAGACGATCTTTGACAGGCACGCAACTGTGGTCGCCGCCAGAGATCATGGACGAGGTGGAGATCATCGACAGCAAAGCTGATATCTTTAGTTTTGGCCTGATCATATACGAGACGCTGGCGCTGGTGCCGCCGCACACGCTCGAACTGGACGCGGCCTTCAACAGCAGCTCAATCATTGACTTGGACAGCTCCCAGGAGCTGCCGCAGCGCAAGCAGCTCAATTATACGGACGAGGGCCATACGAGTGCCGTGCACGCGCAGCCGGACGAGTCCAGCGCCAAAGAGTGCGCCGACGATGCATCCGTTTACACCGATGAGGACGACACCAAAGAGAATGACATTTCCGACTATTCGCTGACGCATGTGGAGCAGGCGTATGGCACACGGCCGCCATTGCCGGTTGCCTTTCAGCTGAGCGATGATTACAATTGTGTCGTCGAGCTGTTCTATTTGTGCACCAATGCACACAGCGAGGATCGGCCTGCGGCACGCACCATTTGGCAATGTTTCGAGAATAATGCGGCCAATGTGGCAGCTGCCAGTGATGCGGCCAGCGACTAAGCCTCTCTGGCTGCCAATTAAACCATAAAACGTTAACTATAAACAACAAAAACAAAAAAAAAACTAGTTTTGTAAGCCTGCATTTGTGTATCTCGCTCTATCTATCTATCTCTGTTCCTCTGACCCGTTCCCCTACCCCCTTTCGTTGTTTGTGTCCCCCGTTTTGCGTACCTAAATGTATAATTCCTCATGCGCTGTAAAAAGAATGCAACTGCAACATTTTTTGAAGAAGGCCAAAAGAAAAGAACTTAATTCTATTTCAACTAGTTTTAGGCTCAACACACACACACACACAAACACACATATAAATATATATATATATATATATATAAATATTATAAATATTCCATGTATTCCATTTACGCTATATGAAATAGCTAAAAAGAAGAAAACAAATAACGTTCGTTCATTTTTGTCCATAATTCGCAAAAATAAAAAAAAAAAAAGATTAACAAATTTATCGCTCGCCTTTAATTGTTAACTATTAAACATTTCCCAATAATATATTTAAATTTTGCTAGTTTTAGGAGAGGATTTTTTTAGGATATGAAATAAAACTCGAAAATTTAATAAGTTTTCAGTGCACTAAAAAGTTCACTAAGGATTTATTCAAAATACATGCACAATAATATTAATTGTTCTTAGATGTTGTTCTCTTCTTCTTCTTGCTGTTGTTGTCTTTCTTTTTAGCATAATCTTAATAGTTGTTCGATTTGTATTAGTTAAATTATATACGCGTCGCTTTAACAATGCTTAGCTGCTGCTTTTTTAGAGTATAGGGTATAGGTTATTCGGTGTGTGTGTGTGTGTGTGTGTATATATGTCTAAAATATGTCTTTCATATGTGTTTTTTGTTAACTTCAAGTCTGCAGTTTTAATTGTTTATATATATATAGAGATATATATACTTTGCATAGAAACGTGTATAAAAACATCTATAATATATAAATATATATATATATATATATATATATATATATGTGTGTGTGTATGTATGTATAGTATAGTATAGTCTAGGTATATCGTATAAAACGTTATGCGTTTGCTAATTGTTCTTTCTTTTTTTAAAGGCGCTGTTGGTGTTCTTTTTTTTTTTTGTTTTTCTCTTAATTCTCAACTTTAGACGTACAAAATACAAATACAAAAAAATAAACACAAAACTTGATTGGGACAACAAAAGAAAACACAGTTTAAAAGCGGAATACAATAAAATATTAAATAAAATAAAATATAATATATATTAAGAATATTAAGTAACACTTTTCTTAAGCTCGCACACGTTACAAACATATTTAAAAAAAAAAATTGTATATATATATAAATTGAAATTAGACGGAACAAACAAACATTTTTGCTTAAATTTTTAGCTAAGGTTGTAAGTACATACAAAATGTTTAATTGTTGTGTGTGTGTGTGTGGGTGGGTGTGCGTGTGTGTGTGTGCCGCAAAGTACATAAATGGAATGCAATGTTTAAGTTTGAGGCGTGTCTAAGGCGTGGGCGTGGCTCGCATTGCAATTAAACAATTACAACTGAAAGCAGCCTCTCGCTCTCTCTCTCTCTCTCCCTCCCTCTCTCTCTTTCGCTCGCTCTTCTATATTCCTGCTCACTCTAACAAGGAATATCTGTATGTGTGTGCATGTATGTGTGAAAAATTAATTTAAAAAATAAACAATATGCCTGGGAACTGGAAACGTTTGAAATGTGGAATGTGGACTGCATATATAATCCCAATATTATATATAATTAATGTGTATGTGTGTGTGTGTGAGTGTGTGTGACCTGCTGCCTTTTGCATTATTGTTTTTCCTCTTTTCGTTTTCTTTTTTTTGCGCGCTTTTACAAATGCAAGACCCCATCCTTGACATCGCTGGCCAGAATTGTGGACGCATTGGAGGCGGCCTGTTTGTGATGCGTCGATGGCGACGAGGACAACTGATGACTGTGTGTGGTTGTTGTGACTGTGACGCCTCCGACGTTGCCGCTGGTGGGGCTCTCGTCGAGCGTAACGCCGGTCAGGTCAACAATATCATCTTGATCCTCGTGCTCCAGCTCATCGGAGGTGTTCGTATGATTCGTATGATGCGATCCGCTCGATAGCTGGCTGTTGCGCGAGAAGGAGCCGCGATGCGTTGACGTCAGAGTCCGCTGATTGGCCGGCTTGACGGTGATGATCAAATTGGAGCTATTGGCGACCATCATGTCGGTGACCTATAACAGTAGTTGCTTGGGATTAGTAAATGGGGCCAGTTGAGGCAACTGCGCTACGGTCTACCTGATCCAGAGTCTTGCCGGCCACCTCGATGCCATTGACCTCGATGACCTCGTCGTTGACGGCGAGCAGGCCGGTGCTTTCGGCCAGACCGCCGGGCACCAGGCGTGATATAAAGATGCCCGGCTGCTTCTCCAGGCCGCTGGCTGTCACACGCACGGAGGTGCCGTCGCGTATGTAAAAGCCGAGCGGCTTGTCGCTGCCGTGCTTGAGCAGACGGACACGCCGGTGCGTCTCCGGCACAATGTCCACATCAATGATGGCCGATACCTGCCGGAAATCGTGCGGTATGGATATCGATGGGGCTTTGGTCTTAACCGGCGTATGGCCAAGTATGCTGCCAATTAGATTGCGCGGCTTCATCGTGCCAAAGCCGGAATACTCGTTCAGATCGTCTATAAAAATGATCATACAAATATTATCTCTCTCTCTCTCTCTCTATCTCTAGATAATCTATATTAACTATGCCCACCTTTGCGCTGGACAATAACGCGCAGCAGAGGACGGGCCGTTTTGAGTGCACGCCCAAAGTTGTCATCGTTGTTGATGGGCAACAGGTCGTTGTCGCGCGGATCAATGTAGAGTATTAGAAACTGTATGTTGGCCAGCTTGTGCAGCTGTTCGATGAGGTTGGCGAACTTATCGAAGCTCTGCTCGGGCTCGTGACGTTTAAAGCTCCAGCGTCGGAACTCGGCATCGAACTATAACAAAGCAACGGTTAATTTCAATGAACTTAACGAAATACTCATATGTACATCATATCAACAACAAGCTGGCAACGCCGCCAACTGTTGCTGCACACAAACAACATTCAACAGCAGCAACAACAGCAACAACACGAAAGTGTACAATTTGTGGCTGGCATGAATCAGCAGCGGTGCCGCAGCCTCATATTAGCATACCCCAGCAATGGATGCATTCCATTGTGCTGCTGATGCATTTGCATCCTGCTTGTTGGGTTGTTGGCTCACCTTTGATTTCACTTCAATTAGATTCGTTTCGGCGTTGGCTGCCGTCGCCGCGGTTGTGTTTATTTTATTCTTCGACATTATTTTGCCCACTTCTCGATTCCACTTCCAATTGCACACACACAAATTCACAGCAACACCAACGCACAACTGATGCAGTGCGTGTTGTTCATTCAAGTGCCGTTGCGGCGCCAACCACCAGCAGTAGCCAAACGTTGAGTGGCCAAGGAAATTTAAATAAAATTGTATAATAAATTATAATTCGAAAAAAATCTAAACTAAAACTAAATTATGCGTTGGCGTTTGTGTAAAAAAACATCGAGACATCGCGATTTTTCTTGCAGCGATCGGCACCACAATTGTTGCATACATGTATATCGATATATTTGAAAAGGTGTAATTTTATCGTTCATTGATCGACAAATAATAGCTTCAGGCACACATAGATCCTACTAAGATCTAAATGCAAGTGAATTCCTTACATTTATGCATAGGGTAAACATAATAAATACAGCAAAGTTGTTTGAATTTGTACGCAACGTATAATTTGGCTTATCGATATTTTTCGCATTTTAAAATACTAACTAACCACCGCCCCTAATTTTTTTCCATAAATGTGGCAACGCCAATTGCACAATTGCATTAAATAAAACATAATAAAGGGCAAATAAAATATACGTTTCTCATCAAAATGTGTACATTTTGAAAACATATATTTTGAATATAACTTCAGTTTATTTTGTTACAATGAATTCATACTGAATACTTTAGGAACTGTTGCGGAACTGTCCAATTCGATAAACACGAGCGGGACAACACTAGTGCATGCGCATGAAAGGAGTATAGATAGCTGCTTGATGGTACGGACCGAGCACACTTGTGCATACACTGCATATTAACAAAAAAGAAAATTAATAACAATTTAGACAACATCTAATAATAATTCGAGTTAATTTGCCGATTATCAAGCAAATACACACTGTCATTGTCGAACACTGACTTCTGACACGACAAATTGAAGGTGAGCGACAAGCGTACGGGCAGAGCATAAAGCAAAACCAACATAGCCGACAGTATAGCGTATACCATACGACGAGGGTTTCTGTAAATGGAGGCTGTTTTGTGTTTTGTTGTTGAGCGTGAAGTGTGCAATTGAGTAGAAATTGTGTGTGCTTCTTTTTTTTTTTTGTTTTTTAAATGTTTCGAGAAGCCAATAACCAAATAGGAAAACAAATCGATTTCAGTTTTAAGCATATACAAACAACTAACAAGCATACAGTACGAGGCAGCAGATATAAAACGGGCGCAAATTGGAAAAACAGCAACGAAGACGAAAACGAAAACAGAGCAAAACGTTTTCTCTCCTACCACCATACTTACACCCCCGCCCCGCTATCCCCCGCCCCGCTTACACACACACACACACACACGAGACGCTGACGCGACGCCAGTGAAAATACAGTTAGTAGCTAAGCTTTTTAAATACAGTTCTCGCGCCGCCAACGAGCAGAGCTTCAGGACAGTTGAGAGCAGACATTAAGGAAACCTTGAGAGCCAGTCATACATACACATACACATCAACACAGAAGCACACGCACAGCTACACAACACACACACACCCACACCCACACACACACACACCGACACATACAAATACATACACGCACACACGCACAAGCGAACGCAGCAGACGCGCCAGCCATGAGTTCGGTAATGTAAACAAATAGCATAACATGATTCCAATCGAAAAACTAATTTTTATCAAAAAAAAAAAATATATATATATATATACAAAATATAGCAATATTCGAATGTGGAGAACCTGTCGCCGCAGACCATACGGCAGGTGATGAAGGAACTGCAGGATATGGAGACAACACCACCGGAGGGCATCAAGGTGTTGATCAATGAGAGCGATGTCACCGATATACAGGCGTTCATAGATGGCCCAGCCGGCACACCGTATGCGGTTGGTGTATTCCGTGTCAAATTGACGCTAAGCAAAGATTTTCCACAAACGCCGCCAAAGGCATATTTCCTAACAAAAATTTTCCATCCAAATGTTGCATCGAATGGCGAGATATGCGTGAATACACTGAAAAAGGATTGGAAACCGGATTTGGGCATTAAGCATATATTGCTAACAATCAAATGCCTGCTAATTGTCCCCAATCCCGAATCGGCACTCAACGAGGAGGCCGGCAAAATGCTGCTCGAACGCTACGATGATTACTCGCAGCGGGCGCGCATGATGACCGAGATACATGCACAGGTGTGCAACATATCCAATAATCTAATTTACAACAAATTCCTATTCATATATTCTTTCAATTTTTAGCCGGCCAAGTGCGGCGCTGGCGCCAGCGATGCCAAAGACGATGACGGACCCTCGACAAAGAAGCACGCGGGCCTCGACAAGAAGCTGCAGGACAAGAAAAAGGAGAAGTTGCTCAAGGAGAAAAAGCGCATGCTCAAGAGATTATGAGACGCATAAATAAACGGAGCAGCCGCAGCAGCAGCAGGAGCTAGCCGGAGCGACAGGCAGCCGGAGAACGGAGGAGTTAAGATGTAGTTAAAGAAACAACAACAACAACAGCAACAGCTTATATATATATGCATGTATGTATGTATATGTGTCTAGGAGGCCAGCAGCAGGCATAAATCTACAGTGGAGCCGCAATAAAGCGAACAACAGCCGCTAAATAAAGATGACAGCAGCAACAGCAACAACAACAACAACAACAACAAATACCAACTCCAAAGAAAAGTGCATCCAGTTACATAAAAACTAAAAGGAAAACAAAAATATTATAAATATAGCATATATACAGTATGTCAATAAAGTGTTTTTACTAACAAAAAAAAACTAATTTTTTGGGTTTAGTTGAAAATAAATGTACCTAAAAGTGAGAATTTTTTTTCAATTATAATTTATTTCGATTCTATATTTCTCCTAGAACTTAATGGCAAAAAGAATTGTTAAATAACATTACCCAAACATTTTATAAAATTAAAAAACTAAAAACATTCACATTTTATGCTGTCAATAAAGTGTTTTTACAGCTACGGTAAATTGTTTTGCCGTTCTCTTTTGGGTGATCCCGTTAGATTTGGGCCCATGCGTTTTGGCTTCTCTTGTGTCTTCGACTTTTCTTGTCATTTTCTATTGCAATTTATAACGTTTTGCTTTAATTTTATGAAAAATAAAATGCCAGGAAAAAGAACAACTTTTGAAGTCGCTCAGCTGGTGTATTATAACCATCAGATGGGACGTCAAGTCTCGGAACTGGCTGATATGTTTAATTTATCAAAAGCAACGATATACAACATATTAAACAGAGCCAATAAGGAAGATAGGCTAGAGGCAAAGCCAGTATGTGGTCGACCCTGCAAAATTTCTGACAGAGATAAGCGAAAAATTCTGAGAAAAATTGAGAAAAATCCACAAATTTCGCTTAGGGATATTGCTCAGGAGTTCAAGGAAGAAAGTGGTGTTGATGTGTCACATGAAACTGTCCGAAAATTACTGAATTCCAATGACTACACATCACGAGTTGCCAGGAAAAAACCTCTACTATCGGCGGCGAATATTTTGAAGCGGCTATCGTTCGCTCAAGTCCATGTAAATAGTTCGAACGATTTTTGGAGTAACGTCATATTCTGTGACGAAAGCAAGATGATGCTATTCTACAACGATGGGCCATCCAGAGTCTGGAGAAAGCCACTAACAGCGTTGGAAAACCGCAATATTATTCCAACCGTTAAATTCGGAAAACTATCAGTGATGGTGTGGGGGTGTATTTCGAGCAAGGGTGTAGGAGATTTGACCTTCATTGAGAATACCATGGATGCTAGACAATATCTGAGCATTTTACAGACACATCTCGTCAGTAGTGCACAGAAATTTGGATTCTATGAGGACAATAAGCCAATTTTTAAATTTTACCAGGACAATGACCCGAAGCATAAAGCTCATATGGTAAGAGTTTGGCTGTTGTACAACTGTGGAAAGGTGTTAGACACTCCACCACAAAGTCCAGATATGAATCCAATAGAAAATGTGTGGTCATATTTGAAAAAAAAAGTCGCAAAGCGGAGTCCAAAATCAAAAACTGATTTAAAAGCTGCTGTACTGGAAGAATGGCAGAAGATTCCAGAAACATACATACAAAACCTTATTGTTTCAATGAAACGGCGATTGCAGGCTGTATGTGACGCTAATGGCAGCCACACAAAGTATTAAAAAAAAATATTCCTGTTTTTTTAACATTGTTATTTAGTAATAAAGTTTCGTGTAAAAACACTTTATTGACAGCATAAAATTTGAATGTTTTTAGTTTTTTAATTTTATAAAATGTTTGGGTAATGTTATTTAACAATTCTTTTTGCCATTAAGTTCTAGGAAAAATATAGAATCGAAATAAATTAGAATTGAAAAAAAATTCTCACTTTTAGGTACATTTATTTTCAACTAAACCCAAAAAATTAGTTTTTTTTCGTTAGTCAAAACACTTTATTGACATACTGTATATATATGAAAAAAACAAAAAAAAAAAAAAAAAAAAAAGGAAACAAAATTTGGTTGCCGTCTGTTCAGACAAACTGAGCCGATATTTAGTTTGTAGGCAAAAGAGAAAAACAAAAAACAAAAACAAAAAGAAAGAAGAAAACTAAGGAAAAAAAATTCACATGTCCTAATTAATTTAGTGCGATCCTTGCGCCCATATATATACATATATTTTTTAAAATGCTTTTCGCGCTAACTTTAGCATAATTTATGTCTATGTAATTAGTTTAAAGATCTGTCCCACACACACACACGCACGCACACACATGCACACATGCACACTGAGCGAAAAACATCACCAACATTAGAGTTGTTCATATTTTTGCAGTCTTTTTCATTTGAATAATTATCACATCAATTGGAAATTGTTTCATTTTGAATAACAAAAGCAAATAAGCCACAAATTGTACTTAGCCTAAGCCATAATAAAAAAACACAGCAAACACACACACACACACCTACACACACACACACACCTTTGCAAAATGACAAGCAGAAATGCATTAAGTAATACATTATATTCGCAAAATTGTCAAAAAAAAAAAACGAAAACAAAAAAAAAATTGTCAACGAAATGCGCCCAAAATGTGTTTATAAATAGACTCTCGCAATAATGTATTTTTTTTTTTTTGGATTTTCCACGCATTTTCCAAAACGTTTTCGTTTCGATATTTCTTTCGCATAACGGTTTGTGAGCACGTTTTGGGCGCTTCGCACAAAACGCCGTTACATTCTCTGCTTTAACGGTTTTGAGGTTATGTACTTACAAGAGAATAAAAAAAAAAAATGGCGCAAAAAGAAATAAAACGACAAAATTATTTGCCGTTCTGCTGATAATACTACAAAAAGCAATACTTCGTATTGCTTAGCTGCTATTTCGCAAATGAAAAACCTAAATAACAGAAAACAATCCTCAATTCAATTAACTCTCAGTAGTTCAAAATCCATAAATTAAGTAAAAAAAAAAAAAAAAACAAAAAAGAAAAACACAAAAAAAAAAAAATTGAAACCTTTCGTTGAACTTGTTCGTCACACAACAAAAAGTGAATAAAATTTTGGAACACACTAAAAATAATTGAAGAATATTTCTGATAAATAAGAAGCGACATTTATGAGGTTTATATCTTTACAGTGAAAGCTTGCCTTACCTTTATTTGTGTGTGTTTTTTTTTTTATATTATTTATTTAGCCCTTTTTTTTATTTTCATTACATATATTAAGCTTAAACCTATCTTATCAGTAAATGGGCCTGAGATCACGTCGTTCTGCTCAAGCGAGTTTCCACTGTACACACATGTTTACATATATATTTTCTTGCATGTGTGGCAACACTTGTCCAGGCACTGCACGTAGCGCGTGCCAAAACGAAGGCATTTCCGAGTTCCAATTGTTTTCAAGCCGGAAGAGTATTTTAAATAGTCGATTCTACGAAACGCCAATGAGACATGGCAGCATGTGTGTGTGTGCGCTTGTGGGTGTCTCTCTCTCTCTTTCGCTCGCTCTAACTATATTTTGTGCTCTCACTGGCAACGCCAACGCTTACGCCAACGCCGGGCCAACATTCCAAGCGGCTAACCTTCAGCCCAGCTCCAAAATTGTCGCAGCAGCAGCAGCAGCAGCAACAACAACAACTCTCTCTCACTCTCTCTCGGCGATGCTCTCCTTGTAGTAGAAAAACCTGATGAGGCGCAGCAACAACAATCAATGACTGGCCAGTGTTGGACATTGCCTGACAATAGCGCACGCTCTCTCGCTCTCCACGGAGAGCGCCAGTTATGTGACTGATATGAATGGCCGTGCCCGTGTGCTGCGCTTCTGACAGAGCAGATGGACCGCAAAAGGTAAGCTTGCTGTGAATGTGATTTGCAGGGCGTGCTGCGAGGGGATGGGAAACGTGCAGCAACTGTATGCGATCGAACGCGAGCGGGTAGCGGGCACAGACGCGCGCACGCGCGCGCGCGCGCTCGATCGCCAATTCCAATTTGGCTGTGCGCGACAGCCAACAACAGCAGCAGCCAGCAGCCAGCAGCTAGCAGCTAGCGAGCAGCAGGTAGATCAGTTGTGAATCTGGCACGGACGGACGACAACAAACCATTTAGCTTGGCTCGGAGCACTCGCAACGCGAAAAACGCGACGGCCAAAAACGAAAAGCAAAAACAACAAAAACGAAAAAGAAACAAACAAAAAAAAAAAACGTTTTGCGCGCCTCCTCCAAACCGTTCGCTACGGGTACGTGTGTGTGTGTGTGTATGTGCATAGGTATTTTTTGTGTCTGTGTTCGTGTGCGTGTGTGTGTCGCCATGTCGCGTTGCCCAGTTGCAACGTTTGTTGTTGTTTTGTGGTTGCGCGCGGCAGATAAACAAAAACAACACGCCCTGCTAATATGCCCATGTGTTTGTGTGCGTGTTTGTGTGTGTATCGAACAGTTGATCGATGTCCGATAAATTGCAAATCAACAACAAAAACTGAACGAAAAATGAGCCCTGGCCCATTTGAAAAGGGTACGACAGGAATTGGCGTGCCGGGCATCATTTCCAATATTCGTTCAATGCTTCCAAGGCGCAACGGCGCGTGGAATGCGACAGTTATTTGCGCGCTCATCCGTTATATTTGGCATTTTCGCAACATCTGTTTGCCCAGTTGAGCGTTTAGGCCGATTGGCCAATAAGCCAAGAGGAAAAAAAAAAAAAACAAAGAAACACGCTTCTTCTTATATTCTACTTATATTTCGAAAAGTGTGACCTTGCCAGGCTGCAGTTCAAGCCAGGGCCGCGTCTCTGCAGCTGCGCATCGTAATCCAATTGCGCATATTTATATTAAATATATCAATACATATACATATGTGTGTGTGTGTGTGTGTGCATGTTTGTATGCATGTATATGTACGCGTACTTGACGTTGACATTTCGTTGCGCTCGTCGCACTTATTTGCATAGATGTCAGCCAGACTGTCCGTCAATTTCCATATGCATATGCTAATATATTTCCATGTATAAGCGTTTCTTTTATGCTTTTTACCGCTCGCACACACACACACACACACACACACACACGCACACACTAACAGATTTTCTATAATATAGCGTGTGGGACGTTTCAAACTAAGTTAAGTCGCGCAAATAACTCGTTCATTTCGTCATTTCCAGCAGTTGTCAATAAATATCTGTTATATTTGTGCACACATACAACGCGCGCACACACACACACACACACACACGCACGTATGTAAATCCATATTAAACATCGCCTTGAATATTTCTGTGTGTCGCATCGTAAAAATCCTCCAATTTGTGTGTGTTTTTTTTTTTACATCTTTTTTTTTACATTTTTTTTACCAAGTCGAGAACGCTTCAGTTTTGTATTTTTTGCGTGGTTGTCGCGGGGTGGGCGGTCAGTTTTGTTTGAGCCAAATACGTAAAACTCATTTTGACCAAAAGCGTTTCATTTTTTTTTTTGTGTTTTTTTTTTATTTTTCAAAATATTTGCGCCGACTTTAAGAGTGGGCGCCAAAAGCAGCCAAGCAATTACAGCACAAAAATGTGAATGCCATTAGGGGATTTACCTTGTTAAGAGCTTGCAGCTTAAAGCTAATTAACAGGATCGCGTTCGTTCTAACCTCACTCTTAATGAAAACAAATACAAAATTCGGTAAACATAAAGAAACAGTTATTTTGCTTACCAAGCAGACGCGTGTCTTGGCTTAGCGAAGAAACCAACCTTCAAGAGTAAAGCTTTTGACGCGCGCGCGCGCTCCGCCTAAAAGTAGGCAATCGCAATTGTAAAGCATATGCAAATACAGTGAAAGCTCCCGCGAGCGAACCGCCATGGTTCCGTTTGTTCGTGAAGGATAAATCTTTATTTGGAATTTTCACACATTTTCCGCCGTTGGCTGTACAATTCCATATTCCATATATATATATATATATATCTGTTGGTTTTTCCATAATAAAAACAAAATTTTGGTAAATAGGTCAAAGGAGCGTCCGGAAAATATGAAAAAAGAGTTGAGCTAAACAAATCGAGTGGCCAAGGCAGAGCTACACGCAAGGCAGCTGTGCGTTAAGAGAGAGCTTTCACTGTGTACTAATTCGACAAATACTCACACACACACACACACACACACACACACACACAGACAGACGCAGGCAGAGCGCAGAGCGTGGGCGTTGGAGGCCGCTGGCAGGCGCCATGGCACTGAGCAAGACGAGTAAAACGAAAGCTGGCGCCAAAGAGGAGCAGAACGAACTGGTAAGTGAGGCAAAATGCAAAAACAATAACAAAGCGCGCGCGCACACACACACACACATGCGCAGGAGCATACTCTCACGTGTGTGTGTGTGTGTGTGTGCGTGAGGTGGTGGTGGTGGTGGTGTTGGTGTTGGCATTAGGCGCAGAGCTTTGGCAAAACAATGAAGCGAGCGAGCGCGCGCGCGCGCGTCGGCCAGCGCACTTGGCTCAACGCGACTCAACGAGCGCGCGCAACTCAACTCAGTTCAGGTGTAACAAACTAACGGTGCAGCTCGTGCAGCGCCGCAGTCGTTGACGCGCCATCGTATCGAACACGCCGCGCATATTCCATTGTTATTTATTTATTTATTTATTTATCTATTTTTTTTTGTTGTTTTTGTTTTTGTTTTGTTTATATTTATATTAGTTTGTTGTTGTTGTCGTGCGACTTTGACTCGTTGTTGTTGTTGTTGTTGTGCATTTTGCATGCGGAGAACGGCAATTAGAAGTTGTTTAAATATCAAATGATACATACATAGTTGCCAATTGTGTGTTTGTTTTGAGTGAGTGCATCTTGTGACAGTTTTAGTTTTTAATTACATTACATTGTCGCGGCCCAAGGCAAACAGTGTGACCATACGCGCTACAGAACTAATTGAGCGCACGCAAATATATTGCCCTTTTGCACACACACACACACACACAGACACGCGGTTGCCACATGTTTAAGAAAATTGACCAAAACTGGTACTTTAAATATCCCTTGGGGAATTGGTACAGGGATATTTGTTAACTGTTTTTTTTGCATATTGCGGCAATTTTTGAAATGTGTGTGGAAAACTGCAACATTTTATTAGAATTCGCTTGGAAAAAAAAAAAAAATTGTGTACATATGCAAAAAATTTTTTTATGGCTCGTTTTTTATTTTTTTGACATTTTTCTGCGAACACAAATGTAATTTTTTTTTTTTCTTTCTGTTACAAATTAATTTGATCAAATGGCAACTATGCACACACTCACACACACACACACACACACACACACACAGACACATAGACACATAGACACTTGGCAGTGCACACTCTCCAAACATGACGTTTCCACTCTCCGCTGTTCCAGCTTTAAGTGGCGCGCTTTACATGGCATAGTACGTGCAAAAAATTAATCATTAAAACCGCCGACGTTGCTTTTGTTGTTGTTGTTGTTGTTGTTGTTCGCTGTCGTTAAGTGCAGCGTTTTTCTAGTTGTTTGTGTTGTCGTGACATTTGTTGTTGGTCCGTTTGTTTGTTTTTGTTTGGCTTTTTGTTTCTCTCCAATTTGTTGTTGTTGTTTTGCACCACTTTTGCTTGGGCCGCTTCTACTTGTTGCATAATCGCATTGCGTATACGTAACGTGCGCCCAGCCAGCCAGCCAAACCTCAAGATCCTGCGGCACAGTCGCAAAATGCGGCCCCAAAACTCAAAAACCAAAAACGACAAATCACAAAAACAACAACAACAAATACAAAAAAAAAATCAAAACGAAAGAAACAAAAAATCACAGCAAAAATATTTTCCCACCATTAAAGCGCGCACACACACACGAACACACACACACACACACACAACACACACTCACACACACACACACACACACATGCATACATATAGAAAATCACGCGCATTATTCGTTCACAAAATGGACAAATGCTTGCAGCGCATAGGCGGGCGACGGGTTGCGCAGGGGTGTGGGGGAGGGGGCGGGATGGGAATTGGAGAGGGGGTGTGCACCCACAAGCAGCGATATTTTGAGCTTTTGAATACCTTGTGCATGCTTTCAACTGGGTAGCATAAGTCTGTTGTCCATGCATGCAACGGGACGGAAATTAACTTTGAGTCTCGAAAGTTTCGATAACTTTTCGTTTACCCGGTATCGATAAATATCGATTGTCAGTGACTTATTGAGTTATCAAACAGTTTGCAGAAACTAAATTCGAATGGCTTGTTTTGTTTTGCCATGTTCTCTGCAAGTTAGTAAAGTTTCTGATAATCGATAATTATCGATAAATATAGCGTAAGTCTATAGCTAGCAAAATATAGCACAGAGAGACTGTAAAGTCGAAAAGCTTGCTCTGCTTGCTGCCAGGTTCTCAGCAAGTTCGTTTAGTAGCTGATAGCTTGCCAGATTTGCACAATCGATAAATATCGATTTGCAGCCTATGCATATTATGCTTGCAACATGGTTCGTGCTCTAAATTTGATGTATGCTCGCTTAGCTAGCACAAGTTTATTTAACATAATTGATTATTCTACGCATTTGCAGCAAATCGATAAATATCGATTATCGAAATATATCTCGCCACATATAAAAATACTAAGACTTTGCACTGCTGTGCGTCAGAGCTACGGCTTAACTTTCCAGTTTCCATCAAAAGTTGACTTTTTTCGATAACTTTCCATTTTTCTGTATATCGATGTTCCGACCGATAAATATCGATTTACAGCGTTTGCACTTTTGAGCTGAAGCGACTTTTTTGGAGCCTATTTTCTAGTTTTTAGAGCTCAAGAATATGCTCTGCTTGTGTGTGTATCAACCTTGCTCGCAGCTGGCTACAGGGTATCTTCCAGTCGTGCACAATCGCTTAGAGCGCGTGTTGTTGTTGTGGCTGCTGTTTGTGAAGTGTTTGCTTTTTGGACAATTTGTTTTTCAAGCTCTTGTTGTGGTTGTTGTTGTCGGTGTTGTTGTTGTTGTTGTTGTTGTTGTTGCAACAACAATGCTTAACCGTTATTTTGGGATTCTGGCTGTGTTTTGTGTGCGTCTTGAAATATTCAAGTGTTTGTTGTTTTTTTTTTTTTTTGTGGCCAACAACAATTCAATGTCTTTGTATGGCCAAAAGGCGCAAATTAGCTGCGGTGGGCGTGGCAGCATGTGCATGTTTGCATGTGTGTGTGCATGTGTGTGTGTGTGTGTGTGTGTGTGTGTGTGTGTGTGTGTGTGTGGGCATATTGTTGACCAGTGCGTGACTCGTGGGCTCGGCCGTCGCCCAAACAAACGACGCCTTGTTGCAGTTGCAAGTTGCAAGTTGCAACTGTTGTTGTTGTTGTTGTTGCAACTGTTGCTGTTGTTGTTGTTGTTGTAGCTGCTTTTGGGTCAAGTAAAAGGCATTTGCAACTGCATTTTGGTTTTCATTTATTCTCAATTTTTGGGCAATTGTCATTTGGTTTTTTTTTTGTTTTAGGGCGTGGCAGTGGCTGACTCATTGCTTGGTCGGCGGTGGGGGGGGGGGGGGTGTTGGTGTTGTAAGGTGGGGTGTGTGTTAGCTGTTGCCATGGCCATAAGCAGCTATACAAGCCGCGTCCAAATCGGAAGAGGAAAAAAAATAACTAAAACCAATCAAAGGCAGAGCCAAAGCCAATGCCAAACAAGTTAGAACTGTGCAAACGGCTATAGCCGACTGCGACATGCTCTGTAATCGGCGCAAAAAAAAAAAAAAACAACTCTCATTGCGTTGGCTGGCAAGCGGTTCCGCCACACGCTTGAATATCCAGCTTTGCATTTTCGTTGCATATTAAGCAATATACCCCATTTTGGAGTCGGCGAACAGTGTATGCAAAGGTTCCCAATTTGTCCTATCGCTGCCGGCGGAAGTAATTACAAAAACGGCCAAATTGCAAGCACAATTTAATTGTTGTCGTTGTCGGCGTTGTTGTTGTTGTTGTTGTTGTTGTTGTGTCGGTCTGACGTCATGCGCATATTGATGAAAGATCAATGTTCCAATCGATTCCAACGTTCCAATATTCCAATCAAACGAGCGCTCAGCGCGAATATCAACACAAAAGGCAACAACAACAACGAACAGCAAATGCCAAAAGCTCACAAATTGATTGTTAAAACGTATTTATCGATTCAAGAATCGTTTCGCGCACCAAACAAAAGCCAAAAGCAACAATAAATAAATTGTTAATTCAAACACAGCAACAACAACAACAAAGGCTGTGCGAACTTCTGAGAGAGCGCCCAACGCAGAGAGAGGGAGAGAGGAATTGTAGAGCTGCGCTCAGCAGCAGGTGCTGTGCGAACTTGGTTGTATGAAGGAAAGGAGGGGCGTGGAAGGAGTAGGGGGGGGGGTTGCGTTGCAGCTGTTTGAGAGTAAAGCGCAGGCGATAGACAATTTACAGTTGGTCAGTTCAGCGCAGCTTAACCCTTAAGTGCGCAGTTTTTTTTTTGTCTCTTTTCCTTTCGGTTGATATTTTCCGTTATCTTTTTGTTGTGCTGCAGAAGCAAATGCACACTCGAGGGTTAACATAATGTAGAGTTTGGGTTAACGGCAAAGTGCAAAGCGAGTTGCCATATCAATTTAGCTTGTTGTGTTTCTTGTTTTGGTATTTTTCAATTGATGACACTTTGCAGCAAATCTGGCAGCGCTTCACATGGCTTTGATTTCGGCCTTTTTAGTGATGACAAAATTTGATGGCAATTCGATTAACTTAAAGTGTATCGATGTGTTTGGTTGTCGCCGACGGCGACGGCGCGAACTGTGAAATGTTTTGAACCGAAACTGCGGGCTCTTAGGCAGCATGTTTGTGTACCCCTAGAAATAGCTTGGGGCAATGTTTAGTTGCACCTATACCGGTATATATATGTACATATATAAATGCTTTTGAATAACTTTTCAACAACTTTTCTACTGCTCAAGATGTCTTGTTTAATTTAAATTTCGTAACGTCGCTTTATTAAATAAGTATGTCTCCCCTCTACATGTGTATATAGTTATGTAGCTTCAGAGTCTATTTTTTTGTTATTGTACAAAAAAAAAAAAAAAATGGTGTCGTTGTGAGTGTCGCGAAAGGCAGCTGTACGAACCTTTCCAAACTAACATTATCTGCATTATGCATGCTCTCTGGCTCTTCTTCTGGTCACGTACTTAAAACTTTTGTCTAGCTAGAGGGAAGGGGCGTAATGAAGTGAGTCACAATTGCCCCCCATTTGTGTGGGGTCGTTCGTTTTAATCAGCTGCTCTGTGCCCATGGGCAAATGGGCATTTGGACAAAGGGTCCAACATGTTGCTGTGAACCTTTTTTGGTTTTTTTGTTTATTTTTTTTCTTATATACCCTTGCAGAGGGTATTATAATATTGTCGTGAAATGTGTAACGCATTGAACCCATAAAGTATATATATTCTTGATCGGTATCAACAGCCGAGTCCGTATGTCTGTGTCTATTGCGAACCAGTCTCTCAGTTTTGAAGTTTGTCAGCTGGATCATATAGCTGGCATAGGAACGAACGTTTGAAAAATAGATTCCTGTATGAAAAACTTGTTTGTTTTTCAAGATAACTTAACCAAACTCGGCATTAACTATTTTCCCTGTGTTTCTTAGCATTATGATAAGGTTGGGTCTGCAAGGGTATTAAATGTTCGGCGTGCCAGAGAGAGCCCTTCTGTCTCGTTTATTATTATTTTTTTGCTTTGTTTTGTTTGTCGTCTCTGGGAGTAACCTTTGGCCGCCTTTGAGCGCATTTTGTGGCTTCAGCTTCTCAGTTTCTCAGTTTCTCTCGGCTGCTTTCCATTTCACCGCCTTGAACTGTGCACGTTGCCCTTTACAACAACTCGAGCAAACTTTTCTGGCCATGCATTCGGTTGTGTAATAAGCTCGACTGACCAAAAGTCAGACCTCGTCTGCCCTGCGCCTCCTGCTCCAGACGCGCCCGCTCCGCTCCGGCAGCTCTGCTCAGCTGTGTTTTTATTTATGGGCTCTTAACTTTATGAGCCGCTGCCTGGCTGCGACGGACAGTGGGGTGGCGGGGTGTCTGTGTTGTGGCTGCAACGGGAAGAACCGTTTTGTTCTAAGCCTTTACGCTTGGCATGCTTTCAGCGCCACGTCCCCCCTCTCGCACTCAGTCTGCCAGATATCAGCAACGCCTCTCATCTTCACTTGGGCAGTTTTGCTAAGGTTTTTGTAAGAAATCGCATTTTGATATAAATACCCTGTAATCATGGGGCATGTAGGCAAGAGGCTAGCCTGCATATTGCTAGCATAACGTACATATATCTATATACATGACTGTGCTGATTGATTGACTGATTGATTGTATTACTCACTCTCTGATTGACAGACTGATTCTGATTAACTGACTCACTGAAGGAATTGCCATTTGGTTGAGAGACAAATTGATTGATTGGCTGATTGACTGACTGATTGGCTGATAGGTTAATTGACTAACTGATTGGTTGATACTAACCACCTGATTGATCGACTGACTTAAGATTGACTGACTGATCCGACGGACTATTCGATTGTCTGACTGATTGACGGACTGGTTGACTTATTGACTGACTGATTGATTGTTTTGCCGAATACCTGATTGAGTGACTGCTACCGACTACCTGATTAGCCGACTGACTGACTAATTAACCGATTGACCTATTTTTTGACTGATTGACAGAATGGATGGCTTACTGCTTGATCAACTGATTGATTGTTTTACTGAACACCTGATTGATCAACCGACTGACTGACTGATTAACTGATTGTTTGACTGCTGAACTGATTGAACAACTGATTGTTTGACCGATTGACTGACCTCTTAACGGATTGATTGAGCGCTTGATTGATTGATGACCAATGGAATGACCCTTTACGCTTGACAAATCAAAATAAAAGTTAAGTCGAGGGTAGGCAGCTTGTGGTGTATGTGTGCGTGTGTGTTCGAGTATATGCTGCTTGAAGCCAGCTACAGGGTATCTGCCGGCACAGAACACTCGTCTGACAGTCAAAGTCGCCGTCAACGTAAAATTTCACTTGCAGCTGAACAAAAAATCGAGCGGAAAACAAAAGCAAAATACAAATCTCAATTTGCTCGCAACGCCCACACGCTGCAGTTGTTTTATTATATTTTTTCATTTGGGTGCTGGATGCACGGATCGCGGTCGCGTGTCGCGTGTCGCGCGCTGAAATGTTTTGTGCGGCACATGAAATTCAAATTGGTTGCAGCGAAAGTGCAACATTAATTAGGCAACAGCAGCAGCATCAGCAGGAGCAGCAGAAGCAGCAGTAGCCAGCGGAGCCGTAGCAGGTGGTGGAGGCAGGCAGCTGGGGCAAACGGCATCGATGTAGTCAACGGCCTTCCCCCGCCACCTAACGAAAAATTGAACGCCGCCAGCGCCGTTGCCGCCGCCAGATGAACGAATGGTGGTGATCCTTCTACTAGCGCCATGCACATGCAGCCAAAGCAGCAGCAGCAGCAGCAGCAACAACCACAACCACAACCACAACAACCAACAGCACACGCAGCACAAGAACAGCTTCTCCCCAGCGAGCAGCAGGAGCAGGAGCAGCAGCAGCAATGGCAATCGCTCATCATCGGCATCCACAGGCGTTACGGCCATTCCGGCCAGCTTGTATCGCCAGCCCGCCGCCGGCAACATCTGCAACATTTGTCACACCTGCAGCACCGACCCGCCTCCTATTCCCGCACACCATTGGCCTAGTCATAGTCATAGCTACCAGCCGTCACTGCCTGCCGTTGGCTGGCAAACGTCCTTGCCAGCGGCTGCCAATGCTGTGCCAAAGCCGCCGCGCAGTTACCTACACGGCCACGCCCCTGCACCGCTGGTCTTTCGCATTTACGCTGCAGGCTCGAGCCCGCGACAGCCACTGCCACAGCCACAGCCACAGCCACAGCCACCTGCCAGCTTTACTAACAAGAATAACAAACAACTTAAAAAGAAAGCCAACGCCGGCACCACCACCAGTGCCGACTATGTGCGTCACGTGACCCGCGTTAATTTCTACGACGTTGATACTTCGCAGGTCGAATTCGAGCCCAAAGATGATGACGAGAGCAACGAGGCAAGTGCAAACGATTGCGATACAGAAGCTATAACCAAAGAAGGTGAGTCCAAAACATATTAGTATATGATGAAGGTCTAAAGTAGAGATAAGATAAGATAAGATAAGAGATATAGAAGATAAAGATCAAAGTTGACAGATAGCACTAGCTTAAGCTAATGCCGATTATTTCTAGGAACAGAGATAATTTAAAGAATTGGGGAGGTGGATAAGATAAATTTGACAAGATATAGAAGATAGGGATCAAAGTTAACAGATGCGGCTAGGTTTAGAGAATTCTTGGGTATTCCAGTAACAGAAGCTGTTGCCAAGGAAGATGAGCCGCAAGCGAGGTGGGATAACTTATGATAAGCTAGGTCTAGGAATTCCTTGGGTATTCTAATAACAGATCCTATATACCCAAGAGATAAGTTGGGAAGGAATAATGTGGCGGGGAATTACGGAGTAGGGATTCCATCAAGGCTGAAAGAAGACATTATAGATTTTTGATCCAAAAGATAAACGATGCTCGATATCTAAGAAGTTTTGGAGTTGGACTAGAGTTAGGTGGGAATAACTAAAAGAGAATCTCTAAGGGGAACCAAGGTTGAGAGTGAGGAGCCCGGCCAGGCAGTATATAAATAAACTTATATAGAATTACTTTAGATATAGTAACAAGATGTTCAACGTCAAATTATGAACAGAGATGAACGTGAGAATAGCAAGAAAAAGTTCTCTCAGCAAATTGAAACTTTTTTTTAGGTTCAGATCTTTATTACTCATTGATCAATTTGGTTGTCAAGTTTCAAGACAATTACGTTATGTTAATTAAACGGGCGATCGCTCAGAATGGCCCATGGCCAAACGTAAATAATTCGTCATTTATTGTTGACAATGCGATTGCATCAGAGCACAGTCGACAGATTGGCATTCATGGGGCTGTGCCCCTTGTATTGTGATTCATGATTTATGAAAATTACGTATACGACGCGTATATCGATTGCTGATCCAAAATACTTAGACAACTTGTTTTAGCGGAAGGCAAATGATCTCGATTTCACTCTCTGTCTCTGTTTCTTGCTCTGTCTCTGGCCGCATGTGAATTGATCCCTTTCGCTGTGCATAATTTTGATCCCTGTCTCTACCCCCATCCCACTGGTTATCCCGCTTTTTGTTTTGTTACGGAAATCATAGAAAGTTTGATTTAATTATGTGATTAACATAGCACAAAGGCGCCTTTGGCTGCAACAGCAGCGCCAGCAACAAGCTACTTGTAACATTGTGAAAAAGTGTAAAAATTAGAAATAACAAGCACCTACAAGCAACAAACAACAAGCAACAAACAACAAGCAACAACAACAAGCAACAAGCAACAACAACAACAATGGCAAAATGGTAATGCAAAAGAAAATGTTTCAAGCAAAAATTTCCCACGTTAGCAAATCATTAAAAATCAACGGCAGCTACAACAACAACAGAAACAACAAATGCAATAATAACTGAAATAGGTGCACAATTTTGTTATTGTTGCTTTTGCCGTTGGGGGTATCTTTGCATATGTGTAGAAATTAAATAATTGCGGCTCACAGCTTGTTATGCCGCAACTCTACACAGCGTGCGCTGCATAAATCTGCATACTCTCCGCACACAAGCTGAACAAGCTAAAAGCTCACAAACCAAACTCTACACAGCTGGCAAAAAAGATTCACATGGCATTTGACTCTAAGCACGTAGCTCGCGAGCTCTACATGAGCATCAATAGAACTCTACACAACTTAAAAAGCATGATTTGCGATGTCTACAGGCTTAAATACAAAATTCTACACAGCTTAATATATATATATATATATATATATATATATATATATATATACGTCATATCTCCCCGCGGAGCTATAACCCATCATACCGCGTGCAGTTATGTCGTTTTGGCACGTCATATCTCCCCGCGGAGCTATTTCCATCCGAGCGGAGGGAGTTATGTCGTTTTGGAACGTCATATCTCCTCGCGGAGCTATTTCCATCCGAGCGGAGGGAGTTATGTCGTTTTGGAACGTCATATCTCCCCGCGGAGCTATTACCCATCATACCGCCCGGAGCTATGTCGTTTTGGAACGTCATATCTCCCCGCGGAGCTATTTCCATCCGAGCGGAGGGAGTTATGTCGTTTTGGAACGTCATATCTCCTCGCGGAGCTATTTCCATCCGAGCGGAGGGAGTTATGTCGTTCTGGAACGTCATATCTCCCCGCGGAGCTTTTATCCATCATACTGCGCGGAGCTATGTCGTTTTGGAACGTCATATCTCCGCGGAGCTATTTCCATCCGAGCGGAGAAGTTATGTCGTTTTGGAACGTCATATCTCCCCGCGGAGCTATTACCCATCATACTGCGCGGAGCTATGTCGTTTTGGAACGTCATATCTCCCCGCGGAGCTATTATCCATCATACCGCGCGGAGTTATGTCGTTTTGGAACGTCATATCTCCCCGCGGAGCTATTTCCATCCGAGCGGAGAAGTTATGTCGTTTTGGAACGTCATATCTCCCCGCGGAGCTATTTCCATCCGAGCGGAGGGAGTTATGTCGTTTTGGAACGTCATATCTCCCCGCGGAGCTATTACCCATCATACCGCGCGGAGTTATGTCGCTTTGCTATTTCCATCCGAGCGGTGGGAGTTATGTCGTTTTGGAACGTCATATCTCCCCGCGGAGCTATTACCCATCATACCGCGCGGAGTTATGTCGTTTTGTAAAAGTCTACACTCACTCTACACTCACTTATGTACACAGCTCTACATATTAAGTTCACAGCTCTATGATTGGCATAGAAAATTTAAAAGTGCAACATGTTCAATGCATATCTCTACACAACTGTACAAAGGCACGCATTTTATGCAAGACGTGCCTTAACTCTAACAACTCTCCACATGCAAATGCAAGTCTACACACTTGGATAACACTCTTTAAAGAAGAGTCTACAAACTCTACAGCGCATATATAAGTTGATTATTCTTCACTTAAGACTAGCAAGCTCTACATAGTCTACGCATAAGTCTCCACGCATCAAGAATCTCTACACAACCTCTTAGGAAAAAAGGCACGCATTTTATGCAAGACGTGCCTTAACTCTAACAACTCTCCACATGCAAATGCAAGTCTACACACTTGGATAATACTCTTTAAAGAAGAGTCTACAAACTCTACAGCGCATATATAAGTTGATTATTCGTAACTTAAGACTACCAAGCTCTACAGAGTCAAGTTAATTATTCTTAACCTAAGATCCGCAAGCTCTACACAGTCTACGCATAAGTCTCCACGCATCAAGAATCTCTACACAACCTCTTAGGAAACTATTCGGTTTTGGGATCTTAAAACAATTAGATGGAAACAATTTGCATAAGTTGCAGCAGGCGAAAGGAGGCCGTCGTTCAATTAGCATGCTGGACAAACAATAGAACTAAGTAGGGCGCCTGAGTGGTGGAGGGGGGGGCGGCTGTTGAGCAGGGTGTATTGAGGGAGGGGAGGGCGAGGGTGGTGTTGTTGTTGTTCGGTTGAGCAAGTCAAAGTTGGTTGACAGCAGCGGTTGGCAGAGGCTGCTGCTTAGCCACTTAGCGTGGCCATAATTGATACCACAATTAGCCCACAATGAGTGGGGCATGTGCAACAAAATGTAATGAAATATGTGTGCAGAGCGCCCAATTGGGAGGGGCTGTGGGGCGTGGCAACATGGCATAAATAACGATTACATGTCATCGAGAGTGGGGGCCTGCGCAATCGATCGCAAGCCGATCGAACGAAACGCGAAACAATGCACAACTCAAAACTATGTAAGAGCGTGCCAGTTGAGTGTGCACGACTCACAAATACCCTGTAGGCAGAGTTTAATTTAACTTCAGCAAGCACAAACAACTGACGCATACCCTGCACATTCTTGCTAATTATTTAACCATGCTGTTTATTGTTCGATTATGATGATTATGATTTTCAAGGCCTTCAGTTAGAGTACAATTTGGGCGGCAGCGCTAGTTATATGCTCCCAATCTGACTATACTCAGTTATTTTGGTATTGGAATTCTTGAAATATGCTCAAATATATTTTTCGATTGTGATAAGTCATTGGACAAATAATATTTAACTTGGCAAACGATTATTTATTATTAATTTTTCATTTATTTATTTATTATTATTTTTTTTATTGATTTATTAATTAGTTATTTTCATTATTCATTAACTTATATCTTTTTATTCACTATATAATGCATTTTAAAGAACTCGTTATCTCAGGGTATCTGCTAGTCGGGCACTCCCGTCTAGAGCTCACTTGCCTGCACAGCCTCGTTATGCCCTACACTCTACATTTGCAATGGGCAGAGCAACTAAATCGGAGTTCGAGAGTGAATCGATCCCAACAGCCCCCGCTTCTCCCCTCACCAGCCCACCCCCCTCAAGCGCACCGCCCGCCAAGCGTCTCGTGCTGTTTGTTTGCTTAATTGTTGTTGTTGTTGCTATTTATGAAGTGCTTGGCTGACTGTCTGGCAGTTCCCTAAGCTGATGCAATGCGGATATATGCGCAAATGATAAAGATAAACGCTGCCAGCCAGGCAAGTAAAGGGGGGGGGGGGTGGGGGGGGTGGGTTTGCTTAGAGTGGAAGGCGGGAGGAGGGATCATTTAAATAGCTTCGATCAAGCTGGGCCCAACTGACCGGGGCCAAATTTGGCAAGCAGTTTCTACTCCCGAGCAGCAGCCAAAGCATAGCCAATTTTCAGCTTCAGCTTTCGAGCGGGATCTTGTTTCGGCGACGGCGACGGCGACGGCGACTGCGACGGCGACTGCGGCGCCGACTGCAACTGCAACTGCAACTGCAGTTAAATTATATAAGCGACCTTTAATGGTCCAGCGATTTTTGCAGCAGCAGCCATCGCAGTCACTCAAGAGCCACACAATACAAAAAAAAACAGACGAGAACAATTGCAGGCGGCCTTAACGAAGCTCAAATACCCTTTATTTGAAAGTATCAGGATCGGGTGTGAGCAGGAATTGCATTGGATTTGAATTATATCTTTTCTTATTATTTGTTATTTATTTTATTATTTTAATTTTTTTTTATCTTTTTTTATATATATTTTGTCTACCCTGAACCCATTAAAAATGGGTCTAAGGGTATATTGTATTTGTGCAAAATCCAAATGCATGTAACAGGCAGAAGGAAGCACACCCGACCACATAAAGTATATATATTCTTGATCAGCATCAATAGTCGAGTCGATCCAACCATGTCCGTCTGTCTGTCCGTCCGTCTGTCCGTACGTATGAACGCTAGGATCTCAGAACCTATAAGAGCTAGAGAAGTTGAAATTTTAGATGTAGGTGCTCCTAGTGCCTGCGCAGATCGAGTTTGTTTCCGATAATCGATAACTTACTCCGTTTCCAAGCAATCGATAAGAATCGATATCGATGTTTTTTGGGCAATTTTTGTAAATAATAAGAGCTAGAGTCACTAAACTTGACATATAGCTTCTAAAATAGAATATATATGCATTTGATGTTGGAAGAAGAATGGTTCAGGGTATGCCCTGATCGGGAGGTCTCGACTAGAACCTCTTACTTGCTTATTTTATTATTTTTTTTTCTCCAAATCGATATTTATCGATAGAATGAATATACAAGATGATATTGCAGAAATATGATAAGCTTCTTCTGCTAAGTATGTATATACGAGCATATATGTATATACATAAAATTTCTGTGCTCCTGTTCTTAAAGCTTTCAATATCGAATGCTTGCCTAGCTTGGCGATATATGGTACATATATATGACAGCCAAAAGGGATATAAATACATATAATAAACACGTCAAATATTGCTCGTAAAGCTTGACTAAAGCTACGGAAATCGTCATTAAGCATATATAAATGTACTTTATATTAGCTACGTCGGGCATACCCTATGGAAAGCATTTTCAATGGGTATGCAGGCAGCGCAAAAGAACGTTTGATAATTAATCGAAAGCCTGTTAAAAGCTGACATAGATGTATGTGTGACATATTTCATGCCTAAATCACGATGCCCTTTGTTAGGGTATATTTGTGCATGAAATAAACAAGTCAGTTTTTTTTTTATTTCTTCTTGTTTTTCATTCATTCAGTAAATCTTGGACACAGACATCGTCGGATGTCCGTGCTCAATGCTTTGCTCTGCGGCTGTTGGCGTCACAGGTTGCCACACACACACACACACACACACACACACACACACACACACACAGATTATACACACTCATGGTACAGTTAGTCGGACTTGGACTTGGATTACGTAATTGGGCGACCAGCTAAGCTAAGCTAACCAAATGTGGCAGCCACTCAGCGAATCGCAGCGAAGCGCTTCGTTATTTTTGTTGCCGCTTCTCCCTCTCCCGCTGCTTCTTCTTCTCTATGGCAATGCAAAAAAATACGAAATGCACTTTATCTGCATGCACGAAATGCAAATCGCTGGTCGCAAATGTTTTTTTTTTTTTAGGCTTCGTCTGCGGCGACTAGGTGTTGCAATCAGAACATGCAACAAGACTGGTACTGGGACTGCAGCTGGGACTGTGGCTGGGGCTGCAACTGGGGCTGGGACTGAAGCTGGGACTGGGACTAGGACTGGGACTGAAGCTGGGACTGGAGCTGGGGCTGGAGCTGGGATTTGAACTGGGACTGGAGCTTTGACTGGGACTAGAACAGGGACAAGGACTGGGACTAGGACTGGGACTGGGATTGGGGCTAGAGCTAAGACTGGAGCTAAGACTGGAGCTGGGACTGTGGCTGGGGCTGCAACTGGGGTTGGGACAGGAGCTAAAACTGGAGCTGGGGCTGGGACTAGGACTGGGACTGAAGCTGGGACTGGAGCTGGGACTGGAGCTGGGACTGGAGCTGGGATTGGGACTGAGACTAAAGCTTTGACTAGGACTAGGACTGGGACTAAGACTGGGACTGGAGCTGGAATTGGATCCGGAGCTGGGACTGGAACCGAGACAAACTGTATCAACATGTTGGCCATGCTTTTGGACTTACAAACACATTGGCTCATTCATTCTGAACTAGTTTGTCGTAATTGCGCTCATAAACATATCTTAACTCCATTATTTATGCGCCTCGAACTAAACTTAGCTCTTTTTGATATCAGGTGGGGTTTTCTCGTTAATGAATTGAGTATACTCTGAGGTACTTGAGATACAAGCTCTTGCGGGCTCCAGCCCAGCTTTTGGTGCTTAAATGTGGAGAGTTCTTGGCCAAAGTTCGTGATAGGCATGCTTGAAAAGTTGTTGAGCTTGTCATTAAAACAAAAACGAGCAAAACATCAAGGACTTTATACCCTGGCAAATATTTGCCTTACGTTTTGCAGATATGTGTGAAGAGCTCGTAAATTAGCTTGGAGAAAAGAATAATTTGTTGTACAGCATTTATTTCTATGTAATAATTTAGTGTAATATTAAAGAGTCTTGCCTAATATAGAACTTTTATAGCCGAAAAATCTATTCAGCATAGAAAAATCTCTTCATATTAGAAGGGTATTTAAAAGTCAGCATAGGTAGAATCGAGTAATTATTGAGTTTTTTTTACATTTCACAAGATGTATTCATATTAGAAGCGTATACAAACTTCGGCGTGCCACATAAAGCTGTCAGCATGGCAAGAATCCTTCGAATAATGAATTTCTCAAGATATTTTTTGCCTAAAAGGGAATTTCAATTTCGGCTTGCCGAATATGGTCGCATGGCATGAATCGATTGAATATTGAGTTTCTTTTTTTTTTTCTCAAATTATCTTCAATTTGGAGTCGTTCTTCGCTTTGTAAACTTTCAATATGGCAATATTATATATTCTATATTTTTTTATCATTTACATTCGTTTTAACATATTCGCATAGTTGAAGAGCTACAAAAGCATAATTTTAACAAATTTATATTATTATTTAATGTTGATCAAATTTCGATTGAAAAAGCCTTAAACCACATTCGAGCAGAGAGTGAGAGAAAGAATTGATTAAAAACCCCTCACAAATAAATATTACACGAATGCGCGCTCTCCATCTCTACCCCGCTCTCTCTCTTCTCTCTTTCTCTCTCTCTCTTGCTTTCTCTCTCTCTCTCTGAGCTGAGCTGTAAAGCTGTGCAGCACCTTTTTAAAGCCCGCTTTTGAGCATAGCTTTAAGAGCGCATGCGAACGCTTTAAGCTTCCGCCAAATAGTATGCAACGAAACTGAACGCAGAAGCTTTTTCTTTTGCAGAGGAATGGATAACGAAGCGCAAAACCGAGCTAACGACAACAAGACAAATCGAGACGCGTGTAAAGCGGCAGGTGAAGCTGCAGGATGGCAAAGTGATCGAAGACTCCGGTCCGATAGTCTCCACCAACACGACCGAGGACACGGACAAACAGGAAACGGAAACAACCGAGGTGAGTGCCATATTAAGGCCGCAGCCAAGCCCACAAATCCACAATTGCCGCATTACAGAAACGCGACCTGGGTCTGCCCGACGAGCTGGATGGCAAGGCGCAGCTAATAGATGCCGCAGCGCTCCAGGCGGGCGCCGCCAACGAGACGCAGCTGGCCCAGCTGCAGGAGGCATTCGGCATCGATGGCGGCAAGCTGGTGCGGCGCATGGTGCCGCGTCCCGTGGACGGTCTGGTGCGTCAGATCGACGACAAGCGCACCATTTCGCACGAGGAGATCAAGGACTACCAGGAGACGCAGGACGTCAAGCACTTGGGCGACTTTACCGACGAGGTGAGTCAATACCTTGCAGCTTAGCAGCCAGCAGCAAGCGGCAGCAGGCGACGCTGTGGTAATCCGAAACGGGCGCAACAAGAGCCAAACAGCCAATTGGCATGCAAAATAACTGAAAATCAATTTGGCGTGAAAAACGAAAAAAAAAAAACGAGAAAGAAGGGCTATCTTCGGCACACCGAAGATGCAATACCCTTGCAGACCCAACCTTTTAATAATGCTCAGCACAGGGTGAATAGTTGAAGCCGGGTATGATTAGGATATCTGTATTAACAAAAAAGTTGTTCATACAAGAACCTACTTTTCGACCGATCCTTCCTATGGCAGCTATATGATATAGTAGTCCAATCTTAATAAGATTTTGCTTATATGTAGGGAACATAGTAAGACTAATAAGTGCCGAGTTTGGTCAAGATATCTGTATAAAGAAAAAAGTTTTTCATACAAAAACCTACTTTTCGTCCGATCGTTCCTATGGCAGCTATATGATATAGTGGTCCGATCCAGCTAGTTCCGACATATGTACTGCGTGCAGCAGAGAGAAGCACTTCTGCAAAATTTCATAAAGATAGCTAGCAGATAGAAACAGATAGACAGACAGACGGACTCGGCTGTAAATACTATTCAAGGATATATATACTTTGTGGGGTCGGAGTTGTCGCCTTTTATGCTTTACACATTTCACGACAAAATTCGTCTACCCTCTGCAAGGGTATACAAAGCAACTGAAAAACAAGTTAGTATGCTCCAGTTGACTGCTGCTCGACGCCCAAATACCCTGTAGAGTTTGCCCAAAAGATGAGTACAGCATGCATGCAACATGGCGGAAGATACGAAGGCGATAAATAGGCGATAGGAATGCGATATTGTCTGCAGATGCCGCTTGCTGCTGGCAGTATATTTTTGTTATTTATCTCATTTATATAGAGAAGCGACACAAGAATTCTACCTATTCTACCTATATACCTCTATAAGTTATAGTTGTCCGTTAAAATGATGAGAATTTGCTTGAGAGGAATTTGCTTGGTAGTCCGATATTGATGAGAAATTTGATCACATGTGCAACCAATGTCAAGATTGGTAAAAAAATCGAGAGAAGCAGAAGATCTTGAAAAAAGAAAATAAGATGTGATATGAAGATATGATAAAGTAGTCCCATCTGAACGATTCCCAAATGCAGATGTGCTGAAGTTGAATGAGAAAAGCTTTCAGGCCAAGAGACTTGCCAGAAGATAGACGCATTAATCTATAGCTACGCGCGTATTTGATTCCAGTTAAGAATATATACTCTATGAGGTGATGTCTGCCACAACTCATGATTAACTTTAATACATTTACTAAATAATGTATTTGTTTATTACAACGTCCAGGCCTTCAGCTCTGCTTCAAATAATTACTTTAAAATTTGTCTGCTTAAGTTGTAAATCTTATTTATGTTCGAGACTAAGACTGACATTAATGAGTTAGGTAAGTGGGTTCTATACTATCTTTTCCATTTTACGTCAGGTATTTAGAATGTGGCTGGAGATTGCTGAAAAGATGACCAGCTGCCGTTTATTGTGAAGTGGGTTTACTTCGTTTACATTTATGTTCAGGCTGCTGATACCCCTTTGTTGGCATTTAGTGCGTGCAGGGTATACGCAAAGGCAACAATGCCGCTGGGCAGTTGCCAGCGGCAAGCAGTCGCAGCAGCCAGCAACCAGTTGAGTCGAGTTGTTGTCGCTGTTGCTGCTCTAAAGCTCATTCGAAAGTTAAAGGGGAGTTGTTGTTGTTGTTGTTGTTGTTGTTGCTGCCGCAACAAGCTGGCGTGCTGCATCTAAAGCTGTTGCTGTTGCCGTTGCTGCCGCTTTCAGTCGCCGCCGAGCGAGCGCCGAGAGCAGACAACGACTCGTAGCACGCCGAACGCGTCGCGCCTCAGCGAACCAGCGCGATTTATTGACTTTAATCTTGATCTTAAGTTTTAGTTTAGTCTTTGGTCTCTCGCTCACGCACGCTCGCTTACGCTCATTCGCTCGCCCGCCCGCTCTCGAACCCTTTGTGGCTGTGTTTCTTTGATTTTTTTTCTTCGTTTTTGTTGTTATTTTTGTTGTTATATTTTGTTTTTTTTTTTATCATTTTTTTTTTTTGTCCTACGCACGCCCGCGCGCGTCCGCACGCCTGTGATTTAGTTAATACTCGCGCTTAGTTTTAGTTTCGGTCTCGTAATTAACTAAAGACTCGAGTGGCACACAGCAACAAATGCCAGGCAAAGACAACGTTGGAGAGAAAGAGAGCAAAACAAATTAAAAACAAATTAAAACGAAAAAAAACTACATTTGTTTTTGTGCGTGGGGCGCTAAACGATTGGCCAACGGCAGCGCACAGTTTGCTTAATTAAACCAGGTGCGAATATGTGTATGTTATGAATATTATGTGAAACATTTTATAAGTTGTCAAAAACAAAGCGGAAAGATAATAAATAAAAGTGCCAAAAAGGTTGCACAGCAACGAAAGACTTAGGCAACAAACTTGATTGCAGGTACTAAATGCAGCTAAGTGTGTGTGAGTGTGTGTGTATGACTGAATGTGTGTGTGTGTGTGTGTGGTATGAGCTACAGCAACTGCATTTGAAAGTTCTATATAATCCAGTTCACTTAACTAGCAAAAGACTAAGGCAACAAACTTGACTTAAGGCTGTTTTTGTATGCATATGAGCTCATGTGTGAGTGTGTGTGTGTGTGTGTGTGTGTGCGTGAGCGAGTTCAGCTACTGCAGTTCCATTTAAAAATTCTATGAAATTCATTTCGAAAGTAATCCCAACAAAATATATGCATAAAATGTAGCTAAACGAAAGACTTAGGCAACAAACTTGACTTAAGCCCATTTATATATGCATATGCATGTGTGTTTGTGTGTTTGTGTGTGTGCGGGTTTTAGCTACTGCTTAAAATATTGAACTAAACGAATGACTTAGGCAACAAACTTGACTGAGGGTCATATATATGTGCGGCCAATAGCTGCGAGTTCTTAACTACATTTCAATTTTCTATGCCAGCGCTTGCATAGGCTGGTCCAAACGAAAGACTTAGGCAACAAACTTGATCAGGGTCTATCTATATATGTATGTATTTTAGTATATATGTATATGTGTGTGCTTGGCTTAGCTAACAGCTCCTGCAACTCCTTTCGAATGTTCTATGAAGCCCCCCCGTCCCCCTCCAAAAAAAAAGTACAAAAAGCTTGACCACTACAAAAGACTAAGGCAGCAAACTCGACTAGAAGCTGTTCTTATATGAGTGTGTAAGCATATCGTAGTTGAACAACAAGAATTACCATGTGTTCAATTTCATAGAATACCAAAAAGAGCAACGAAAGACTTAGGCAACGAACTTGGCGAGAGAGCTATTTATAAATGAGCAACAGCTTCCATTTCTGAGCGCCATTTGGATTTAATGGGATGCCCAAAACAAAGTCGTCCCAAACAAAAGACTTAGGCAACGAACTCGATTTAAGGTTAGTTCTTGGAGTGGGTGTGTGTGTGTGTGTGTGTTACAGCTCTTGCAACAACCGGCTGCAAGTTCTATGTGAAACATAAAATTCACTATAAATAATTATAACCAAACGAAAGACTTACGCAACGAACTTGATTATAAAATTACTTTATACACATGCATATGTATATGAAATGTGTGTTCTTTTGTGTGTGTATGTACGCTTCTGGCAGCTAAGGTTCTAATTAATTGATTCGGCTCAAAATTGGTTGCAACAAACGAAAGACTTAGGCAACAAACTTGACCACAAACTTCTATTTATACAAATGACCAAACACTTTGTGTGTGTGTGTGTGTGTGTGTGTAGGGCAGCAGCTGCCAATTTCTAATTCCATTCAAAATGTAGTTCAAAAATTTGCTTGCAAATAACGAAAGACTTAGGCAACGAACTTGACAGCAAATGCTTTATATACAAATGTGTTTGTGTGAGGTAACAGCTTCTAGCTCCATTTGAAAGTTCTTGTGCGGCTACTCAATAATTGTGCGAAGATCTTAGAAGCTGCCCTATGTATTTTCCCCTCCCCACCGCAACCCCCGGCCCAGCGCGACCGGCGCAGCGCATTGGAGTGGACTTAGGAGCATGTCTTTAAACCGGTAGTTGGCAATTACCCAGGCAGCAAAAGGTTGTGTACCACAGCAGATGATGTTGTACAAGGCATACACACACAGCTCTCGCATACACATACACACACACACACACACACACACACACACGCTCACAGACACACACAGCTGAAGACCTGTTCTGGAGCCCAGTTTAATCAATAGACTGCGGCTGCTCCTGCTTTGTCTGCGGTTTGAGTTAACTTGGCTTGGCTTGGATTCTAGGCGTGTCTGCAGCAGGTCCATGAACCTAACTACACACCAATACACACACACACACACACACACACAGACACACAGTTGGAGCTGTGTGTTTTGTCTACAAAATATTTGTTGGAATTTCGAATTTGAATTTTTAGTTTGAATTTTTTTCATTTGTGTGTACTTCTTGTCTTACAACCGCAGCTGGCAGTGTGTGTGTGTGTGTGTGTGTGGGTACTTGTTGGCTGGGTAAACTTGTTTCTGCTTTGCGCCCATGTGCCCACATTGACTCGGCACTCGCACTCTAATCAGCGTATGCCAATCTCTGCCCGAAACTCCAGCTCAATTGTGGCCCGGGGGCCGCTGACTCTGGATGTGTGTGTGTGTGTGTGTGTGTGTTGGTGGGTCCACAAGTGGTCAGTTGCAGCTGCGTTGGCGTTGGCGTTGCCAACGTTAACTGAATTACAATAATAATAAACATAATAATCGAACGCGCTGTTTGGGGCCCAGCGCCTAGGCTCGAGGTTGAGCAACTCCCAAGGCAAACAGGTCTGCGCGAAAAGCGCACGCACAAAGCCGCAGACGGTGTCGCAGCGAGCAACAGCAGCAGCCGCAGCCGCAACAGCGGCCAAAACTCTGCACAAATCGGCAGCTTGGCTCATTTCTCTTTTTTTAATCTGTTTTTCTTTTTTTTTTTTTTTCTTAGCCACTTGGCATGCCAACAAGCACAATTCATTTGAATACCTTTAAGCGGGCTAAAGCGTTTCTCGAATTGAAATTATGCCTCAAACAGCGCTTGTATATATATATATATGTGTGTGTGTGTGTATTGGTGTGTGTCGTGCTCAATCTCAACTCCACTTTATGCCGCATACTCCACGCTTAACATTACCTCTTGGCCAAAACCAAAACCAAAGCAACAACAACAACATTTAATTTAAACGAAAAAAAAAAACGGTTTTTCACATTTTTGGCCAATGACAAAGCTCTTGGCAATATACCACCGCCCCCCCCTTCCCTGCGTCATCCTCGTCTGCGTCATCGGCCGCGTCATCACGACTTCATCTTAGCCATAAACATTTATCATGATCTTCATTGGCGCCACATAAAAGACTAACAAAAAAAAAAACAAAACAAATGCAAAAAAATAAAAATTTTAGGTAACCTCCGTAACGCAAATCCCGCCTCTGCTCCGCCTGCCCACAAATCTATCAATAGCAGAATCTATCTCTATATAAGCTTAAGATTGCTTTTTATTTCTTTTCTTTATTTTGTTTTTCTTATGTATACCCTGCAATTTGATATATATGATTGGGTTCTGCTCATGCCTTAATATCTACCCATTTAGCTCCGGTTCTCTACGAGCTGGAACTACGAAATTCTGTTAATTGAAAATTTTCAAATAGCTTCAACCGCAAAAGAATTGAAATTTTAAAGAATATATTCGAAAAGCAAGCAGAAACTCAAAAGCTGAACCTCAACGAAGTCAGGACCTGCCCAAAAGTTTTGAATGGGAACTCTCATTGGCATATTTAGTTGAACTGAGTTTTATGTGTTGGACTTTTTCAAATGCGGGTGGGCTATATATGGTATATACGGGCATTTTTATGGTTTAATAATTAAATGTTGCACGCATATTTAGCAGAGTTATAAAGCGCGTTTTTTCTGAGCTGACTTGTGACAAAGAACTTCTGAAATGTTCTCTTTTTCAACCATAATTCCCATGGCAGCGTCTGGCTATGTTTTAAGGCCAAATATTGGTTAGATAAGTTTGATAAACTCAAACAAAAATTATGTAGCCTTTGAATATATCTATATATATATATATATATGCTAGCGGATAATGCCCGGCCTTGCCCGTGCCACATTTTGTGCTGTAAATTTTAGATAGAAATAGAATCTTGAAGCTGACCAACATCTATATATATATATTTGTATATGTCTATCGAATATGTAAACCAAACTCGATAACCCTCTGACAAGGTATGAGATACGTCTTATAGCTCCGAATCCATAAGGTATATATATTCTGGATCAGCAGCCGACTTGATATAATATCCAACTATCCATTCCGCTGTCTGCCTGCTCTTATGCGAACTAGTCTCTCAGTCTGAAAGCTCTCGTCTTGCAATGTTAGTTCGTTTTTCAGTTGCAGGCATTCTAGCTGTTGGAACTGACCTGATCGAAGCGCTATATCATATAGTTTTCATAGGCACTAAGAGTCTAAAAGTAGGTTCTTATATGAAAACCATTTTAACAAGATATCCTGTTCGCTTCATATATATTATATGTATGTAGGCAAATGTCTGGAGAGGGTATCAAATGTTCGGCGTGCCGTAGATACCCTTACTTTCTCGCTTCCTGCTAGACATGCCCATTTATGGGCTCAAGTAATTCGCCGACTCAGCGAGCTAGAGCCATAAAACTTGGCAAGTGTCAGAGTCTTGGGCATCTTTTTTCGTGCCGCCAAAACACTTTCAGTTTCGGTTGTGGCCGTTTGCAGGGTATTTGGATGCTTTTACTTTTGTGTTATGTGGTTTTTTTTTGTTTTTATGTGCTTTAATGAATTCGTGTCCATCGATCGTTCAATGAGCAAGTCAAATTCACAGCGGCGCGACAAGCGGGGCAACGGCTGGGGGCGAGTTTCATGTTATTGTTGTCTTTGTGGTTTCTGTTGCTGACATTCAAGTTTTTCAGCTTTAAGCTAAAAAAAAAAAACAAAACAAAACACTTTCTACGCGCGTTACCGTTAAACAAGGTCGCCGACAACAACGACAACAAGTTATGTTTAACTGAATCTGCCTTTGTGGTCAACTGGTGCAGATGATGCTCAGCGGACTCGGCTCCACCGAGGTCCACCGATGCGTGCATTTTGCCTGTCATCCACAACTTCGCCCGAAGGCGCTGAAGGCAACCATCAAAACTGACCTTGAGGCATTCGCTGTCGCTGTCGCTGTTGCTTCTTCCTCAGCTAGGTGTCGCATTCTTACCGTTATTTTCCATTTCCATGCACTCATTATACCCTTGCAGAGGGTATTATAATTTAGTCGCGAAATGTGTAACGCATAGCAGAAAACATCTCCGACCTCATAACAGCCGACTCCATCTGTCTCTTTCTGTCTTCTAGCTGCAGGATCGGACCACTATATCATAGAGCTGCCATAGAAACGATTGGCCGCAAAGTAGCTTCTTGCATGGAAAACCTTTTTTGTTTTTCAAGATATCTTAATCAAAGTCGTCATTAACTATTTTCCCTGTGCTTTTTAGATACGTGCAAAGCACTATGAGTATTATGAAAGTTGGTTGGTTCTGTAAGGGTATCAAATCTTCGGCGTGCCGAAAATAGCCCTTCTTACTCGTTTTCCTTTATGTTTATTTTTTGACTCCACTTGCAAAACGAAATGTGGTGCATTGTGGTTAGTGTCTTGCTCTGAATACCATGCCAACTGGGCGCCCGCTCTGTAAGCACACACACACATATGTGTGTGTGTGTGTGTGTGTGTGTGTGTGGCAATTGCATCGACTTGAAGCAAGAAGCATTCACAGACGCATCGACCATGTCGATGATGCAACCCGATCAGCATTCAGCGTGTGCTGTGCATGTAAAGAACAATCTAATGTTAGAAATGTTTGCTTCAATTGTTCGTTTCACTGTTAACTCCCATTGTTAATAATTTTGTATAAGTTTTGAATATTATGAAACCAGCTGAGTTGACTTCTCCAGACAATAACTGAATTCTTTGCCGAGCTATCGACACAAATGTGCTACCAAACTTCACGTTTGCTTTGCTAGAAACGCAAAGGTAGCAATATCTGATTCCACTATGCTCAGAAAAAAATGTTACATTTTGCGGCACGGACAGATGGATATTATATCAAGTCAGCTGCTCCAGAATATATATATATATATATACTTGATAGGATCACATTTGTCTATGCCTCTGTAAATATGTAAAACTTATAAGATCTTTTCTCAGCTTCCAAAACAATCAGCGCAAACGTTGACCCACAAACTTGTCGAAACTGTGAGAAAGTCGTCAATTCTGCTTTTAGTTCATATATTAACCTTAATTGTTGCTCGAACTGAACTCTGGATATGCGTTCCATGCAGGTTCTCAACTGAAGAGATCTACAAATGGCATCTAGACTAAAATCTTGAACTTCAGCTGATTTTAATCAAATTTCTAACAAGAAGCTCAATCATAAGAACTTCATCTGATCTTTCGAAGATCGCTGTTTGAGGTTTCAGCTGTTTCTCAAGTGATCTTTAGCTAGCTTTTAATGTGATGTGTTCCTAAATTGATCTTTATTTGAAAGTCAGCTTATTTTAAACAGAATTGATCGCATTTTGATCTTTACCCAAACTTGATCTGCATACAATTTTGTACTTCTGTCAAACTTGTTTCATGTGTTTCATTTTTTTCTTTCTTTCCTTTGCTAGACATTTGAACCTTGTTCAAATTTTGTTTCGTTCTTAACGAATGCTGACCATTTCATCTTGATGTGATCTTTTTTTTTGTGCTTCGAAGGATCTGTTGGGATTCCTTAATTATTATTACTTATGTTCATCTTTAGTGGATCTGTTCCTACAAATGATAATCATTTACCATAAAGAGCTTGTCTTTAACTGATCTTCAGTTAATAAATGTCTTGTATTCATCTTATATTTATTTGGAACTATCTTCATTTTTATATGAAATGATCAATTTGTGTGATATTTAATAAATCTTAAACTTAATCAGATTCTTATCTGATTATTTTAATTATTTATTCATGATCTTCAACTGCAACGATTGAATGTGACTTGATCTTCATCTGATCTTCCAATAATCTTTTATCTAAGATGAGTCTAATCTGCAAATACTCGAAATGTTAATTTAATCTGATCTTAATCTGATCTTCATCTAATTGTTGTGCTATTTATTAAGTCTCGATTTTTGTCGGATCTTCATTTGATCTTCATCTCATCTTCATCTGATTTTCATCTGATCTGTAAATGCTCTTTCGTCTAAAATGGGCCTGATTAGAGAATTTAAAAACTAAAATGGGTCTGGTCTTTTTCTAATAAAATAAAAATTTGTTCATCTTGATCTTCGTCTGATCTTCATCTCATCGCCAAATGATCTACTTTGATCTTCATCTAATTTTTTGACCTTCGTCTGATCTTCATCTCATCGCCAAATGATCTTCTTTGATCGTCATCTGATTTTCAAATGCTTTTTCATCGAATGGATGTGATATTTTTGTATTTTTGATCTTCGTCTGATCTTCAAATGATTCTCAGCTGATTCCTTACCCTGATAAAACAATAGATTTGTGCATGTGATCTTTATCTATACGCAACTCGGTTCTTTCAGACCTACGTAAAGGCCGTTCGTGAGGGTGTTGAGGATCTTGAGGCGGTGCTTTGTTCGCCGGAGAGTCAGCAGCAATTGGTGGCGCTTGGGCCGCAGCTGGTGGCGAATACGAGCCGATCGCGTAAGACCATCGATTCGGAGGATACGCAAAAGCGTTGCCTCGCCCAGGAGGACGGCACACTGGTAACCGAAAGTAAACGCACCACCGAGCACGAGATAATACTTGACGGCGACGAGCCGGATCAGGCAAACCGGACGCCGACGTCCGGCAATGAGCTGCTGGAGCGGCCCGTCGAACAGTTGACGACCATAACGGCGGCGAGTCAACGGTATTTCAAGCAGCGGGACGAACAGCATGTCGATCTGCTAGCCGACGGCAAACTGGTGGCCACCGAGATGCGCTACGCAGCCGAGCAGACCCAAATGGAAAAGGACGGCTCCCTGGAGCGACCCGGCGACTGGGACAGCCTATCGGATCGCATGCGCAAGCTGCGTCGCTCCCAGCAGCAGCAGCAGCAGCAACAGCAGCAGCTGCAGCAGAAAGGTGAGTCAAGCGCCGACGACAAGAAATACCCTAGCTAATTGATATTCCTGCAGAGGTTGCGCTGCTCGCAGATCGCAAGGACGCGCTGACCAAGCGGCCGCTCGACTTTGATCGCGAGGAGGAGACGCGCAAGGGCGAGACCATGAAATGGCTCGAATCGCATTTTGGCAGCGAATCGACCGCCTCCAACGATTCGCGCGACGACGAGCCCAACGAACTGGACGTCGAGCCCACCAAGAAGAGCTACTTCAACGTGACCATCAAATCCCAGCAGCAGCAGCAGCAGCAGCAGCAGCTGCTGCCGTCGATCGCGACCGCGTTGCCCGCTGTCGCAGCTGCCAATACGCAGACGCTGCCGCGCAGCGCAGAGCGGGAACGGGAGCGGGAACGGGAACGAGAGCGGGAACGGGAACGTCTGGCCGCCACAACGCTCGATCGGAAATATGTGAAGGATGCACACGCTGGCCGGCCCAAGTACTATCAGGGCATCTCGAACTGGGCGGAGCGGCAGGAGGCGCCTCAGCTGCATCATTTCTCCACGCAGGCATTTCGCGAGGATCTACAGGAGACGATACGCCGCAACGGGCTAAAGAAGAAGCAGCAGCAGCAACAGCAGCTGAATGCATCCAGCGACAGCTACGTCAGCCGGGAGGATATCTTGCAACAGAAACGTCAGAGCCTGTCATCACAGTTTCTGGCCAGATCAGCGCGCGGATCACGCGATGCACTCGACGATCTGGATGCCATACCGGGCCCGGCGCCGCCAGCCGTCATCCGTCAACATCAGCTGGCGGCAGCGGCAGCGGCAGCTACTGTGCCGGCCCAGCGCCCGGAGGAGCCGTCGCACAAGCGTGTCGCCTACGGTCATGCGCATGGCCATGGACGCAGCAGCAGCAATCCAATCAATGGCCTTGCCGCACACCCACATGCCAATGGGCGTGGCAGAAGCTATGAGCCGCAGCTGCAGGTGTCGCAGCCGCAGCCGCAGCCGGCGCAGCTGTCGCCGCCGCCAGAGTTCGCGACAAGCAGCAGCAGCAGCAATCTGGGACGGCCGACGGTGCCGCAGCGACGACGTGCCATCGAGAAGAAGCTGGGCGAGCACAGCCACGCCCATGTTCATGTGCATGTGCAGCCCGCCCAGTTGGCAGGCCACACACAGCTGGAGCCGCCGCCGGACTACTCGCCGCCGCCGCGCAGCCGCTCCTCCTCGCCGCAGGTGGACTATATGCTGACGCGTGCGACACGGCATCCGGAGCCGCCGGCCAGCTCCGGCTTGACGCTGAGCCGGAAGCAGCAGCAGCGCACACGATTCGCGCCCGCCGCCGGCGTCGCCGCCAGCTCGGCCAACTCCAACTCGAATCTGTCGACGCTAAGCGCCAGCAAGCCGAGCAAAATGGGCCAGGTGATTGGCAATTCGCTGCGCAAGCTGGTCAGCAAGATCCGTTCGGCCAGCGCCGAGCGTAAGTTTCGCATGAAAAGCGCCGCCAATGGCAAATCCCGCGAACAGTCGCCCAGTCGCCAGCAGCAGCCGGCGCTGGCGGCCAAGGGCGTGCCCACCTATCAGCAGTACAATGTGATTGACGGGCATATTGGCGGCAACGGATCGGAGGAGTCGGAGGGCTCCGCTAGCGATGGCCAGCGCCGGCAGCGCCAGCCGGAGGCGCCGTCCAGCCTGCCGGGTAAGCAGCCGGCATCGGTGACGGTGGCGGATGCCGCAGAGCCAGCGATGAGTCCGCGCCAGCGCTACTATCTGGGCGAGGATCCCTACTCCAGCACGCTGTACGGCAAGGAGAACATCTACGAGCGGAATCGAGTGACGGCGTCGCGCCAGCGCTACGAGACGCGCGAGCCGCGCGAACCGCTCGACGAGCATGACGACTACTATGAGACGCGTGCGCTGCCGGCATCGATGACGACCACAACGACGCTGGGTCGCTATCAAAAGCATGGCCAGCGCTTTAGCGGCTCGACGCCCAATCTGCACGTGCAGCCGGACTATCGGAATGCGCAGACGCTGCCGCGCAAACTGCACGAACCGGCGCCATATCGGGCGCAACGTTATCCGCAAACGCTGGACAAGATGGGCAATCGGCCGGCACAGTATATGACACGCCAGATTAGCCAGCAGACGCAGCTGGCACCGCTGCCAGCTGAGCCGCAGGGTCCGGCCAAGCCGGCGCGCACCTATGCCAAGGTACTCAATCGCAGCAAGAGCTTCAATGTGCATGGCATGAACGGCGGCAACGATCCTAGTCCCATCTACATCGAGAAGCTGACCAGAAACAACTACAGCGGCCGCCACGAGCAGCAGTCGCCATCGCCGTCGCCATCGCAGGCATACAAATCGAATCCGCATCTCTGCAGCGGCGCCAGGGATAACAACAATTCGCTGAAGAGCGGCCTGAAGAGTCCGTCAATTGTCAATCTGATCAGCCGCAGTCAGAAGGATCTGACCAAAATATCGGGCAGCAACGAGGATGATCTCTATGCGGAGGACAGCGGCAGCAAGCGTCAGCTCTATTTGCGTAATCTGCATCAGCAGGCGCCCGATCTATACCGTGTCCTGCACGGCGACGAGGATTACGGCCAGCGACACAAGAAGCATGCGTTGCAGCCAAAATATTCACTGGACTCCCGTTCGCCGCCGCCCGTTGAGCTCAACAAGGATACGGCGAGCATTGTGCGGCGCAGCAGCGATGATAGCAAACGGCTACTCTATGCCGATGACCAACTGCATCATCATCAGCATACGCATCATCATGTCCAGCAGCAACATCATCAGCATCATCAACATCATCATGTCCAGCAGCAGCAGCAGCAGCAGCAGCTGCGTCGCGGATCCGGCGCCACAATCATTGAGCTTCGCCAGCGCAAATGATGCCTTTGTCTCTGCCTTTCCCATGCCCAGCAGCTAGCTCCCTCTCTGTCCACTCACTCTCTCTCTCTCTGTTTCTCTCTCATCTCGTTGCTCCTGAACAGTGTTTGCCATTGTAGCTACTTTCTAGCTAAATTCAGCCTCTCTCTCAGCTTCTTAGCCGTCAACAGCTTGCACATTTTTAGCTGATTTAGCTTCTTTTTGTTTTTTGGGCATCTCAACTAGAGTTGGGCCTTATACTTGAGCATCTACCGTGACTCGTGGACTCTCTTTTTATATCCTGAACCCATTAAAAATGGTTATAAGGGTATATTGTATTTGTGCAAAATCCAAATGTATGTAACAGGCAGAATTCCTTCTCCGACCCCATAAAGTATATATATTCTTGATCAGCATCAATAGCCGAGTCGATCTAGCCATGCCCGTCCGTCCGTCTGTCCGTCTGTCCGTATGTATGAACGCTAGGATCTCAAAACCTATAAGAGCTAGAGAAATTGAAATTTTAGATGTAGGTGCTCCTGCGCAGATAGAGTTTGTTTCCGATAGTCGATAACTTACTCCGTTTCCAAGCAATCGATAAAAATCGATATCGATGTTTTTTGGGAGCTAGAGTCACCAAACTTGACATATAGCTTCTAAACTAGAATATATATATATGCATTTGATGTTGGAAGAAGACGGTTCAGGGTATGCCCTAATCGGGAGCTCCCGACTAGAACCTCTTACTTGTTTTTATTTTTTAGTGCAACTTTCTTGCAAGTAGTCTTTTTGGCGCTCAAAAATTTGGCCAATCTCAGCTCCATCTCGAACTATCGTTACAAATAACACTGTGCTACAAATTTAGCCTGTCTTTTCTGCATAACCGTAAAAATAACACTTTAATTTAGTATGATAAACTTTGTTTTTGAAACAATTTTAATCTTAGTCTTAGCACTATCTCGAATTATTGTTAAAACTTACACTATGCAACAAATCCAGTCTAGATTTGTTGCATAGTGCTTTGTGTAACGATAATTCGAGCTAGGTTTGAGATAACATTATAAAAATTTTTTTAAAAAAAGTCAAGCAATGACAAATCGATTGAAGTTCCCAATTTGCAGCCTTAAAGCTTTAAAAAAGGCTAGATTTAGCTGTAAAACAGCTTTTTCTTCCGTCCGAATTTCAAGTCCCGTGTCCGTAGGAAAAAAAAATGGGAATAAAAACGCACGACCCGCGCCCAGCTCTAAGCTCAATGACAAATACTTGCCACCTTGTTTATTTTTTAGTTATTTTTACAACACTGGTTTCTGGTGTTCTTTGCGCCAGTTGGCAACACTGCGCCCGCATGCGGCTTTCAATTTCATTTGACAAGCGGCAAATAAATATGAAAAGCCCCCTCCCCCCCTCAGCCCGGCCTCCCTGCTGCTGGCCAACATATTCCCAGATTTATATCAATATATATATATGCATATATTTAAAATACAATTTTTTTTTTAGTATTTTTTTTTTACTAATTGTAACCAATTTAATTGTAACGTTTTTGTTGTATAGTTAACGTTAAATTTTTGTGACGCGCCACTAACTAATTAATGCATTAATTAATTTACCCTACTTACTACTTAACGTACTTAATTAATTCATAATGGGCAACAAAATTAGGCAGCAAACAAAAATGAAATACTTAATTATTTACAATATACTTAATAATAATTTGCTTAATAAACCAATTCCAATTACAACTATAATAATATTAAAAATAATAATAAAAAGACAACAAAAAATAAAGTGCCAAAATAAATAATTACAAAAAAAAAACATAGAGTGTAAAAAAACTTAAAATCGATTTCGATTTCCAACAAGCACAGTTCGATTTTATGCAGCCAGCACCAGTTGGGAATTTTAGTTCATATCGGAAGGGTGTTTAATCTTGCACGTGTCGAAAAAAATGGCGTTTTTTTTTTTTAATAACCTAATTTAATTGTAAAGCGAATGTCATTGCTTTTAGTCGAGTTCACAGTTTTGATGGGGTCGCATAGCATAAATGGGCGCTGCGAATGCCCGTCTGAAGTGCACGGGTCAAAGTTCGATGAGATTTCCAGCAGTCGCTGTCCCGCGACGCACAGTATTTGAATAGCATTTGCTGCGATCGGTTGTGCTCGGGCCACATATATCGGGATCATGTTGGTGCTAATCCTCTTGGCGCTGCTCGCAGCGCAGACTGAGCTGGTCGGCGGCCTGGAGTCGGGCTCACTGCTGCTGGACTTGACCCAGCTGGCGGCGGGCAATGTCACGCGAGGGACGACAACCTGTGTGGAGCAGCTGCGAGCGCTTCATAACGCCTGGCAGCAGGGGCACAGCTGGGCGCTAAAAGGTATGACTACCCGCTGGACGGACGTATATCTGTCCGTCTCACTGTCCGTCTCACTGTCCGTCTACTTTCCGTCTAACTGTCCGTCTAACTGTCCGTCTACTGTCCGTCTAACTGTCCGTCTAACTGTCCGTCTATATATCCGTCTATCTATCCGTCTATCTGTCCGTCTCACTATCCGTATACTGTCCGTCCATCAGTCCGTCTATCAGTCCGTCTATCTGTCCGCCTATCTGTCCGCCTATCTATCCGACCATCATTCCGTCTAACTGTCCGTCTCACTGTCCGTCTCACTGTCCGTCTACTGTCCGTCTGCTATCCGTCTATCTGTCCGTCTATCTGTCCGTTCGTCCGTCCGTCCGTCTGCTTCGTGTAGTCCCGGAGGAAGCTTGCATTGGGGATTACATTTCCTGACATCGAATAGGAATTTCCCAAGACAAACCCTTTGACACCCATCTCACGGACGTAATCCTTTCCAGCTTTCGATGCGTCCGGCAGCGGTTATCACAATTTGATGTTGGGCAACAGCCTTTGGCTGGGCAATCGCTGGACCTGTCGCGCCCTCAACGAGCAGCTGCTGCAGGAGTTTACCCAGCGCCAGGAGCAGCTGCTGCGCCAGCGGGCGCCCTTTGCCCACGATTATCGTGTGGTCTATCTGCATGCCAATTCGCCCTGGCAGCTGGCTCTGACCGTCAAGCAGCCGCCGCTGCTGCACATCGGCCTCTGCGTGCCGCGCAGCTGTGATCAGCCGCAGCTGGAGCAGCTGCTGCGCCAGTCGCTGCGGCACTTGGAACGCCTGGCGCTGCGGCCCGAGCTGGTGTACACCAAGCAGCCGGAGGCGACTGGCAGCTACTTTGCCGGTCCGGCCTTTCGCTGGCTACTGCTGCTGCTGTCGGCCAGCCTGCTGCTGCTGTTGCTCGGCCGCAGCCGCTTGGCCGGCACCAGCCGGTACGTTGCCTGCTTCGATGTGGCCACCAACTGGCGGCGTCTGTGGCAGCCGCCCGCGGCGGACCACACGCCCGAAATCGCCGTCATCAATGGACTGCGCGTCTGCAGCGCCAGCGTTCTGCTCGGCGTTCATGTGGTCTGGTATCAGTTCTTTTCGGTGCATCATTCAGCGCAGCTGGCCGCCAAGCTGACCGAGCTCGCTTACCTGGCGGGCGCATTGGAGGTGTTCTTTGTCGTCAGGTACGGCTAGAGGCTGTCTAACCATTCCAGCTCGGCTTTAATCGGTTTCGCTTCGTTTTGCCAGCGGCTTTCTGACCGTCTCTAACTTCATGCGGAACGACGCACTGCAGCGCTCCATTGCGTCGGACACGCTGGGCGGCAATGTGCGGCGCTTTGGGCGTCAGCTGGCGCAACGGTATCTGCGTCTGGCACCGCTGCAGTTGATCGTCGTGCTGCTGTCCGTGCTGAGCTTCGGCTATCATCGGGAGATGTCGGTTTTCCATCTGATCGAGCCGTTGGATGAGCTCTGCGAGCGGCATTGGTGGCGCAATTTGCTCTTTGTCCAGAATCTGTATCCAAACAAGGAGATGTGCTGCAATTGGACCTGGTCCCTGGGCTGCGATATGCAGTTCCACATTATGGCCATGCTGCTGCTCTACATGCACACGAGGTGCGTTTTTGCCCTGATTCATTTGGCATCGACTAAGCGAACACATTCAAACATACGCAGCTCGAACTTCTTGCAACATGTTCGATCGAGCAAATCATGTTTGAAGCGAGCTCGAGCTAAGCTTGGCAATCGAATAGCTCGAGAAGAAGAGACTTTTGGACTTTTCGAAAAGCGTTCCGTTTGACTCAATTAATGAAGTTTTAATCATTACAGATATCCACAGCTCGTGCGGCGTCTGGTGCTGATGCTGCTTTTGGCCAATGTGCTGTACACGGTGCTGTTGCAGATCGTGCTCGATGTGCCCACCACATTCGAGGCCCTGTACGGCATCGGCGATTGGCTGTACACGAATCCTCTGGTGCGCATGCTCGCCTACCTCATCGGCGGTATTTATGGCTATGCGCATGCGCGCGGCTTGGTCGAACCTTTTGTTGCCCTGTTTCCCAACAAGCTGGCCAAGTGTGCCCTCGCTGGCGTAGCCGTATGGCTGGCCAGTCGGTTGCAGGTCCTGCAGCTGGCCAGTCCGGCTCTGGTGGGCTGCGGCTTCGTGCTGCTGCGTGGAGCAATATCCACGGCGACGGCGCATCTCATTTGGTGCAGCTTTCGCATAGATGGGTGCACGAGGGTTACGCGTTGGCTGGTGCATTTTCTAGAGTTGGATTGGTTTCAGCGTCTCAACCGCCTGAGCTATGCATTATATTTACTGAACCCCCTGATCATACTTAATTTATACTACTCTCTCAGCGATGCAATTCCAGCGGATGTTGGCCTTTTGGCAAGTTTGGCTATTGGCATTGCCTTTTTACCACTTGTTAACGTTGTTTTTATTACAGATCTACCTGTGCGTGGCACATTTGGTTATAGTTTTAGTATTCTCTGTTCCGTTGACTCTGTTCTTCGAGCTGCCCTTTAATAGGCTGTCAAATCTATTGCTAGCATCAAAAATTGCAAATGGTAAAGAAGCTTAAATAATATTTGTTTTGGTTTATTTTTGTTGCCCGTTAAATTCTTAAAGTTTATTATAACTAATTTGTTCGAAAATTCGTTAACAATATATTTCAAAAACAAACGAAAATACGTTAAGCTTTACCGTTAACCTTACTGAATTTGCGTTTACGACAAGAGGGCATTTTTGCGCTATTCTATGTTTTTACATTGCTTTATTTTGCGTTAACGCTGCTGTTAGTACGTTACGTAGCTTAATTATGCGTTAACGTGCTCCCTTTTGCGCACAGTTGATTTTTTGCATAAGCCGCGCATTTTCGTCGATAGTCATACAAGATGTCTGCTTAGCACATGCTGTTAGCACGTTTACATAGCTCAACTATGCGTTAATGTGCTCCCTTTTGCGCACAGCTGTTTTTTGCTCATATGTTGCGCATATTAATCGATAGTCATATAGAATGTTCGATTATTTCATCATGCCATTGGTATGAAGCCAATTGCAAATATATAAAATGTAAAATATACGCAAATTAGTTAAAATTTATACAATACACAAAACACGGCTGTACGCAACGCCAAAATGACTTCGCGCAACCTAACGGAGGTGTTTGTTATCATGCGCAATAATGCCAGCAAGAATCGTAATCATTATGACGATCGGGTAAGACAGACCCCGCCGACTCAACCATATGGACAATGTGACTTGAAATGCCAAATAAATGATTGTTATTGAACTTAATAGCGTGGCAGCGATTCGGAGCGTTTGCTCAAGCACACAGTACGCGAGGCCGAGGAGGGCCTAGAGATGCAGGATGATTACGGCACGCCGCCCGTTTGGCTGGATAAATTCGAGGAGGCGCAATACACCATGTCCAAGTGAGTGCTAGTCCACAAATAGCCAGTTGACGCATGGTATCTAATGAATGATGCTCTGCCCTTTCATAGAATCAAGCCCAAATTGGATGAGCTGGGCTCGCTGCATGCGCGCCACCTGCTGCGACCCACCTTCGATGACCAAAGAGACGATGAGTGCGAAATTGAGGTGCTGAGCCAGATTGTGGCCAAGCTGATCGCCAGCACCCATCGCCATATACAGTGCGTACGCTCGAGCCTGGGCGTGGGCAGCAAAGTCGAACAGCGACTGACAGCCAATGCGGTGCACTGTGCCCTGCTTCAGCTGCAGGATCTGACTGTCAAGTTTCGGAGCAGCCAAAATGCGTACCTGCTGCAGTTAAACTCACGCGAGGAGCGCTCCCAAAAGTACTTTGACAACAACGAGTTTACCAATGTCGAACTGGGCAACTTTGCCAACGGAAACGAACCCAACGACGAGCCAGCAAATTTTGTGGACACCTTTGATAATTTCCTGCAGCCTCTGGATGGCTTGGGCACAACAGGTGCTGGCAGCCTGGGCAAAAGCAATGCGAATACGTATCTCTTTGAGGATGATGAGCAGGAGATCGATGATCATTTCAAGAAGCCGGTGGCAAATCGGATGACACAACAACAGCTGCTGCTGTTCGAGGAGGAGAACTCACGTCTCGCTGAGCATCGCGAACGCGAGGTGACCAAAATCGTCAAATCCATATACGATCTCAACGATATCTTCAAAGATCTGGGCCATATGGTGCAGGAACAGGGCACCGTACTGGATCGCATCGATTACAACGTCGAACAGACACAGACACGCGTCTCCGAGGGCCTGCGCCAGCTGCAGCGTGCGGAAATGTATCAGCGCAAGAATCGCAAAATGTGCATCATTCTCGTGCTGGCGGCAGTCACCTTCCTGATGCTGCTGCTCCTGATCCTAACCAAGCTGTAGGACAGGTATATTATCTTACTGAAATAGTAGCCCCAGCCAGCAGTTATTCCCCCTTTTATGTGTAGTTTCCGTGTGTATATTGTAATTGTCTAATGTAAAATATATATGTTTTATTTATTTATAACGATTTGTTAACCTACTAACACATGCGAGGTTCCTTTTGGGAGCCCATTTAAACTCCATGTTCTCTGTCTGAATACTAATAACAGTGTGTTTTGTCCAGTTCCGAAATTCTTCAAATTCAATTAACCTGTCGATATTTAATACTACAGTTGTCTGACAATTCTATTCTAATCAACTAACCACGGATAAGTTTCAATTTCTCTTTGGCTAAAACTCACTAAGTTTTACATCTATTTTATAGCTGTCATCAATTCGCTGCACATACTAACTAAATTGTAAATAACGCCTCTCTATGTGATTCTCATCAATGCGCGGGTAAGTTTGATGAGTTTTCATGCATTCATTATTAGACTTAGCCCCATTTGAATACGTTTTGTGCGTATACCTATTTCTTCTCTGAAATACTTTTAAAACCGTGTTGAAATATGTTCAGTTCAAGTATGAACATATTTGTTAAGCAATTTCTCGAACTTCTTCGCTGAACCAACTTTCGAAGCGGTTCAGAGACTTGATAAATGCCATGTGCAGAACAAGCAGGAGCATATAGACATCCAAATCTTGTAAGGGAAAAACAAATTTCGTCAAATCTTCCAATTTAAGCCTTGCGTATAGTCCTAAGCATTCGCTCCTGAACCACATTTGAACCGATTCGTATATATAAACTTTCGATATACGTTCGCTTAGAAAAAGGAAAGTCATAATTAGCTCACAGCTGGAGTAGATCAGATATTGGCAAGCTCAGGTGTTGAACCCGTTGCGAACCGGTTCACGGACGGGAAGGAACAATTGGATCGCAAGGATTATCAAAAAGCACACGCCATATACATGTGTGTATATATATTTATTATAAAACGAAAAAAAAAAGGAAGGAGACATCTAAACTTAATTGTAGTCTGGGCCCATCCCAGCCCCCACGCAGACCAAGATCACAGCCAATTACATGCGCTCCGAGAGGCGGGACGCGACAGCGCGCAGATTGCCATAGACTTTGCTGGGCGGCGAGCCGAGGATCAGGTTGCAGATGGCGCGACGTGCCAGTTGAATATTCTGATAGCTGCCCAGAATGTGGATCTTGCTGTCGGCGAGCACAATGCGAGTCTTGGTCACGTTCTCGATGGTGAACTTGGTGCGTCCGCCCTTGCCGGCGAGTCGTCCGATCGCGCGGGACTGATGATCGCCGCGCAGCGTCTTCACATCCTTGATTTCGAATGTCTCAATGAACAGATCCTCGAGACGGAGCAGCGCCAGGGCGTCGTCCACCTCAAAGCCGCACAGGAAGGCCTTAACAAAATCGGCGCCCTTCTGCAGATTCGATATATCGGGCGTCTCCGGCCCGATGCGCAGCTCCACCTGGCGCGCCTTCATATTGAAGCGTATCTGCAGCTTCATGTGCTCCACAACCGGCGTAAAGATCTTCATCCAGTGCTCCTTCAACGAGGAGTATCGGTGCGGCGGCACCGACACCTTGCGCAGCTCGCTCCTTATCCGCTTGGCCCGTGGCGGCGCCTGGCCGCTGCTGCTGGCACGCTCTGCTCCCTCGATGCCCGTGGCCGCGTCCACCAGCATTTCGACGTCGTCTGTGTTTGCATGGGCGCTGCGCTTTTGCGCCTTCTTGGCGGGCACAAACTTATCCACTTGTATATTTTCCACCTCCATTTCGGGCATTTCTCAACAAATTGCGTCTACCTTTATTTTCGTTAATATATTTCTCCACGTGCGGTGCGGCTGATTTTCAGCTGTGCATTTTACAGTTAATCGCTGGCGTTTTATCGAGTGGACAGCGCTGCGGCATGCTGCAGCAGTCAGCTTTTGAGTGTGCTGACATATCGATTATTAGCTATCGCAGGCAGTTATCGTACGTTACGTTTGGCGCCAAAGTAACGAGATTTTGCTGCGGCCTGTTGCAGCAGTCAGCTTTTTGGTGTGTGGCATATCGATTATTAGTTATCGTACGTTACGTTTGGCGCCAAAGTAACGACCGTTTGTAGTGAAGGGAAAGTTTAATGAAAAAAAACGTTTTGTCTGTGTGCGTTTCTTTTGTTTTATCTGAGTTGTTGGTGCAAATTGCTGGCAGGTGTAAAAGTGCTGAAAGTTGTGGGCAAGTTTTCTTGTTTATTTGTAATTTAAGTAACGTGCCATGGGCATGCTTTTGCAATGCCAATTTTCAGCTAGTTTCGAGTAGGCAGCAAATTACAGTCATGATTAATAGTATATGTGAGTGTGTGTGTTGTTGTTGTTGTTGTCGCTGCTGCTGCTGCTGCTGCTGCTGCTGTTTGTGCATTTTGACACCGAAAATGGACTTTGCTGATGCTATCAGGTATACTTATTGTGCACGTTGCATAAATGGGCCCTGCCAGAGTCCACTGCCTGGTCGTCGTCAGCCAAAAATGCAAATGATAATGATGTCCCAACAAGCATCTACCAGATGAGCTGTGCACCGGTTCTTCTGCTCCTTCTCCTGCTTCCGCTTCTGCTCCTGATGCTGTTGTCCTGGCCGCGCGCAGCCATAGGCCTTGCGGCTGTTGCGCCTGTCTAATCCAAAATGTTCGGACATTTTAAATACAAATTGCAGCGCTGTTGCGTCTCCCGGCATCAAATTGCTTGCAACCTGAACACACACGCTCATCAACCAGCCAGCCAGCCAGCCAGCCATCGTGGCAGCCCGGCAGCCCAGAATGTCCTCTTCGTGTTGAGAGGCCATGGTCATAGTCGGCTAGTTAGAAGCTGCAGCGTCTCTTTTTACTCTATTGGCAACTGATTAGCATTTAAATTAAAATGTCGCAAAGTGGCCTTAACAAAATGTTGCTTTTCGTGTGTGTGTGTGTGTGTGTGTGTGTGTGTGTGTGCAGCGCATTGCATTTGTATACCCTTTAAATTTAGAGTGCCAAAATGTGTAGCTAGAGCTCGCACGTTTTGGATGTACTAGAAACATGTGGAGACATTTTTGAAGCTTTGCTAGTATCTAATATTTTAGTCTGGGGAATTGAAGTATTGCAGAATATACTCTTAAAGTTCTATAAGGCCTTATTGAACTGAGCAAATGTTTGGGCTGCAACTGGTTGATTTGGTCTTAATTGAATTCCATTTTCCATTCCCTAACATTTCACATTTATTTGAATCATTTTCTGGTTGTTTGCACTTTAAAAATATTAAAATATTCGAACAGCTTAAATTGTTAAATTTTATGCAAAAACTATCGATAGTCATCGATCTTATCGATAGTATATACGATCAATAGCCATTTGATGCTGTGCAACACTGAATGCAGAGAATGTGTGCGTCGCGTACTCACGCTTAGATTGTTTCAACGTGTTTCCACTGGATGTGTGTGTGTGTGTGTGTGTGTGTGTGTGTGTGTGTGAGTTTGTGTTTTTTTTTATTGCAGCTTATTGTCTCTGGTGTCACCTGTTTATGCCGCCGCTGCTGTTGTCGCTGAGATTGGCACTCGCCTCGGCAATTGCCTTTGTGCCGGGCCACTGCAAATTGGACCAGCATCGGTGCGGATGTGTATGCGGATGCGGATGTTTGTGCGGATGTTTGTGCGGATGTGATTGTTGCGCTCACTTCAAAGAGCGCAACGGGCGTGCTTAATTATGAAAATTAATTGTATTCGAATAAATAATGTTAATTGATTTCTCTCCCGCTTTTCTCCTGCCAATCACTCTCTCTCTCTCTCTCTCTCTCTTTTTCTCTCTCTCGCTCAGTCTCTTTCGCTTTTAGCTGTCGCATAGGCCGCATGCTGGCTTACGATATCGCATTGTCAACCTATGACCATGCCCCCACCCTTCTCTCCAGCCTGTCTCAATATTTCTCGCTCTCTCTTTCTCTCACTCTCGCTCAGTGTCTGTCTGTCTTTATCGCATTAATTAATTAGTTCATTTTATTGTTGTGAGTGAAAACAACGTGAAATCAAATACAATTTTGCCCGGTTTACGCTCGTCCTTTGCAATTGCCGTTAGTTAAACGATTCAGTCACGTAATTCATTTGCATGGCGCGCGTGGTCAGGATACGATATCCTTCATCGCGGTGTCTTCCATCAGCCAACCAAATGGGAGGCGTGCGTGTCAGGGGGTAACACGGCTCTGAGATAGAGACAGGGGAGGGGTGAAAGTTAGATGCCTGCTAAGTTTACAGTTACCACGTTCACGTTAAGCCTGGTATTAGCAGAAAACTAGAAAGAAAGAGAGAGAGATAGAGAGAGAGAGAGAGAGAGCGAGAGAGATAGAGAGAGAGAGAGAAAGAAAGAGTAAAACAGATAGAAACAAAGCGAAGAAGCGAGAACAAAATCAAGCATAATTAAGGGAGACAGAAAGAACAAGAGCGAGAAAAGGAGTGTGAGCGATATGAGGGAATATTGAGAGGCAGAGAGAGAGACAGAAAAGAATAAAAGTGCGCAAGAGAGAGCGAATTAGCGAAAGGAATCGGAAAGGAACGTACGGCGTACGGGACAGCAAGAGCAAAAAATAAAATCAGATCAATATGAAGGAAATAGGGAGAGGGAATTGGAGGGTGAAAGAGAGAAAGAGAGAGAGAGAGCGATAGAAAGAATGGCAATAGAGAAAAACATAGTGGGGAGATAGAGAAAGAGAAAGGGAGAGAGAAATAGAGTTGGATAGAGAGCGACAGAGATAGAGACACAGAGAGAGAGAGAGAGAGAGAGAGAGAGAAGGAAAGTTAACACAGTTTAATTAATGATAATCAAATAAAGGAACCAAGAGAGCGATAGTAAGAGAATGAGAATGAGAGAGAGAGGGAGAGAGAGAGAGAGAGAGTCAGATGATGGGGGAAGGTCTGCTTCTGCTTTTTGCCTTAGAACTCTCAGCCAAGGTGAACAAAGCTTAGATTCCATCGCAAACATGCGACAACATTTAAGAGAGAATTTTTGAGAACTTGTGCTTCTTCTTTATAAATGAGCTTAAAGAAGCCCGATGCGACATTAATTGACAACATCGAGTAACAAGTTGTCGCACCTTAGACGACCGTCAGGGGTTGGCGGGAGAAAGTTTTGCTATTTCCACATATGACATTGACTTTTTTAGGCCAAGCAAAAAAAAAAATAGAAACCTGTTTAACCAAATTGATGCGTGAAACTTTGTGCAAACAATTTGCTGGCCATTTTTTATGCGGCATTTGGTCATTTTTCATGGTCAGTAATTGGCATGGACTCTGACGTTCTCCTTGTCCAGCCCCCCTTTCTCTTCTCGCTTTCCTACCGCCGTGTCATCCATTCCCATCGTTTGCTATACTAACTGAATGTGTCCTGCATTGTCCCCTTGGGCTGATGACAGAACGCGCGTCGCTCTGGCGTTGTTTCTCACAACATTTGCGGGCTTTCAGCTTGGCTTACA